GGCGGAACATGCTGAATCTGATCATGATACTGCAGAAGTATTCCGATTTCGAGTACCTGTTTTGTGCTAACCGACAGTAACTGTTAGATTATGTACCTCGAAAATTCGGGCATTAATGCATTTTTACTGCAATGAAGCAATAAAGCAGCCAGCCTCGCGGGACATACTATGCTCTCACAAAAAGAAATAGGTATTGGTAGTACTATTCGTACCTGTCAGTTGAGAGTGCATACCTACTATGTACCTATAAAGACAGAGAATTAAAACGTGGTATATCCTGCAGTAGTTAGATAGAACCTGTTAAAACGATCTACGTCACGCTCAAATGTCAGTTTTCGACCCTGAAACTAAAAGTGATTGATTAGTAACTAGCGTGTACACCGCGTAGGACGTTTCCGCTCCAACCAGGCTTCCCTATAAAACATATCTGTTCACCTGCGTTACTGCAAACAATAGAGTGGATACTTGTCACTGTGTGCCTGCACAGAAAGCTTGACCTTCGTCACTTCGTGATCGTGCTTTTATTTTATACCGGAATCCTGTGTTCCTCTTCTAATTTGTGTTGAATCAGTGAAGTGCTAGATGTATATTTCTAGTAGGCAATGAACTTGTGAATCTATGGATGAAAAGCAGCGCCTCTATCGAGCTTGCGAAACGCTGTTTATAACACTGTGCAACCCTCGATCTGATGAAGATAGCAAGGCAGTAGATAACTTTAATGGTACCATGGAAGTGCTCACGATTAGTGCTTCCGACCATCCGCCGTGGAACTTTGAAAGTCCGCCTGGTTCCGGATGTTTTTGTGGGATTTCTATAGCTGTGTTAGCGCTGATAGGTCAAAAGCTCGGACTGCAGTGAGTGTTGTCACAATAATAGTTTTATAACTATTTAAGCAATTTCGTTTTAAATCAACAGATTTCTTCTCAAGGCAGCTACGGCACCGGTAACAACCTTTGTTACATCTGATGGGACCAGATACGATGGGGCGCCAGCGGATTTGCTTTCAGGGAAGGTTAACATGAGTATTATTCCGTTGGCTGCGTCAACAACTCGGGTACGTCATTTAGAACTTATTAACGGGTTCTTCCTGCGGGAATACGAAATTCAGATTCACAAACGGTGGTTGGTCGATTCGGGGATTGTGGGAAATTCCATCCTGAATGGCCTGTTTTCCAAAGCAATGAGCGATTCTTGGCCGGGATTATTATTATCGGGTATATGTGTTTTTTTCATCCTGCTGTTTATGCGCAGCATTGGCAAGCCAAATGCCGTATGGATTGGTGAATTTTGGAAGAACGTGATCTTTTCGAAAATCATTGCTTTGTTCGACACAGCGTATGATTTATTTCGCAGCTTTTTTGGTCAAGGTGAGAAAACCAAAAAATTAATGAAATAATAGAATTTAGTGCGCAACCGTTCGAATTTTTGCAATACAGGCGGCGTCGAAATACCGCACTATCACGGAGCACAACTGGCAGTAGTGCAATGGCTGCTGTACTCCTTCTTTGCAATCAATCTAATGGGCGCTAACGTTAGTTCCAGTCTGGCTGGATCGTTTCTGGAACCACCCTTTCGCACAGTTACGGGCTTTGTACAATCAGGGTTTGATCCAATGTTCCAGGCGAAAACGGCATCTATCGAATTTATGGTATGTACTGCACTAATAATCAAAATGTTCCCTAAGCTGTTGGTTAATATTATCTGGTGTAATAAACCTGTTCGAAGTTTCCCCTTAAACTTTAAAGCATGGGGCATCAATATACATGCATCCTATAAAATACCCCCTTTATGAACGCCCTTTTCAGTTATTATTCATGTTTGTTGTTAACCCATTCGTCTCTATTCTGCAAATACTGTAGAATAGCGCAACACTGCGCCCGCTTCGGACACGAATGCGGCAATACGATGCTGGAACTTCTTTCGAACTCTTTATCAATTACGTCGCATCGCTTTCTTCCGATGAGAAAATTGCGTTGTTCAATGCGCCCGTTGCCGCAAAAAGCGGGGTTTATTGTGGCCGCTCGTACGCCGTTCTACAATCATGTCGCAATGTACCAGCTGCCTCTGCGGTCACCTTTGAGCCCGCATATTAACAACTTGTAAGCTTAAGCAAACTAGCGAATAATACAAGGGGTTATGCATACTTCTGGTCTAACTTACAGTTCCTGAGAACAGAATACGTTTACTAATTACGAACCTTTGCTGTTCCATTTAGGGTTATCTGGATGGCAAAATCAGGAAGTTTAAAGCGATTGATTGAGCTACATATGACTCTGCTATATTCAGCGTACAGAGTACCGTTCTTTTCGAATCCGCCAATCAAGCAGCGAACAACGTCTATAAGAATGCCGGTTTTGCATTCTACGCTTTACATGCTGATCCGCCAATCAAGCAGCGAACAACGTCTATAAGAATGCCGGTTTTGCATTCTACGCTTTACATGCTGATTTACTTGTCTTTTCTGGCATGGTACTGTTGGTAGAAGTTTATGCAGCAAAACGGGCGCACAGGAGAAATCACTCAAAGCGCAAATCAACTACCATGTTAAGCGATGACTTTGGCACTAAATGAACTTTGGTACCGTCATCTGGTCTTGGCAACGAAGTTGTGAATGATTTGCTGTAAAATGCGGCATTCTGTGCCGTTGTCAATCGCCGTTGTTACCTTTGCCGCTAGTACCTAAAAAAGTGTGAAGTACAGTATAGGCTTTAGCAAAACGAGTCGGTTTAACATTTTCACTACAAAGTACTAGTATCTTTAGTCCACTCGGGCTTGCCATAGTACGGCTTCGTCACATATGATCGTATATACGATTTTGCTCGTTTGTCCTGGTTAGGCTAAGTATTTACGGATAGTAAATGTACCGATAACTTAATTTATTTTGTCTTGCTCCATATTTATGCAGATCAGTAATGAATGACCTTTGGGGTTCCCAGGGGATAGTGATGCACCGAGTATCGACTTTCATGATTCCTATGCCGCACAATGCTTTGTGGAGCTCACGCAGCACTTCATAAATATTTGCATATGAAAGTTGCAAATTGACCTCAACATGTTGACGCCGACTTTCTGACTGTTTCATGATCTAAAATGTTTGTTTCACCCCGATTCGGCGCAGACACTTGCGCGATTTTAACTTTACAGTTCACACTAACAGTCAAAACAACCGTAAGTTTGCTCTAGTTTGGCCGAATTTGACGCAGTTCCACCACTGACCGCCCGATGGAAAGCAGTTATCAAAAGTTATACAGAACCTGTAAAGAGCTTTCACTGATTCTATGTAGTGATCACTCGCAATCTGGAACGGCAGAAACTGATAATGAAGATTTTATGGCTTACAATTCCAGTGTCTTATTTACGGTCGCTGTGTCAGATAATCCACCATGGAATTTCGAAAGTCCACCTGGTTCCGGGTGTTTCTGTGGAATATCCATAACAGTTTTACGGTTAATCGGGAAAAGGCTTGGATTACGGTAATGAGCTCAGAAAAAAATGCACAAACATATGTATTCGATGTCTTAAGACCTTCAAAGACAGGTTTAAAGAGAGTTCATTTTAAGTTTTTACTGTTTTGCCTTAAATTAATGTCTTTTTTAATCAAGTAAAAAGTTGAAGGTTTGTATTACATAGATTGTTCTGTATATACGTAATACATGTATTGACTGAACGTCTAATATTGCATGCATAAGTATCTGGCCCGCGCTATCCTTACAAAAGCACAATACATTTAATAGCTGAAAACTATAAATATGTGTTTGACCAATACAGATCACAGAAGAACTAGTTTGCTACGAATTGACCAATACAGATAACAGAAGAACTAGTTTTCTTTTGGTGGGGACCCGTTCTAGGATGTGTAGAACTACGGTAGATTGCTAGCCCACATCATGGTTCTACAGCTGATCATGTCACAGTCCACGTGACAGCGCGTTACATGATGAAATATATGCACTGGTCAATTAGTAATTCATGATACTTTACTATCTGTATAAACTTACGATTACTGTAATTTTCGAAAGCATGTCAAATAATTTCCTAAATCACCCTCACTTTCAATTTCTGCAAAGGTTTTTGCTGTCACCGGTTACTCCTCCTCTTACAAAATTTACCACCGCTGATGGAATTAAATACGAGGGAGCACCAGCCGATTTACTAACGGGAAACGCTGACATGAGCATTTGTCCCTTGGCCGCCACGCCCGCTCGTGTCCGCCACTTCCAATTGATTACTGGCTATCTCTTACGAAACTGCCATATTGCTATCCATGAGCGTTGGCTAGTGGATTCAGGAATTGCAGCTGATTCAATCATCAATGGCTTACTTTATCAAGCCATGAGCGATTCGTGGCTGGGACTACTGTTGACGACGCTCTGCGCTTTCCTGGTCTTGATTTTTGTGCGAACAGCTGGTGATCTTCATACTACACAAGAAAAACATACATCGAAGTCTTGTTCTTCCTGCAAAAGCCAGGCTTCTGCGCGCCATGTCAACGTCGTTCTTCGGAGTCTGCACGACATTGTCACCGGTTTCTTCAATCAAGGTCACCTCTGGCTTTGATTCTACCACATCGTTGTGACCTTGCATGTTTTGAACGTTAATTCTATATTATACGTACAGGTGACATTGCGACACCCAAAACGTACCATGGAGCGAAATTAGTCGTCCTGCAATGGCTGTTCTACACGTACTTCGCCATCACTTTGATGAACGCCAATGTTAGCTCGAGTTTAACGGGATCGATTTTGGTAGCGCCCTTCCAGACCGTTACCGGCTTCGTACACTCCGGTTTCGATCCACTGTTTCTCGCAAAAACCGCGTCTATTGAATTTATGGTTGGTTCCTCTTTGTTGGCATATTTTTGTATTCATTTCATTCGTTTTTATGATAATAATGGGTTTGTACACTGTGTACGTATCATAGTAACCCAACCAAAATAATTTTCATGGACCTAATACTGTGTTTAGTCTTAGCATGAGTGTACATTTTAGAACAGCCGGGTGTTAAAACCGTTGACTCCAAAGATGCGACAATATGATTCCGGAAGCTCTTTGGCCTTGTTCCTTGAATACGCTGCATCAGTTTCAGAGTACGATAAGGTGGCTATTTTCAGCATGGACGAAACACCGCTGTTCCGGAAAGCAGGCTTTGTCACCGCGGTTAAGGCACCTTTCTACAACTATATTGCCTTCTACCAGCTTCCAAACCAGTCATCGCTATCTTCTAAAATTGATGACATGTAGGACAATGTAATCTTTACTTTCTTATTTCATCATTAACTGTACAATTTGAATTAATTTAATTTAGTAACCGACATGTACAATACTAGTAATAAAAGTGATTATACTGGTATCGAATGCGCCGCGCTTTTAACTTTTCTGTGCCAATATGGCGATAGTTCATTTTGTACTCTGTTCTTCAAAATACAGATACTTACCCAATTTATTTGCAGGGTAGTTCGACTAGCTAAAACCGGCAACTTGCAGCGCATCGTAGATCTCCATTTCGATCAGCTTTATTCTGCGTACAGTGTGCCGTACATTCCTGAATCCCAGCGTAACAAAAAACGGGTCGCTCAGATTCGTATGCCGGTTCTGTTAACCACGATTTATACGGTTTTGGGAATGCTTTTTATGGCTGCAGTCGTGTTCTTCATGGAGGTCGGCAAAAGCAGAGCATACCGTAAAACATTTCCATCGATCGTTCCTGGTTGATTTTCTTGATTATCTACTACGTTGTACGTAGTAAGTACTTGATTTTCGGAATGTACTTGTAGTACTTTACGTCATATTTATGGGCAGTGGTAACTTCTTAAATATGTGAAAACCAAAAAGCCGACAGCAGCATAATGATTCAATAAAAATGACGGTCAAAGCTGTATTATTTACCTCCCAACGCCGATTTTCCACTTCCTGCTAGTCTGCTACCCGTCCTTGTGCGATTGTATGATTCCAATCGACGCCAAGTCGACAAAGCTTCTACCTCGAGCAGCCGATATTTTAATGGCAACACAAACAGCTAACATGACGCTGTGGAAGTTGCTATGTAATATGTACGACAACAATTACAGCGCCTGTAAGAAACTGAAACCTCGACCGCTTCGAACAGGAATTATATTGCTTATACTTCCCTCAGTTTCTTGTACAACGGAACATCAGCGATTCTGCACGAAACCGGGTAAAATATTCGACGAAAGGATTCCGCTAAAAATTAACCACTAAAAAGGTTTATTCACAAGTTTTCTTCGCAATTGTTTTGCACAAATAAATTTTTCGGGGCCGATTTCGGACATGCCCGAAGATTCGTTGGCAGGACGTTAAAGTAAAGATATACCTGCACGCCCTCTCTGTGTACTCTAGTTTAAAGTTTATGGTCAGACAGTTGACTCAGTGACTCGTCTCTAATTTAAGGTTCTGCACCAAATCGCCCCTTCGGCTACAACTGGAGCAGAATCGAAATGAAAAAATGAAAAATTAATAATCTTTCTGCATACTTTCCATACAATGCGTACTTCGCGCGTACGTATAATACGGACGCCAAATTTGTGAACACATACTCGTACGACAGTAACTGTTGGCGAATGCAACTCGAGTGCAATAGTGTGCATCTGAAACAACAGGCGAGGAAAAGGTGATAAAACAAGTCTACATATGTTGGCAGACAGCGATGGGGCGCTAGCGACTGCAAGTTTCCCCAAAGATCTTCATGTGGCATACTTTATTTGCTAGCACAGAGGGCAGATTAATGGTCAGTTTAAGTACTTCTTAAGTATGTTGACTTGCGCAGCATACATACTCCCTAAAGCAACCATGATGCGATACTAACTTGACTGATTATCGCTCAGATCAGCCCTGTTTTTGTAGTTTTTAATTTTTGATAACGTTATTTCCATTTTCGGATGGAAAATAGTTATCAAAAGCTGCACAGAGCCTGCGACGAGCTATCGCTCACTATCTGCAATAATCAGTCGCAATCGGAGGTGGGAAAACGTGGTAGCGAAGATTTCGGGGTGCTGAATTCCAGTACATGGTTTACCGTCGCTGTCTCGGATAACCCCCCATGGAACTTCGAAAACCCGCATGGTTCAGGGTGCTTCTGTGGAATATCTATAAAGTTTTGCAGTTAATAGGAAAACCATAGGACTGCGGTGAGCAACTATTTTGCACGCTCCTAAAATGTAGGATACGAAAACGATTATCGAATGGCAGTCTGTTGTGAAATGTATTAATGGCTCGATGCAGACTAGGTGATAGTATCCCTAAGGATAAACTGCTATAATTGTTATTCATACCTATATGACGTTATTCATACCTATATGACTCTGTATATCATTAATTGTTGTAAAATTTATCATCTTTGCTTTTATTTAAGATTGCTTATGTTACCTGTCACTGCTGCTCCAACAAAATTCACTACTTATGGAACTGACTACGAAGGAGCGCCAGCCGAGTTTTTAGCTGGCAATGTCGATATGAGCCTTTGTCCCTTGACCGCTACGCCAGCGCGTGTCCGTCGTTTCGAACTGATAACAGGATTTCTGTTACGCAGTTGCGATATTGCCATCCACAAGCGCTGGCTGGTGGATTCCGCGGTTGCAGCTAATTCAGTCATTGACGCTTTATTTTACAAAGCCTTGACGTACTTGTGGCTGGAACTCTTGCTGATGTCGCTCTGCGTTTTTTTGGTTCTAATTTTTGTTCGTACGGTGGGTGAAGATGATCATGGAAAACGAACACCAGTTATGCGCAGTTCTGCTACCCACAGCCTGAAATCTTTGCAGAATGTCAATGTAATTTCTCGAAGCCTTCACGACGTCGTTAGTGGCTTCTTCAACCAAGGTCAACATTTTTGGCCTTATCAGATGATTATAAATTTCGTATTTTGAACTTCTTTTTATTCTGACCAGATGACATCTCGACGCCCAAGACCTACCACAGCGCTAAATTCTTGCTCCTGCAGTGGCTCTTCTACACATATTTTGCAACCAGTTTGATGAACGCAAATATTAGTTCGCGTTTAGCGGCCGGGTCGCTTTGGGTACCGCCATTCCGGACCATTACCGGTTTTGTTGACTCCGGATTTGATCCACTGTTTCTCGCCAAGACGGCTTCCATTGAATTTATGGTACATACCAATTGTACCATGTGTGTTTTTGTCCCATAAGATGCGTCCTCATGTTTTTGCTGTCGTTAAAATGCAGCGCTTAAAAACACCTTAAATTAACTTAAAGGTCAAGTGCCGCTTATAATTTGTATACGCTTAGTAAATCTTCTCTTGCCTGTTCCAGAACAGCAGAGCTCTTAAACCATTGACAGCAAAGTTGCGACAATATGATCTCTTTTTGAGTAGTCTTTCTTTTTGAGTTGGAACGGGCGCAACGTGTAATCATCTCTCAAGAGATAATAATTTTCTATTAATCAATGTAATGTAAACATGCTGTAAGAAACACAATTTAAACATGCTCCAATATGAATGTTTTTCGTGCACTGATAAAACCGCCGATCGATCGATATTTGACTTGATAACGCGCATGTGATCAATGGTAATTGGCAATCTGCTGTCCGTAATTACGCCTTGTAGACGCTTAAAACCGAGAAGACACTGAGAAATACTAGGGAGCTAAAGTCGAAAGTTGAACCGTTTTTTTAAGCGAATTGTAAACCGCTGATAAGTAAACTTTGACAGAAGAATAAGAAATACCACTTTCAAACAGAAAAAGCCAAATACCGCAATATTGTTGATTGAGTGATATTTAACGGAGATAACTGTTACAGCTGGCAGAAATCGGTAAATTTATTCATGCCACTTCCACAGGTTTTTCTAGAAGGTAGCGCAATATGATGAAATCGTAGTCTGTTGACTGTTTTATCAAGGCAATCTAGCGATGAAGCGCATGACAATTTAGCAGATCGATCAGTAGACTTTCCGGTACATTTAGCTGTAATGAATCTGCGTTTGGCACAAGGCTGGCAAAAAAGGTTTCATCTAAAACCGTCATTAAGAATCAGCAATGCTATTGTTAATACCAGATATATGCTTAATAGTAATAGAAAAATTAAGTTGAGCTGCGATAGCCACCATCCGACGCATTATTTCGAGGACAATTCTGCTACAAGATGTATAGTTTTCCCAGGCTTGAGAGGCGCCGAGATTATCGCAGTGAAAAATTACTTTTCGCCTGCACAACTTTGATTCCCATAGTGTTAGTGCAGCAAGTATGGGAATCATCTCAAGGCACTCTATTGATAGTTCTGCATCCAATATATAAGCTGGCCAGCGATACTGAAACCAAGCGCCATTAAAATATCCGGCACAACCGATAGTAGCTGATGCATCGGTGTACAGCTGGATTGTATCGCAACGAGTCCAATCTGGTTCGAGAAATTTAGCTGTACCATTCCACTTTGGAAGAAGTTCAAGCCACCAGTCGATATCCCCTTGAAAATCGTCGTCGAGACTGATCTTATTTTCAGTTAAATTTTTTACCACTGACAGTTGTGCAATAAGCCTCCTCGTAAACAGACGACCAACCGGCACACACTTCGATGCAAACATGAGAGATCCAATTAGACTTTGCAATTCTGTACGGTTGCACACACTTTTAAATTTCCAGGTATTAAGAAGAGCTATTATATCAGCTAGTTTCCCGTGCGGTAGACTGAGTGTCTGCGAAACAGAACCAAGCACAATGCCAAGACACTTAAGGCGAGGTAATTGTTTTGCCTTCATTTTCAGAGGAGTTACAATAGCTACAGTTTCCCAGGTAGAAAAAAATGCTCTTTAAAATGGATGTTTTTTCGAAAATCGAAGATCCAAATAAAAGCACAACTGTGTAAAAGATCAAAAGGTACCGTGGGTCTAAAACGACGCTCGGGTCCAGCAGTACGTTCGATTCACTTAACTGCCATCTCCTCTCAAACCGAACCGCAAACAACCGCACGCGGGCTGCGTGTCTGCGTTGCGCTGCTACCGCGCGCAGACTGCGATTTGATGAACGCTATATGCAGCCTGCAGGTAGCGTGGTGGTATGTTTACTTTCTGCGCCGATGCAGAGGACCATTTTCGAAAACAAAACCCATATTTACTAGAATTAAAGTTTGGACAGTTCTACGCGCCTTGTAATCCATTGCCGCAATGGAATTGGCTGTTCTTGGTACCGTTGGAAGACAAAATTATTTTACATACTGGGTTTTTTGGTTTTGGAGTCAATTCGAATTCCAACGCTCAGTGGTTTTCTCAGTTAGGGAATTAGTTTCATGTTTAAAATTTATATCTTTACTATTTTTACATAAGATTTTTCCAAATAAATCAATATGTAAAAAAATTATACGTTATATTTAGAAACAGCAAACTTGAAGTTGCCCCATTGGGTGCTTCAGCGTAGTTTTTGGGGCACATACAACTTAATATTTTATATCCCGTTTGCACTTTTAGGCTTCATTTTAAAACTTATATGTTAAAAAGTGCAATTTATAAGGTTTCTAATGAATCTTTGCACTTCGAGAACAGACCAACCAAAGGCGCACAACAAATTCTCAAAGTTGTCAATAAAATTGGCATGTTGTAAACAGTTACATCCCGTTAAGCGTTGTAGACGGGCCTTCAGTTTTTTTATCAGCTAATGGGACACCGAGAATTGCGCACAATTCAGGAAATTTATTCATAAGTGACATGCAGAGGAGATGATCAGCCGACGTTGCGATAAAAAAGTCGTCAACGTAATGTAGCATAAAAACATGCCCGTTTATATGTACGAATATCCAATGTACCGCATTCGATATTAGACAGAATAGAAATGGAGAGGAGGGAGAACCGAAAGGAAGTACGATATCGAAGTACAGTCTGTAGTACAACCCGTCGCACTGATAGCCTAATAAATGCCAGTCGGCAGGTCTTACCGGAACAAGTCGGAAAGCATGCTGCAAATCAAATAAATAAGCCATTAAAGCTCCTGTGCCCAGTTTAATAAGCATGCGAACGGCGTCATCTACACTGCAGAATGCTAGAGAGTAATCATCCTTGCTGATATAATCATTGACGCTTTCACCAGCTGGCCGGGACATGTCCATCAGTATACGAAATTTCCCATCCGGTTTTGGTCTTACGCCCAGCGAATTAACTAGAAGTACTGGAAATGGCGGGTTAGAGAAAGGACCTACTGTACTGAATGCGATAAAGATACTTCCGCATTAATCTGCGCCTGCAAGTGATCGGAATACATGCGTGCAGATGCGGCATTAGGCGTAGAAATGCTCCGAATTGGACCACGGTATCCGATATCAGCACCATAACGCAAAATACACAAAATATATGAAACATAATCCTGATCTGGGTGTTCACGAAGATAGTTTGCAAAAGCTTCAGCTTTCAACGGAGTAATGATATTACTGGGAACTGTTACTGGCTCTTGATTTGCACTGGAAGTCGCGGTGTTCACGTTGACCACAGCTGGTACATCGGTGTTGGCGACCATATCGGCAGAACAGACCGGCTGTGCAGTGACCTTTGTTCCAGAGGTGGCAGACTTCGTCAACTTTTGCTCCCCCGCTTCCAGCGGGGGACTGAGAAACGACTGCCCAACCCATGAAGAACGACGATTGCTGGTGTTACTATGCAACGTCGGACATTCAGGCCTGATGTGTCCGAATTCCCAGCAGTTGTAGCACTGAACCGTAGTATTTCTGCTTACACCGCCTGTGGGTTGACCAGCGTCATGCCCAAGTGGTTGCAGCAAGTACTCGGTATATGCATCATCGTTTCTGTGTGACCATTGCATGACATCGTTCGGATTTCGACAGACAGCTAACCGGAACTGCCTATCATACGCGAGCCACTGGTCGATAGTGATTCCTTTCAGTGCCGTTCCTTTTGTGTATTCACCGCTTTCATGCAGGCACATTGTACGTAGACGAATACTTGTACATCCCAACCTCGGAAGTGAACACAGATGCCGCTAACAAACCAGCATGAGTAAGCAGCGCAACAGTTACAACCGGTTTCTTCTCAGCCAACGTGCGGGTTTTTCTTAACATTTTTCCAGGTACCTACGTAGTACGAGTACTCTACATCCGACCAAGTCTTTTACTGCAGGTACGAAGTGTAGCCTGTACAATGATGTCTTTTACAGACATATATTTTAAAGATGCACACACGCGCGTGTGACAAGTTGTATTTCTCGTGCCTTTCTTAGAGTAGGGTAGAATATCTGACAGTGCCAACTTGGTGGCCACCGAAAGTCACCCAGACAATGGAAGGAACGCTGTCTAGGTGACATTTGGTGGCTACCGGTTTCAGGAAATGTTGGCGCCTGTTTAAATGCAAATACCTATCGGTATCCGGTCTGCGCAGTTAACGGACGTGCACGACATAAGAATTTTGTTTATGTAACCTTTTACGACCACACTTTTTAGCGCGCTATTGTAAACATACGGTACGAATATAACTACCTATATGCGTCACTGGACGATATTAATTTTATGATTAGCACATCTGCAGCTGCAGTCACTGGAAGGCAAAATGCAAGAAGAGTTCTCAATTGTTGACCTTTCTTGCATGGTAAAACTATGGGCACTCGAGCCCAACGAGCTCTCTCCAAGGTTAAAAAACTTCAAAAGCATTGTTTACCAAGTTTTTTCACTGAAAAAACGTACACACAATCATTAAATTTAAAGAGCTCGTGTTTATAGTATCGATATCTAAAACAGGAATAGGAAAATTTGAAAGAGAAACTATTAAAAGTTGTATCGCTGACATATATACGAGTATATGACAACTACACGCGGTGAATGCAGCTGTTGCCTGCTTTCTTGAATACAGGGTTTGACCAGTATCGTAAAGTTGTCACCGTGTTTTTGTACGTCGAATGCTATTTTACTGTAACGTGTAAAATAATGCAAAGTTTCCCAAGTTATGGTGACAATAAAACCACACAATCTGGCATTCTGGTAAAAACTGACATTTCATCAAGGTAAGAGCAATGTTTGACTACCAGTAAGCTATGAAGTAGTTTATCGTTCTGAAGTTTAATAGCCTGCCGGTGTTAACTGCGAATTACAAACATTTTTTGTTTTAAGAAAGGACAAAAAAGTTTATACAAAATGCTCAGTAGTCGCATGACTGTTTAAAACAACAGCATCTGTAGGTATACTTGACAGCCACGCTGGTGCGGGCGTGGTCAAGTCAACAAACTAGCGCAGAACAGCGATCGAACAGTGTCATGGGGTGTGCACGCCAAAAAGCATAAAAGCAGTTCACGGTAAAATGATGAATGTTATGAGAACCCAAGAAACGTTTTGAATCCGTCTTTTTGTCATGTTGTCGCGGCAAAGCGGTGCGGTTAGCGATTGGGTTTATTTTCTTAAAGCCTGGAGAAGCGATGGGAAGTCCTTCGGCTGCGGATTTTTTGCCATAAATATGACACCTCCAGGTCCGGATCCACCACCACCAATCCAGATGTCACCTTGCGCCAAGGCTATAAAAAAGAACATAAGGCATTATAACTTGTACATAACGGAAATTCCTAATATCCTGCAGAGAAGTACTAATAGATTTCCAGTAACTCCGCTGAGACAAATCAATTAGGCAGAGTAAAAATGATTTTGTTTATGCTAGTGATAAATTGTTACGTACACTAATTTAAGTGATGTACCATCGTTTAATGTTAACTACAGAAACACGTCAGTACACTTAATATGGAAGTAAGTAATGTGAGAGGTAAAAATAGATTACCTGACTGAGTCAAGGCGCAAATCACGAAGATTATTCCAAAAACAATGGCTAAAAGCTTCATTCTGAATTATTTAGCGGAACAGAGGAAATGAAGAAAGGTCACCAACACGTCTGCTAAAAATGTTTATTGAAGTAGCACGCGATCGATTAATAATCCGTTCAATGATATGCAATAACTTAGTCCGCAGAGTCAACCGGGCCTTTATACGGTTTACCTCCACAAATACCTTGCGGGCGAAATGTGATCATGACTACACAGAAAACATATTTCCACCACGCGCCGCTCCAGCAGAAGCGTTAATTATGCACATACAAGTGTGCCGCATAAGTTAAACGCGCCGGTAATCATTACTATGAAAAAAATCGAATAATTTGTTCATCAATGCGAGAAACGTGGTAGGTAAGGGTTTTGGCGGACGAACTAAATAAACGATAATTATACACATGCCGATTTGAACATAATACAGCGCATGGCAATCAAGTGAATACGGTTTCTTCAGTGAAGAAGTTACAGCACTTTTTGGCCATGGGTGAATGGAATTTATTGGCATGCAAAATTAGGCATTGGAAAGATTTTTTGAAGGAACTCCAAAGCAGCATAACTAAGTCGTTAATCATTTATACAGGTGCGCTACACCTTGATCACAAACGTGAAATCTACACACATGGTTGTTTATTCGATCGACGACTACAGAGTGCAATATTATTAATAGTGGCCTACTCAGCCATTTCTGGACATTTGCCAGCAAAGCAGAGTCTTCAACGTTAAATTTCCGCTTAACAATACAAATACGTTAATCTTCCAATTTCCGTTTTATAGTACAAACACGAACAGCTTTTTCCATCTTCCCGCTTCGCTAAAATCGAATTGTACTGCAGCATTATATAAAAAATGATGCAGCGATATTTTAATTTTATGATTGTCAGTAAAATGCTAATTTTAAATTAAATGAAGTCTATGCATATATAAAGAAAAACATCAAAACCGGTTTTTGTTACGGAACTAAGTAGAACTATATTGGAAACGTTTTTTTAGAATCATAATTATAGACTAACTTAAGGTCTAGAATAGAAAAAGCGCTAATTCTAATCATGTAATAATTCTAATAGTAATGGCGACAAATATAATAAATGAAAATTAAGCTTTGATGTAGTTACCCATTTTCAGAATATGTAACTTTGCAATAAAATTTCAAAACGTCCTTTGGCACAACGCAAAATGGGTAGTAACCTCGATAACAGCAGAATCATGATGTTTGAGCAGCTGTATGGCAACCGGAAGTGGAGCGAAGCTGCGACTGCAACGTGAAACCTTCGTATCGAATGGCCGATTACCAGCGATCTGTACAACAATGCCGTTTATAGACTATTATAAAAATACAGGCTGAATCCGTAGGTTGTAATCCAATATCTAGTTCAGAATTATGGAAATCTACTGCTTTTCCATTTGAAGGAACTCGCAGTAATTATTACTTGTAGTTGTAGGTCCACACAGTTTTCTCCTCTATGGAAGACCTTATAACTGAAATGAATCGCAGTGGACAATACCGTTTGTGTCAGTTGTTACATCTACGAATCTGCACTGACCAATATGGAGATTACTCATACTACGATCATGCCCATGAAAAGGCCAACCACCGGGATGATCGTTACATAACGGTTAGTGTATCCGATAATCCGCCATGGAATTTCGAAAGTCCCCCTAATTCTGGATGCTTTTGCGGAGTGTCCATTAGCATTCTGTCCATTATTTCCAAGGAGTTGAATTATCGGTATGTATCGAACAGCAAAATCGTGCATGATACGAATATAAATACAAGTATAATTTTCTGTGATTTTCATCCACTACAGTCTACACTCTACAAATACTGTGGCCGTAAGTCTCTATACGTTACGGCCCGTAACCAATTCATAGAGACTTCATAAAATTGATCAAGACACTCTATTGTTCATGATGCACAAACTTTACTTGCGAGTTACTGCTTAAAATTCTCGAACCATTGCAAATTAAAAAAATCGAAGGCTTTCACCTAACACTGTGTTGGAAATATAATTATCTGTGGGTTCAATTAGATATTGAGTAAAATCAGCCATAAGTACTTTGTACAATTACGGTATTATTTGTATTTCCAAAAATCACATTGTTGTATACTGTATAATAACTTTAGTAACCTTTATGCAAGAAAAAAGATTTCTTAAAATTTCGTGCAGATTCCAGCTGATTTTTGCCAAGTCACCGCTAAACAAGTTTAGGACATCGGACAACGTGTCGTACGATGGCTCGCCGGCCGACGTATTATTAGGCAACGTCATGATGAGCGCGTGTCCGCTGGCCGCCAATCCGGCACGTGTCCGCGATTTCGAACTGATTGCCGGATACATCACACGTGATTACTACATTTCCGTGCACAACCGGTCTTTCCTCGATGCTACCATGACGTCGCAACCCATCTTGACGACGTTGGTGTGGAATTCGCTACAGGAACTCTGGCCGGGAATGCTGGTGGCTGCATTCGGATTGGGATGCGTGACACTGGTGACAAACCACATAACAAAGCGGTTAATCAATAGGCGCTACCATAAACCCGTCAGCGGTGGAACTGTGATATCTGTTCAGGGTGACAGCGCATTAAACAGCGAATCGATGTGGGATCGGTTTGTATTTATGGGACAGGATGCCTTACAAGTTGGCTTCAAGATCGCGGCTAGTATTTTCAAGCAGTGTAAGAGCGCAATCTGATAAAGTTGTTTGATAAATATATAAATATACAAAAGCATTACAATAAAGTGAATAAACCGCAGTATAAAGTGAATAAACCGCAGAAGGCTTTTGCTATCTAATGTTGTCATTTTAACTTGAAAAGTTAGCGTTAAATCACGAGAATAGTATTACAGTTTCATAATTAATGTTTGCAGTAAGGCGTGGCATGTGTAATTGTGTATCATATTTCACCATAATCGCTGAGATAGTCAGGGCGTCTGATGTAGGTGAACGTTACCGACCTGGGCGTTTCCACGGAACAAATCTCGCCGGATTAATTTTGCTAATGTATTCGCTGGTAACTTCCAGTATAATGGATGCCCGGTTAAGTTCTAGTTTGACGGCATCACCATTTGTACCACCATTTCAAAGTGTGTCGGAATTCGTCACTTCCAATTTCGTGCCACTACTCCAAGCGGGAACGATACAACTTGCTTTAATGGTCCGCATTTGCTGTAATTATTACATGTTACGATAATAATTATAATAAGAACACATCTCTGTAGATGAAACTGATAATAAACCATAAAACCGTGATAAATTAAAACCAATAAAACTTCTTATTTGCAACTGTTACGCAGATAAAGTAAATAAAGTACGCAGACTAGGGCGCGACCGTTATATAATTTTCTACTCTCATAGATACATTCTAACAAAGCCCTATTGAAAATAAATGTACACAGCGAATAATTTGTTTGATTTCAGAACAGCAGTGGTTTACGCGAAGTGCTCCCGAAAGTGATGATCTATGACTCGGGAAGCTCTGTGGACAAGTTTGTAGACTATGCGACAACGCTATCGCAGACCAGCAATATTGCCTTGATTGCCACGGAAGAGACGGCGGTGTTCCTCAAAGGAGGATTCATCCCGGTTACACCAACAAACCTTTTTGGTTTTATTGCCATTTTCCAGCTGCCACACCAATCGCCCTTTGCGCGGAATATTACTGAACTGTACGCGCTGCCGTTTGCATGTATAACCATTTTCGTTAACATGTCTGATTTATTAGCAAAGATGCATCATGCACTGCAGTTTACTGTATATCTAGAATGGACCGTCTAGCCAAAACTGGGATTCTACAACATTTCATCGATCTTCACAAAACCATTGGCTACGCGGCGCACCGAGAACCTATGAAATTCCAACTGCCACCAGTCAATAAAGATAACAATAACACTCCCATTCGGATCTTAGTTTTAAAATCTACTCTTAATCTAATCTTGTCGATGTTTGCCGTCAGTGGCCTTTTTCTCCTCGGCGAACTGTTTGTAAAAAGTCGAGATGTTTGTTCAACCGAGAAATAAAACGTTACCCGGCCAGTCATTGCGTTTTCCCGGGGGTGAAAAGGGCACTTCCATTACAAACAGGTAAACGCACGTAACGGGAAGATCAACATTCCATTAGCATGCTGATCACTCAATTACAGATTTCGGTTTACGCCGCATAAACCGTCCATTAATCAATTAGACCAACGGAAACGCGCACAGTATCCGCCACTTGAATGCCCTACATCCAATTTGTCCATCCCTTCTTCAGGCTTAATTCGATTAGCGTCCCAATCAACATGCAGCCTACCCACTTACGCTTCCCGTGTGTCATACATTCCTGCCTATATAACACGCGACGCTGCGATTGGTCGACGCAGACAGCCAAACTGCCATTGGTCAGTTTGGACGCCGTGTGGCGGCGGTAAATGGGCGCATTTAAAGACACGACGGGCCGCTGATTAAACCTCATTTAGCCGCTTGTCAGAAACGGATTAGACTCTCATTGGCACCTTGGTGTATTTCGGCGGGGTGGATAATGAGCAGAGAAAATTATTTAGCAGCTAACTGGCTAAACTGGATTTCTGCAAAAGTGTTCGTAGTTAATTTCGCTAAATAAGCTCATCAATGGATCGCCGAAATTTGACAGCCGTGCCGCAGCTGGCAGAGGGTTAGTAAATAATTGCAATTAATTTACTACTACATTATTACACTACACTGGTGTCCATTATTTTACTCGTTTTGAAAAGCATTCTTCAGTCTATATGAGTCACAACTATTGAAAACTGTCCCAGCAAGTTTCATATGTTGGCGGTGACCTTTACAGAATCCATTCAGCGATCGGTTATCCATGGCATTAAGACCGAGGAGCCAATGCATCCAAAGACTACGTCCAGCCGGGATTTGAGCGACTCCAGTTTGTCGCAGGCGTGTGAGCTAACCACTTCCACCGATAAGGTCATCAAACAGAAACGCCATCGAACCCGGTTTACCCCACCACAGCTGCATGAACTGGAGCGATGTTTCGCCAAAACTCATTATCCAGATATTTTTGTTCGTAAGTGGCATATGAACCGATTTTTGTGGAATAATAGTGAACTGATGCAGCGGTGTTTAAGAAGCGTTATGATTGGGGTCTACGGTGTTTGAATTCCAAAAACGTAGTTACAGAAATTTTTGTGAAATGGGTTCTAACCATAAAACCGAAGAAGCGGGTTCGCTAGAGGCGGCGGTCTATTATTTTTCTGGCTGTCGTACTGAGTAGACCCCTAGTATCTGTTATTTTGCACCGGCCATGCATATGCGGACACTTTATTTCTTTCCTGTTTTGCAGTCGTACAGCTGTTGCAAACAGGAGTATTCAGGGAAAATCTAACTAAGGTTCAAATGTCGTGGATGAGAACTAACCGTACCGCTTAAAGTTTTATTCGGCAAAAATGTTTTCCGGCAAAACTTATTTAAAAGTTCTTTTTGCAACATCTTGCCTCTGGCACCAGGTTTTACAGGCAGATTGACGTTAATTGGCCAGCTTCCTTCTTCCGATACTGTATCTAAATTGTTCTAAACAGAGCAGTATCTGACATGTTTTTGCACCATCTAACACCCGCTTCTGAAAGCAGGCTGTCATGTCTAATTAGGGAACTGCGTCCTCTTCCGATACCGTATCGAAACAGATCACAGTGATCAGTTTCTGACATGTTTTTGCAGGTGAGGAGATTGCGATGCGTATCGGCCTAACGGAATCCCGTGTGCAGGTAAAAAGCGTTGTGTAAACATCCACCACAAAATTGTTCTTAAGCCAGTCGCGAAGAATGCCAAGAATCCTGATGAACCTATCATAAAAATTGATGCCCATATCTTGTTTGTGTCTGGCCGGACTGCAATTACCGCGTAGTGCGTTGTTGACATAGCGGCTGTGCGCTGTGGCCATTGTCGCGACTAGCCGCTGGCCACGTGTTTACTGAGGGGCGCGCGGCGCGCATGGACAGTGGACAGATTAAGCTGCTGCTCCAGCACAGTGTGACAGTTAATGGCGTAATGGCGCAGTGCCGGCTTTTATCTTGGCGGTATGTCCAATTAGCAGGCATTAACACCCGCGCGCTTACACTGACGCGACAAATGTGCGCTTGTAAATCGCTTGACCACCCGCCATCCCGGATGCGGGCGGCGCTGGCCGGTGGTGTTGATTGGCTATAAATCAATTCGCTGCGGCATCGTCTGTTGATTATACCTACTCGTATAGTTTAATTAACTCTGGTATTCTACTATAAAATGCATTTTTCACCGACTGCAAAATCCTTTTGAAGATATTCATCTTGTTTTAAAGTACTCACTCGGAACTGAGGTTTCACAGAATACCTTTAATCTAATTATGCCTTTTTACCTTCAACAAACGCACCAATAATACTTTTTTAAACAAGTTAATGAATCAAATCTTATGATAAAATGCGCAGGGAATTGCCTAGAAAAATAACAACCGAAAATACTTATCAACCCTGCGTTAATTTGCGTATGATTATCACAAGAACTTCTGATGTTTTGCTTGTCGCGTAAATCAACATGAAAATAGATGTACACGTGTAGATGAAAAGATAGGGTGCTCTCCATGCGATGTTAGAGTAGGGGCAATTTGTTCCACCTGCATTTCGGTCAGTATTCTGGTCAAAGGCCATTAAGGCCTCTTTTCTTCCACTCGGCCGTCACTCGGCTGTTACGCTAAGGGCAAACAAATTTCGTCCATATTGTACCATTTGTGCGTAATCAAGTGGCTCGGACTTAAAGTGGCCTTTCCCGCACGCGTCACTGCCCTAACACGCGACCATTATTGGATTAGGATGCACTTCAAACGGCTACTGACAAAGGGCACTGTTTGTACATTTTGACTGCGGTAATTTACTTATCACACCTAAGTGAAAGTTTTCCGACTCACAAATAAACTTATGCAGGAATTCGTTTGCTTGGTTAAAAGGTCGAATACGCACCGCCGTTTACTGAAAATCCTAAATTATTTACTTGCTACTGTGTTAGACCGCAACAATTTGTGGCGTAAAACGGTAAGTAAAAAATGACCCTGTAGAGAAAAACATGCAGATTATAAACCAAGAATTCTGTCAAGGGCTAATCACACATACATACATACTCGTATATCACGAAATCATTATCAAAGTTAAGTGACCTTTTACACTACGAATGTTAATACAACATATGGAGCTTATAAGCAAATGCAGAATTTGTATATTACGTAAATCCCGCATATCACGCCTGTGGGTGTTGCAGGTGTGGTTCCAGAATCGTCGAGCTAAGTGGAAGAAACGCAAGAAGGCCATTAGTCTGCTGCGTCCACCCGGCGCTCTGTTGCCCTCGCATCCAGGTCTGCCGGGATTCGGTGCCACCGCGGTGGAGTGCTTCGCCAATAACACCATGGCAGCGGCGACATTCGGCGTTAATGTGGCAGCTGCGGCCGCCGCCGCGGGGAACGCCGGACAAAATATGCCGGATGGACGTGCGTGCACTTGGCCGGGAGCAGCAGCATTTGCGCCAATGAGCGGTGCTCCCAATGCCGCCAGCAAATATTCCAGTAACCTTCCGGTGAATAACGCAGGTAAATTTGCCGACTTCTTTATTCTGCACATTTCTTTTTCAACAGTGTAAATTTCGCAATAATAGTCGTTTTTTGGAATCGTAGTTTAGTAATTATGCATCAGAATAGCTGTCCAGGAAGCATTTACGAAATATACTGATAAAAACCGAAACAGTTTATATTGAGCATTAGTAGGTTATTTTCGTTTTGAGACTTTCATTTAGAACAGCTGAATTATTACGTTAGTTAATAAAGAATTAAACACAAATACACGGCCAGCAACAAAATATATTTTCGGCATACTTGTATATAGTCCCCGTCATATACTCCACAGAATACGGATGGGTGAGTTCGCCGGTAGTGACAGGTGTGCCGCATCAAATCCCGGACAACAACAACAGCCAACTGTTTTCCTCAGCGGGCAATCCCTATGCGAATTACTCAACGTGCCCGCCTACCCTGGTGGGCACCCAGTCCGGATACTCCCTGGCCGGAAACGCCCTGCCGGACATCCTAATGAATCCCTTCCCGGAAGCCCATGGCGACGGTTGGCGCAACGTTAACTCCACAATCTCCAGTTTCCGACGGAAGGCACTGGAGCATGCCGTGCAGGGCATGAACAGTATGCGTTGACACTTGGTAAAAGGATAAACAAGAATTCTCCGCAGGAACCCTCTTCGATTGTATAGCTTGTTGAACTTTTAACACATTCCATTCCTTTTCTCCAATAACCTTTGCGAACGGCGCGATAAATTTGTGCTGTCATAGTGACCCCGTTGATTGTAAATACTCATTGCAGTGCAAAATATCGTAACACTACCGTTCATATAATGGTAGATGTTTCCTTTTGGTTTGGTCGATCTTGGTGCATTTTTGTACCGTAAATTTTTATTTTTTCTGCCTATGTAAATTTTCATTCAGGATTTCTTATACTGCAGGACAATTATTCTTTGTCTACCGCTGTAGCTTTTACTTTGGCTTGTGTTGTACAGTCTAAAATATAATAATGTGTTGGGATGTGTTACGATGATATCGGCCACCGACATGGTTATAACTTCAAAGTCGGCGCAATGGAATAGTGACGAATTTTTACTAATATTAATAAGTTTCTGCATAAAGAAGCCATGATGCCTACCAACAAACCCATAACTTCCCCCCACCGTTTTTTTCGTGTTGAAGACACATATACGCATTTTACTAACAAAAATTATAACAGACAGTAAGAATTTGTTATGATTTTACGCTAACTTCTTGTTGGTTTTGATCTTTCTCCGACTTTTTGCCGAGAAATTCCCTGTAAAACAAAAATGCATGCTGCATACTTTAACAAATTGCGGCGATACCGAAACTCAGCTCAAGATTTTTCTTAAAGGCAGAACAGCACGATTAGGCTTTCGTTAAGGCACTTGTTGTAATACCATCAAAAAATAAAAGATTCGAAGAATATTGCAAAGTTATCGTGTTTCTTAATCCTTTAACCTTACATGATGTCTCGATAATATTTATGCTATTTTAATTTTATATGTGCGGGCATGCACAATACATGACTATAGTTTTATCACATACCAGTTCGTCACCATCATTTTTTGAACGGCCAGCAGGGCTTGGTAACGCACATCAGCGTCCGCATGGGAAAGAAGTGCCATTGCAGCCTCTTTTCCTCCGACTTTATCAATTATCCTAAAAGTATTATTACAATAAGTAAAATATTTAATGGTATTTCATCATTCGCAAGCAAACTTTCATAAGATGCTAGCATCTACAGAGTAAATACATTTAGTTTTACGCATTACGGTGCATTTTTTGCTGTTTTTGGTGTTTTGTAATTTAAACACCCCTTATTTCAGCGAAACAATATTCTAAGTAGGCAATTCATTTTCAACATTATGCAGTTTCCGTGAGAGAAAGAAAGTAAACTATGCACAGACTAAAAATAAACGATAAATATATTACATATAATTATTTATTTTTCTTAGACTGTGTGCGTAGTTCGATAACAAAAAATTGTTTTACAATTTCCACAAAACAATTTCACGACGTTAATCACAAACTTACGCTTTCCCCCGAGGGCTGAAGCGAACGTATTGACCAATATCGTGCACGGCCACGCTTAATACAAGCGGCTCTTTGGAGCGTTGCATGAGATATACCAGGATCCTGGAAAATCAGCGCTTGATTTATACTTACAAGTTACACACAGAGTACGAGTACATTTCGAACGAAAACTTCGCGATAGCGGCTGCTTACTTAAGCAGTTCGTAATTGGCTTCGCTAAACCGGGCAGCGTTTTCTCTCCAGAATGTTTCACTCTTATGAGCGGGACTCCATTCCAGACTGCCGCTCTTCAATTCGGCCATATATTCGTCGAAAGAACTGAAAACAATTCAGTAATCAATAATAAGTACAACAAAATCACGTACCGTTTTAACCACATGTGTACCACTCTGTACACTCATTAACTGCGATATAATGTTAATATTTATTTACATTACTTGTTGCTTATTACCTCGCACATAAAACTAACACAGTACCGGTAATTTATCAGTAAAGGTACATTTGCACACTGTATACGCATAGCTGTACTGCAACAAGCTGTACGCATTTCTTAAATACGCAAGTTACCTGATATGTTCAGCGGCTTTGTGCAGTGCCGTCACGAGATATTCCACATCTTCCAGTAAATCGGGGTCAACTAAACGGCGTTTCTCAATGTGCTCCAGAGAACGAATTATTCTGGCATGCACCATACAAATCCCCAGCTCCTTCAAGACTTCCGGGTCATCGTCGCACTTCTCTAATAAGTTCTATAGATATACGAAAATATTTCCGTATTAATCGTAAGTAAAACGTGTTTTGCTAAAAAGTCAAAATACAATACTTCACAAGATTGAAACGTCTTTCAAATTTAATTTTACATATTTTTAAGTCAGATCACATTAATTTTTGATAACGAAAAAATGTACATTGTACAAATAAGCACCTACGTATAATCCGACGTACCCGCAATATCGCCAAGGTAATACGAATGACCTTTTCCTTCTGACAATCCGTAAGAATCTTTCCCATGATTGGAACCACGTTATGGCTATCAAAACATTTGCAAGTTTTATTATGTTCATGAAACGCACACAGTTATTACGTTTACCTGAGAAATTCTTTGGCAACGTCCGCGTCGAATGTCAGACACCACAAACAGAAAATCAGTTGATACTGTAATTGACTGTTGCTGGCATTAGCGTTCAACGCATTGACGATTCTGAAAAATAATCAAAATTAAAATTTGATACTTCCATCGACGATATATTAAGCACTGTTGAGTGGGACTATTAAACATATTGGTCCACCATAGTCAGCGTTCATATGGATGACTGTTCTTAAAGATTAATTACCCCGTGATACCGTCATTTTGAAGGAAAGCCAATCGGTATTCACGGATCCGTAGCATCATTTGCAGGCAGCGAACGGTTGTTTCCTTGTACTCGTTATTCTAAAGGCAAACACCGGTTTTTTTAGTGCAAACAATTTCAACTGTCTTACGTTTTCATGATTACGGTAATTTTATTTCTTACAGTTAAAACTTCAGAAGTGTTTTTGTATTAATAATGTGCGCAGGCACTAGGGTAGGACGTCTAATCTGAACCAGTTCAAATGATATTTCCCTTTCTTGAGAGATATCGGCGTATTAGTACACCCACACTACACCGGTAGCATCCACTTTCCAGGTGATCATAATTTTATATTTTCCCAAATCTTTGAAATTACCGATGAGCGTAGAATCAGTTTAAGGAAAACCAGATAACTGGACAGATCGGGCTCCTCCATCAGGGACGCACTCCAACATGCACATTTGGCAATAATGCGGGCAGTTTGGTGCATAATGTACAAATCTGTCCGGTTAAGGAATGGGATGAACAGGCTGGCCACTGTGACGGCCTGATTTTCCGCGTAAATATTCAGTCCTCCGATGCGGGTGCGATCTTGCTGCAACAAATGTTAATAAATAATAAATAACAATTCTCACAATAATTAAGGTGCGTACGAGAATCAGCCGCATTAGCACTCGCACAATAGATTAGCGTCGCAATGTAATTTGCGGCACCACATGCTGTTGTTCAAGACACATACGAAGCGCAAGTCTATGGCACAAAAAAGTATACACCTATTGTGTATTGTGTATTAAAATAATATATTATACTCTAATCGGCAGAAGACATCAGATAACAGAAAGTGAATAACATTCTAGTCATCTTGCTATATGCCTAATTCGGTAGATATCAGCCAGTGAAATTATATTTCATGGTATACCTCAAGGGAATCATCGATAAGTGTCAGTAAATATTGGATGGTATCGTCTTTGGATATATTGTTCAGCAATTCGATAAAGCATTCAGCTACAAAAACCCCCTGATCGCGGAATATCCATCCTCGCTTTTCCGGTGAATATTTGTCGACGTTGATGATGACATCAAACTGTTCCTGTGTGATGAGTCCGCTTTGTAGATAAGCGCCCCAGTTGATTTTTCTTTCCCGGATCTCCGCTCTTTTTTGCGAAAACGCGGAAATCGGCATTTTTCCTTCTGCATAAGCAACGGAAACTCACGTTACACAGTGTTTGTACAATACATAATCATCTCGAAAGTGTAAACATTATACAACAACGTTATACATTATCTATTTTCTTGAATGACATACAAGTAGAAATTCTTAACTTGTTCCATCGTGTGCTATTAAAATCACTAAAATTAATGCAAATTTCGGCGCGCACCGTAACTGTATAATTTACGATCTGACCTTTGACGTCTTCGATGACTTCCGTGTCGGCCGCCAGGGTGGGCCGGATCCACAGCTTCTGGTTGAATTCTTGTGATATTTTCCGAACTGGTTCCAGTTTCCGGTTTTGCGTTGGCGACAGACTCCCACTTGCGACATGCGAGGGCAGCACGGAGGTACCGCGACCTGTTAATCCCGCCTTCCGTTCGGGAGACAGTGCTCGTCCCGGACTTTGCGACCGCTCCCTGATTTTCTGCAGAAATGCGCTAACCGATAAATCTTACGTACACTACAACTTACGAGTGATTTTTTATAGTGAGCCGCCAATGCGTTATGAATAAATATTGTTATCCGCAATTCGGCCGTAAATATTGTGCAACTTTAATCTACATACTAATACGGGCATACTATGTCAGGAAATGCGCGAAGTAACACTGTAACAGAGTAGAAGACTGTAAAAATTCCGGGTAATAGGATAGAGCTCACATTCGTTTACGAGTTACGATCATTTAAACATTAAAGTATTCCCAACCAGAAAATAAGCTAATCAAGAGCTGTGACTATTCTTACGAGGATTACCAGTGAATACAGTTTCTTTAATTCTTTAGTTAACTTTGAATTTGCAAATATTATCAACACGCGCTCTAGCACTTACCTTCAGCTTACCGGCAAAACTGTTCATGATACTCTACTATATCACTCTAGAAAAAGACTACCGTTCCTAATAACGGTAATAATTTATACAAATTTTAAAAATATCATACGAGAGACACTTTCAAGTTGAAAGTTTCAACATCTATTAATGGCTCTCGTGCAGCTTGAGCTGCAAACCACAACGCTAGCTACACGCGGTAGTCAACCTATATTCAGCGTAGTGGAACTTTTTAACTGCTGCTACAGCTTCTTGCCATATTATGCCGTCTCGCTCTAGCTGGTCTTCGGAGTTTTTAGTGAAAAATACCCGTCTGACTTCTTTTCCCGGAATATGGCCACAAAATATATCAACATCACCCCGGGGCATCCAATATTGGTGCCGTAAATGTAAACCTACCACTACAATACTTGTACTTACTATAAATAACAAGTACTGTACTGCTTAATGCCACTTGCCTGTCGAAAGAAATACAGTTCGATTGTTATGATCCGGGTGTCAAGCGTTTTTAGTTTTCACGGATTACTGATGCAGCGATCGTAGATCACGGTACCTGGATCGAAGCAAATCACAATTCACATTCATCAGGTTGTACTTGCTAATTAAGGTAACATATCACTAGTATACAGCAAGTGTATCGGAAAAATAAGCAATCGAAGTGAGCATCAGTGGCTAATAACTTGCAATCAGTGATGAATCCTGATCATCATACACTAACGAAAGTAACGATAGGATTTCTGAATGCGCAATAAAAACTAAAATATGCTTATACTAACAACTGCGTTTGCATGCAAACTTCTGCTGGGATTCGGAATGGAAACGCTAATGCATGCACGTATTATGCAAGGGATAATAAAGGGATATTAAAGCCTCTTCGTAACTTCGTCTGCATTTTGTAAGCAACTCGAGTCAGTGCCTTGAAGAAGTGCTAATTACTTGCAACGTATCATTACCCTTATTTGTGCAAGGGAACGATAATTTTGTCGGTTAAAAGATACCCATCTTCTGGACGTTGAACCATTTAATTTCGGTGTCAACTTTCTGCTCCTCAATAGTTAACAGTAAACTGCAAAACATAATTTTTCGGTTGCTCGGCGCGGCTGTGTCTCGCTACCTCGAGGCGGCGGTTATTACTACTACCATCGCTAAGCATTTCCGGTGTGGAGAATGGAATTCCAGCCCAAGCTATACAGTTTATGTACGAATGGAATGTCTTTCACAACTCTCAAGTCCCACATGCTTTCTTCGGGCATCTCCATTTACGTCAAGTATTTTGTCTAATCACCAATAAAGCACAACACTGGCTGGCAGCCTGGCACGACAGCAGAGAGAGTAAAGCAACATCATGCGTATAAAATGCAAATGAGAATTTAATTAGATGTTAATAACCGCAACACGCCACTTTTTTTCCTGTTATGTTTTTTCACTCCGGAAAGTTTTTTGTAAAATAGCCCGACATTTCCGCACGATTCGAATTGAAAACGGGGAAGGAAAGGGGGAAATGGTTCGGTTTTAGTGTTTTATTTTTAACCAAAAGGCGCTGTTAGTGCTACGCAGTGTGTTATCAGTGCGGATCGGAAACGTCAACATCGCCCTTGAAGTCGCCTGCATCGTCCCATGGTAAACAGATGCGCTTCCCCTCCGTCAGCACCGTCTTCGCATGCCCCGATCGATACTCCATGGCGTGATTGTTTTATCCCGGGACTACCCAGCGGATTGAGGGTGTCCTAATCCGCAGTTGACAGTTGTTGGCAGTGTGATGGTGTCTGTCGAGGTCGACGACATGTTGTTGCTTCTTCCTGTGTTTTTATGATGAGTTCTCCTGTTCCGTTTGGTGGTTACGCCAGATGACGGTGTGAGCGTCTTGTGGACGCTGTGGTCCGTGTGAGTCGACGTGGGAGTGGGGAGAATTCGCGGGATAACGCGCCAGAGGAGCCATGTCGCAGATCAGCGTGCACAGTGATTCATCGCTGGCCACGATTCACTCATCGCATCCCAATGTCGTTAGCGAGGTGGTGAAACATTTGGCCGCGGTGCTCAAGCTCCTGAGGCCGCAGGATCAACTAAAAATGGTAGGTTTTTTCCTAAATGAAATCAAGCATTTTTTGAGAACAGCGGGTTTTCGAAGTAGAGATCGAGCCAGATTTCGATAATTTTTTAATTGTTTTAGCGTTGTTTTTTTCTTCCAGTTTGTTGTGGTGGCTGATGAGCGTTGCTAGCTTTATAAAAAATGTTAATGAAATATCAAGGCATGATTTTGAAGGTTGGCAGTTTTCTTTAAAGCCTCGAAAATGCCATTTGCTAGTCGTTGAAAGTCTTTCTTAGCAGGAGACAGTTATTCAGAAAATTTCCTATTTTTCGGAATTTTTTATTCGTGCAGTATTATAACGTGGGTTGTGGAGAAATTCGAAGCCCAAAGATATTTAACAGAAGGAGGTTGTTGACCGGATGTGTCTTGTTTGGGAATTGCATTAGTATTCCTATGGCATCGCGTCACACGTGCTCGAGAGCTTTTTTCGTAGATTGACCCATTTTTTTCATGACGAATCACCTGGCTGAATAGTATATTTATAATTTTATCCACTGGAAAAAGCTTGACTTTAATAGATTTTTGAAAGTAAGTCAGGATCATCTTCATAGGCCAGCTGGTATTAGAACGGGAAGAAAAAGGGTTGTATAAGTTTATGGGAGCTCTTGGTTAATTTTCAGTTACTCCAACTTTTTTCCTGTAATTCCGTGTTACAAAATTTTTGTTATGGGTATCCTACTTGTATTTATTCTGCTGATTTTTATTGATACTGTTTTATTCATTGTAGCGTTTAAGCGCTGAAAATATTGCCGTTTTACTTGTAAAAAAAGTGCTGTTTACGTGCTGTTTCGTTGTGTTTATTAGTTTTCTGGTCCTTTACCGTTTACGTATGTTTTGTTTGAACATTCAGCAGTATTTTATTTTGTATCGCTGTCAAAGATACCTGACTATCTACACTACAGTGTAGGATCGCTTCGTAAACTGTACACATTAATATTGCATCGATTTACATATTCGGATGCAAAGCGGCAGTCGATTATATTGTACCACTCTTGACAATTAAACGGAGACTGCCTTTTTACAAACGGGGCTGCAGTAAAATGCAGGTCAACTAAATTATTGATTAAATTTCATCGATTTGTATGAAATCTTTTGCTGTTGTAGGTGGTCCGTCTGGAGTCACTGTTAACCTGGGATGACCACATCCGCTACCTGGCCGTCATCTCCACCAAGGATCCCCGGCTATCCGTCTCATTAACAGACCTGACCCAACTGGAGTCTTTCCCGGAGGAGTTCTGCATCCTGGGCATCGACGTGCCCATCACCCCCACCAATCCCCTCCTGCACACCCCTTCCCCCGCCCTCCAGCCCGCCGCGGTCTCCACCTCCGCTCCCGGTTCCCCACAGAAGGCCCAGCGCTCGCACTCCACCGTGTCGCCGGACCAGCACCAGGGGATTGGGTCGCGCATCGCGTCCCGCACCCGCAAGTTCCTTACCCTGCCAAAACAGAAGAGCCAGACCAAACAGCACACCCAGCAGCCCAGTCCGACATCCCCGCGGATGGCCAAACGGCCCAGCATCTCCTCCAGTGTGGTGATTAAGCTGGATGATTTGAAAACGGACGGGGAAAAAGAGGACGTGAAGATCTGCGTGGGTTTGGCATTGCCTATCACGGCGGATATGAAGATCACGCTGGATGGAGACGGGTAAGATCCTTGGACGCTTCGAAATGTTTATTCACTTTCTATACATATTTTATACGTACGTTACTTTCTTATACAAACTATGGAATTCAAAATTTTGTTACCAGCCAGATGTTTTGTTTTTCGGTGCTCCTTGATTACGAAATAGTATTTCAGTTCAGCTTTTCTAAAAACGTGAGGAAATTGCCATAAGAATTTCATATCTTTGTATTAATCATACTTGTATATGAAATTGTTCCGTCCCTTTTTTATGCAGGTACTAATATTTTGCATATATTTTTGTTTTTATTTGGTTCCCTTTTAAACAAATTGTATTCAGACCGGAAAGTTTTTTCGCCAGCCTGCAGATGTTCTTTTGTTCGGTACCACTTAAATAACGGAAGAATATTTAAGTATAATTTTTTCTCGTTAAAACGTGGGAAATTTGCCAGATATTGTCGACGGACATCGAGGTTTCCGCTAATAATCTTTTGTTTGAACAGTTTTTTACCGAATGTTGTGGGATATGTGTACGGTTTGAGTGGTTTATGCTGACGTGAAGGGAACTGTTTGTTAAGGTTTCATTTTACGCAGACGGGGCGTTATGTAAGGGAGCCGTAAATCGTATTACTTACTTTAGTCAACGGATTTCATATGTATGACAAAAGCAGCCAGTGCGTATTCGTTTCCTTTTGGGATTACTCTCGTCGGAAGTAAGCACTTGTTTTTGTGGCTCGATCGATATGCATCGATTAGTTCCGCTGTGATTGGTTTTGATCAAATCATTAAAGGGAAGTTGTGGTAAGCAGAAAGAGTAATCAGAAAAAAGATCTTTTGAACGAGTTCGTTAATGCAAAAACCAGATTTACGCGTAGCAAACTTGCCCGCATGAACACTCATAGTTTGAAACTTTATTTTTGGAGTACAGTGATCTTGCGAATTAATTAATTGTAGGTCTCGTTCTGCAGGCGATGTATAAAATAAAGCACAAAAACTGCCAACGAGTTCGCACTACAAAGTAATAATTCGTATAGTGAGTGCACCGTCCGTTTACTTCAGGAAAATTTTTATAATTTGATTCCAAACTGCCATTTATGACGGCATTTTCAATAAATATGAGTTACTGAATATGAGTTACTGCAGTTTGTTTAGGGCTTTACGTCAAAAGTGCGGTTGCGCTGTCATCTGCGTGCACGAGCGGACAATGTGCGTTATACCCATAAATGGAAGAAATATCGGTTATTTGTCTACGTGTGACAGACCATTGACATTAGCATTCTTTCGCGCTCTACCGCTTTTTAAACCGATTGTATTCGAATGCGCATTTACAACGCGGAAATGCGCAATATCATCCCGGTTGACATGCGGCACACGTTTCGATCAGTTTTGCATAATATCGGGTCCTTCCGTACGTAGAAGTAGAAGTATACATAACCACTGACCAACCAGCCTTAGTTTTTCATTTGCTGCATAGCTAATAGCTTAACCTTGGAATTAAAAAAAGTCGCTCAGACCGGCTGTACATTCTGGAAGCCAGCATGTTGTTCGAACTGCTTTCCGACAGTGTTTCCTGGTACGTTTGCAGGGGCTTCCGGATTGATAACCGGTTGTACCACCACATCTTCAAGCCGGTGAGCGTCCAGGCCATGTGGTCGGTCCTGCAGACCCTGCTGAAAGCCAGCGAAAATGCCAAACGCTTCGTGCAGTCCGCACACCGTCTACTACATACGTGTTCCTCCACTATCTCCCTCTCCACGACCACCACCACCACCCCGGGCTCCTCCACGACGACACTGACGCAGCAGGAGACCAGTTCCATGGTCAGTCTGGAGCAGATGACCGCCGCGGCCACCCACAGCTGGGTGGATCATTATGCGCGAAAAATTGATTCGCAGTCCCTGTGGGTGAAAGAATGGCATCTGATCTTCGATGATATTGTCAGTCTGACCACGGAGGGACATGGTGGGGGTGGGGAGAAGACGCGGAGGCCCTTGAGCCCCCATATGTCGCGACACCGGCAGCAGGTGATATAAGCTTTGTAATTTAGGAAACCTAATTAATAAAAATTGAAAAATAATTATTTAAGAAGTAATTGTGTTAAAAACAAAACATATGTTAATTTAATAAGTGGTATTTTCTGGGTTAACAGCATAGGATGCCGATTAATAAAAGGATTTTGAAAAATGTTTTTCTGTGCCTTCCTGGAGTTGAATACAATATTCTGGACCAGCTGCTATTTGCTTTACTGCTTTTATTTTTGATTGAATATTTTGAAAAATTGTTTTGTTTTTTCGTTGTTAGTTTGGTTGGTGCTTACCGGACCTACACATTCTTCGGGATTATTATATTTACAGTTTCGCTTTTTACTGTTGTATTCTGTGGCAAAATGCATTTGTGATTAATGATGCGCTACTTTTCTTCGCTTTGGTGCTGAAGAAACCGTTGAATCGAATTATAGTGAATAAATTTTGTGATTGTTCCTTGAAGGTATACACACCAACTGAGATGAAAATCCGCCAGCACCTCCGTGATGTAATGTTGACACTGGATCTGGAGCAAGTCAACAGTAAAGAAATCCGACAGCGCGTCGAATCCACCTTGAAAATGGACCTTTCGGCGTACAAATCCTTCATTGACCATGAAATTCTTGTGATTCTGGGCCAGATGGATTCTGCGTCGGAGATCTTTGACCACCTGTACCTTGGTACGGAATGGAATGCGGGAAATCTGGAGGAACTCCGGAAGAAAGGCATCGAGCTGGTCCTCAACGTCACGACGGAAATCAACAACTTCTTCCCGAACCTCTTTCATTACCAGAACATCCGGGTGAACGATACGGAGGAGGAGGATATGCTGCAGCACTGGGAGCGGGCGTTCCGGTACATTGCGGATGCGAAGAAGGAGGGGAAGAAGGTGCTGGTGCACTGTAAGATGGGTGTTAGTCGGTCGGCATCCGTAGTGATTGCTTATGCTATGAAAGCCAACGATTGGGATCTGGAGAAGGCCATGCAGTTTGTCAAGGAGAGGCGGAGCTGCGTGCAACCTAATCCGGGATTTATGAAACAGTTGGAGGTATATCAAGGCATACTGGAAGCGAGGTATGGTTCTTGTTAAAACTGTATGGTACTGACGGGCCATGATACAAGTAGAAAAAGCAGTAAGATAAATTGTTTTATTTTCTTGTTTTATTTTCTCTGAAATTTTCTAATCCTTGGATGCCGGATATGGGTACATGTTTTCGATTGACATTCCTTTTCCCGTTATAAAAATAATTATGGAAAAATTTAAAAATGAAGTACTGTATATTGTGTACTCGTAAGTCGCAACTGCACTGTGTCGGTCTGGGCATAATTGCAGTGTTAAAGCGGCTATTGTTACGAAAATGCCATTACACTACGCTAGCACGATGCATCCAGTAGGTGTCGATATATTCAGTCATTATTCAACACAACATATCACAACATCCTTATTTATTGTAAAAGTTGACGTATTATTTAGTCATTAGTGTTACTACCGATTTTTAAAGCAGTTATTCATTTGATGACATTGTTTGTCTTCTTTGCAGCAAGCATCGCAGTAGTTGGCAGTCGGTATCCACAACCGGATCCACACTGTCGCTCAACGACACCCGCTCCCCCAACAAATTCTCCGCGTCCGAACTGGATGACCTGGACCTGTCCAACCTGCGACGGACCTCCTCGGAATTCTTCTCGGCCCCCAACCTTGCCCCCGCGGTCCCGCAGCGCTCCGAATCCCTCAAGTTGCCCTCCCGTCCTGCCACGTTCTATCTTGCCGGTGATACGGATTCCTCGAGCTCCAAGGCCGCCAAAGCCAAACGGGAAAAGCGGGAGAGCAAGTGGGAGGCCATTGAGGAGAACGTCTCCAAGGAGGAACCCGAGGACGCCTTCGGGATGTTCCGCATCGTCCTGGAACCCTCCCGGGGTGCGGATTCCTCGCAGCGGTCCAGTGACAAGCCGGCCGATCGCAGTGGGAGTTTCTCCTACACGAAGCAACGATCCGAGAACCTGGAGATTACCCGCCGAGTCACGTCGGTGCAGAAACTACGGAAGACGACGTCCGACATACCCGGAGCGGGCCTGTTTGATCCCGGTTGTACGAAGCATCGTGGTGATATATTGACCGAGCGGAATTTTGTGGGGGACGGCGGAAAGAAGCCGGATGGCTCGAAAGCGGCGTCCAGTGGGACGCGCGCCATTACGGAGCATCTGCGACAGGCCGCCAGCAGTTTCGCCTCCACCACCATCCCCAAAGCGAAATCCCGGCAGATTTTCGGCAGTCTGCAGATGGAGGGGAGTGGCAGTGGCGTGCCGCCTGTGAAGGAGAATAAGTATTACAGTGCACACCGGCGACCCGCCTCCATCCACGTATCGTCCTATTTAAAGCCCAAAGATCCTGTACAGACCTTGGTGAAATATTTTGACGAGCTGAATGTCGGCTCGCCGCCGCATGCGGCTAATCCCGCGCCCCAAGCTGCCCAGGTGTAATATGAACAACCCGAACTTTGATGGGGTAAACGACACACGTGTTTATATCGATTCTGCGTTCGTTTTTTTTCTAGTGAAATGGTTTTTCTGATTCTTGGTTTACATTTTAAAATGAATTTTATAATCGCATTTATTCTGGTTTTACTGACGTTGTCAATAAAGAGTGAACATACGAGTCTTTTGGCTTTCTGTTTCACTGATTTTCGTTTAGGTTCCTCATGTTGAGCCACTACGTAAATTGAAAATTTTAGCATAGTACGATAGCCTGGGATCCATAAGACTTTGATAAGATTGCTAGCATGTGTACGAACTGCGAAATATCAAATTTCAAACAAGATCTTTGCTGCCAAACGAAAATTTTAAGTCATGAGTACCTTTGTGTTCCCAATTACAATAGAGCGAAATAAAATAGGAGTAAATTAAAATTCAAACATAGCTCCTGATTTAGTTTTCCGCCTTATTGAACTCTGATCCATTTAGCTGCTGCCATTATTATTTCGTTAGCGGAATTTGAACACCGTAAGCGCTTAGCGAACACAAAAGTTTAGGCTTATCAGTATGAGTAACGGCGTTTCTCATAGTTTGGTGTAAACAAGTTAAACATATATTTCATGTGTTGCCCTTATCGGCATGTAATATGCCGGAGCTTTGTAGATTGTATTGTTTGCGTAACTATTCTCGCGTATATAACAGCATGGACGAAGGTAATGTGTTATCGCAGGTACGACAGTCGCGTTATTATCGGTGAGTCAGCCTTTTGTAAACTTATCCGATTTCGATTCTCTCCATCCAGTCAAATGTGTAAAGCATATTGCATAAAATCGAGGGTGTCCATAAATTGTCGTTTAAGCATAACCATTTCGCCGGCGTAACCCAGAGAGTTCCAAGAAATTAAGGCGGTGTTGTGCAGATCTTCTAGTGATACGTAAAATTTTTCCAGCAGTCAAAGGATCTCCTTGACCGGTAAGTGAATAATGGTGTCATCTTTTTGTATTTACAAGCTATAGTAGCAATTTTATACGATTATTTTTAATACTATTCGACAATGACTTAAACGAGCAAAACGCCGTTTAATAATCATATAAGCCGGCCATTGAGTTTACGTACTTTTCTCGTCACCGGTCGGTCAGCATATTTTAATTCACTAATTCATCCTTTTTATTCACGTAGATCCCAATTGTGATATTTTTTGTATGTACAGATTTTTTTGTAAAATCTTTGTGTTCGGTATCGCAGTGTGTGATTGCGTTGTCTTGACTTATTTCAATCACATAAATATCTATATATGACACGTATATTAAAGCAATCTACGTTATGCAGAAATGGCGCTGACGTGTACGGATATCTGCAAATTTATCCTTGCCTTATTTTTACCTCCACTGGGAGTGCTGGCGGAGAAGGGATGCGGAAAAGATCTCCTTATTAACATATTGCTAACGATCTTTGGTTTCATTCCCGGCATCATCCACGCTTGTTACATTATCCTAAAGTACTGATCGTCTTGTGATTGAAGAATTGTATTGGGCGTATCCTGTGCAGTTTGTACGCAAACTCTGACTTTAATCATGCTGTTAATTATGTCTGCAGCACTATTTAGTAGGTTAAAATGCTAAATTAGCGGTAACATTAATGGCAATTTTTAGCGCGAAAGCAAGTTAATAAAACGGAAACAACGTCGTTCTCCTACAGTGTAGTGACATGTATGTATACTTCTACCTACCCCATCAATATTAAAAATATGAATCATAGTAATATCGGTACAAGTATTTAGACGTTAACTCATACGGGAAACGTATGAATCACAATCACCCTTAAATCAGTGTTTTTTCGTCTAGAAAAAGACAAAATTTGTCCTGGAAGTTTTTTGTCGTAATCCGACATAACGTAATAATTTTGTCGGTACGAATTGTGCCCTCCCCGCCCCCCAATCGTTTATGAAATTAATTGCGGCTGTATTCTAAATATTATACATATTATCCGTTATATGTATTCTGTAGTACGATACTAGTAATTTTAATGCGATTGTGCGGATTCATTTGTTTCGGCGCTTTTCTTCATTAATCAGCAGGGCAATCTGGATTTGGTTGTTGTGGTGTATGTATCAATGTGGCAATAGTTTTCGGCTGATACAGAAATGACACTGGCATCGAACAGTTAATTAATAACAGTTTGGGCAAAATTGTATTCATCGTTTCCTGGAAAAATAACTTTTGGTCACTGCATTCTGCATGCAGACAGCTGCAGGTTTCTGCGTGGATGGTTTATTCAAACCATCCACTCCAATTCTGGCTTGATTAGCATTAAATTTTAACGTGCGGTTTGATTGTGAAGCAATCAGGGATTCATAACAGTGCAATGCGCACAATAACCATGCAACAATTCACCAAAGCAAAGAAATACGAGCATCGTAGGCAGGCATCAGTTTGTAATAAAATGCGGCTGCACTGTTCAGACGATTTCAAAATCTTTGCCTAAAGACGCAGTGACACAGCTTGTTGCTCCTGTTGATATCCCAATTAATTAAATAGTTCCATATGAGCTGCCGCCGATAATTATTTACTTGGAAACGCAAGACCAGTGAAATCAAGATTTAGTGGTGCAGTGCGGTATGAAGCTTGCGATCGACTAAAATATCAAATTTTGAGTTTGCATCGCACTGACAACTTTTGCCGCACACCATGGGACTGTACATATGGCACATTCAGCCGTTGCGACGCGACTCCGTGTGAAATCCTGATAACTTGTGATAAGAGACTTTTTTTATACTAGTAATATTATCACGCACGCGTCCGTGCGCGTCTGCTATGGGAGTTCAGCTATTGTAACTGTTTAATGTGTTCTGTTAATTAATCATAGGATTAATGAACAGAAAAAGGAAAAATAAAATGAACAAACGTTTTACAGTACATACTTCCGCGGTGTTCGTTATATACGTAAGCACGGTACACAGATTATATTGTACCGTTCCGAAAGTATACTGTACGTACATATAATATCTATAATATAGATATATTATCTATATATTATTATCGATCTATAATATAATATCTATAATATTTACTTATATTATAAGTATGCACATAGCGATAATATGTACACATGTTGTGTAAGTATGCGTATTTGGGCTTTTGAAATAATTTTTGCTGCATCTATCACAAGATTACAAGAGCCGTTATTTTAGAATTTTACAGTAAGTACTATGGATAAAAGCAGACTGTTTCGGTTTTGTGCTTACCGTGATTAGGAATCGATTTAATTTACAGGCACAAGGCGATTAATGTTTTAAGTAATTAACGTAATCGGTTAGTATTTCATGGCGCATGTGAAAAATTACACATACCGACTTTCATTAACAGTGTCTACTCACTGTTTAGCTGCTCCCGAAATTCTGAAGTCCGTAGGTCATACTATCTCGGTTATTGTGCGTACTCTCCGTAGTCAGCATAGATCTCTCTCCAGATTTGTGAAGTAAAGTATTTATAAAGTATTTATAAAGTGATATTATATGAAGTATTTTAAATGTTTATACGAAGTGCTACCCATATATGTGAATGCATATAATTATGTAAGTACGTATATGCAGATGCATAATGATGCATACTGCGCCTTATGCGTAATCACTGATAAGGGGCAGATTTTATAATCAATTATTAAGAACAAAAAATGAAAAAAACCTAATCTTTTAAGGTACTCGTGCACCAAGATTCATAGAGGTTTATCCGTGTATACTATTTTATAGAGATTTATCCATATTATTATAGCGTTCTATAGCATGCGGTCGAAAGTCCCGCTACGCATTATGCGCAAGCAAACGCGCAAAATGGTTGACTGGAAGTGCAGGGCTGATCACCTGATTTTCACAGTTTTTCACAATGACGATGGATGAGCGTGTATCAACTTGAGCATTTCCTATTTAAAAAATTAGAAAAAGGAAAATATATTTAATGTATAACATAGCAAAAATACATAAAGTATATAAAAATAGACAAAGTGTATGCAACTGAGGTTTTGCCGATAAAATGCAGGATTATTAGCTAGTATGTGTATAAGGTATGTGTGTTTTCGAACAAAAGTTGCCAAACCACGACAATAATCGTGCCGAACGAGATAGAAGTTACACTACCCAGGCGTTATCAGTCAGCGCTGAAAGCGATTTGCATGAACCGACGTGCAAACCTGTGTATCACATGCGTTTTTTTGTGAATCACTCATCCGAAACATATAAAACTGTCTTTCCATATAAATGTTTTTAATAGGGCTATGTAATGTACTTGTACATGCACTGAGTGCATGTACATGTTGTACATTTATTATGTAGATGATGCCAACTCTTCACGCTGTCTTCACGCTTACTTTAGTACATACTGCTGCAGACTACAGTACCTAAAAAAAATATTATGTTGATCATGCTAGTGCATAGAAATATAATCAAAATTATTAGAACACAAATCCGTACCCCGAGAATGCAACTGGCCTAATTTTGGCCAGTTATGCAGATGACGAAACAACGTAAAGATACGTCGCAGGTAAGTTGTGCACAAGCACTATCATTAGCAGCGTACTAAACATAATTACAACCGTACAAGCAAGCAATTTATTATCGTTCATAATAACTAATTAAGTACTTACTACATTGAAAGAATTTCTTTGGAAAAACAGTCGCACACTTGCAGCATGGAATCGCGGACGGCGGCACCTTGCAACGTGATATCATGGCATCACGGCAATTAATCGCGTAAACACAGATCTACGCTACTATTCTAAATTATGAAAACCCGCTTCCCCTGATTTACTTGTTTACAATTATTGCAGCCGGCAGCCCGTTTTCTTGATTTTCCTCAGATATTTTAGGATTGTTTTTGAAAGTTGCTCTCGCATGCCGGTGCTTCATGGTACGCGGACGCCTTATTGTACCGGTTGCCTTATTGTACCGTAACCGGCTATGACAAAATCGGTAGAGCGACTCTGTATCTCAAACTGTTAGAACGAAACTTCGAGTGGGAGATGTGACCTGGAAGTTCGAGAGCGCCCCTGTCCGGAACCCTAAAGAATCCGGTGTGGTAATCCGCTCGATCGACGTAGAAGAGAAGAATCCGAAATCCGGTGGTGTCTCCAGATATAGATGGAAGCAGAGGAGTAAACACAATGCCAGCGCCAGATGGAAGCAGAGGCGAACATCCTTACGATTTAAAGAGAGCTAGATAAAAATTAATGCACTGCTCCAGATAAAATTAGTGTGACCTTCGATCACTAGTATTAATGAGAGTGAACCGCAGATACTTGTGTATCACTTTACTGTAGTCCGAGAGCAACTACGTATACGAATAAGAGTAATGTACAGAGAATTCTGTACTTCTGTGGAAAATAGGAAAATAGGAAGTGGAAAATAGGAAGTGGAAAATAGGAAGTATAGGAAAATCTGTGGGAACTGAGAAGCGCGAAAGAATTGAAAACGTGTCGAGGTTCCTTTTTACTGACACATTCAAATTCCGCGGGCTTTATACACACTTTGGGATGCATGCAAGCATTGATCATACGTAAAAACCGTAAAGATGTACAAGCTGGCCTTTGGCTACACAGCCGAGAAATAACAACATCAAATGTTCACATGCAAATCGTAGAACAATAGTCAAAAGGTGGGACCAGTTTAAGTACATACAAAAATTTTTTACTAGTATGCAAGAATGTAAAAACATGTACGAAATATACGTAGATCAGTCGCCACTTTTAGTCCATTTAAAAAGCAATAAAAAACGAATCCAGAATTTTCATCACGTCACCAGTTGGACAACTGTTCAATGTTCGAATCAGAAGGGTATAAAAGTCATATTACAGTAATTTTGACATTCTTAATTCTAGTTTTGTCGCTATATATACCACTACAAAATCATTCGCTAATTGTAAAAATATTGTAAAAACTAGAATTGTGCTTTTTTTCCGTATCTGCTGTTTATTGATCGAATTCAAAGATAAGCTTACAATTCACAAAAGGAACATCACAACCTAATATTAACAAGCAGCAGAAACATGCGGCCGAATTACAGAGAACATTTCTGATCTAAATTAGACGGTGCCGTTCCCAGGATGGATGCCGCGCTTCCACGTTGAATTTCGATGCCGAACCTCTGGCCCAAATTGTGCTTGAGACAACTAAGTACATAATCTACTGTACGTCAGGCTACGTGTGCAGACCAAAAAAGCATTGTATGATTGTACTCAAACAGTTAAGAAGTTCTGAAACGAATGTAAGTAACGTCACATCCAGAATCATGCACAATCGACTATCATGCACATCTCCTGACATGAGAGTAATTTCATGATCATAGAACTTTTTTGGAATTTAGGATACTGGGCGAACATAAAAGGGGTTCATATAGAAGTATCTTTGTATTTGTGCGTAATCGTATGCCCGGCGGTTGAATTTTGGCAGGAGCGAAACTGCGTTTCGGGCTGAAATCTATGCAGTTGTACGCCCGGGTCGGGTTCCGCGTCCATGCCTTTTGTTGCAGCTTGCACATTAGGCCGTCGCATAAATTTCTGAGGATCCGGATCAATTCGGATGAAGTTTCTGCCATAACAATTTGTCTTACACTATAAAGTGTCAACTATGGTATCCAATACTACATTAGTCTTTATATAAATACCTCTTTATATGATAATTATGTAAGAACAATACGGTACAGTACAATTAATACGTAATGGTTTCAAAATCTCCATATGCAGCCGAAAGTATGTTACACATACACAGGGCGCGCGCGACACTGCGACACCATGGGAAGGGCGAAGAATGCTGAAGCGGGACGTTACGTGCCGGTACGGACATACTGGTCGACGCATGCGCGGTACTTAAGCCGAGCATGCAATATAGTTGCATTAGTTGGTAAGATCACGGAAACTCGCAATATCTCCCGACTCCCGGAACTATTCTAGTGCTGCCGGGTGGGCTTCAACGCCAACCGCCAGGAAATCTTTCGAACCGGAGGCGAAAAGTTGTTCAACTCGGAATTGCAAAAGAAGATCCAACAGGAAACAGGTACGTGAAGTGCCATCGATCAGCCGAACACCAGTTCAATGAGCCTGAGCGTACGTATCACCCTGAATTCAGGCATTCGAGGAAACAAACTCTGACTTTGTCCTGGGAACAGCACTTACCGGCTAGTCACCACCAGGCACCAGCGGTCAATTTGCCAAAATAAAAAAATGTTGGCAGTGATTCGACCACCTGCACGCACATGTACAGCAGTTGCTGTATACAAAACGCATGTTATATCTATGTAATATAGATACTCGTATTCTAAGGCAAGTGCTGCCGGTACAATACATTGCACCAAATTCGTGCACAGATGTGTTGTAGATACATCTGTACATACAGATACAGATACACGATAAAAGTTTTTGCGCAACTTTTAAACACTTCTTTAAATTTCCATAATTTTATCTTATGGCATTGTGTATGGTGTCGCCAAGTCGATTGTGTACGTATACGCACATTAATTGTGTGAAAACCGTTTATACGAGGTACCTCGGGTTGGGGAATTATTTGGGTGAAATACAATATACATGAAGGTTCAAAGCCATCAGGTGCACAAAAATCCCGTTATGGAACCTTCCTGAAATTTTGCATGCAAACGCACTCATTTGTGAAGATCGTTTTTACACGTACCGACCCAGAGTTCTGACATTTTTCCCGGATTTTGAAATGAACTTCAAAAATTTCTAAAATTATTCTGAAATTTGGAAAAAATGGTGTATGCATTAATGCATGTACTAGTAATAGTATTACTGTTACCGTACTAGTATTGCTGTTACCGTCTAACCTTGAAATGAGGTACGAAGTAGGCATAAGGTAAGTATAGTTCAACGGCTTATAGTCTACCTTAACCTATAAAGGACTAATTTAGTACTTACCTATTAGGATGTCGATTAAAAACATTTTTTTATAATTTTAAATTTGAAATATTATTGGTCGATTACTGTTTAGTGTTTACTAATTAATCATTTCCTGAGTGATTACTTCAAAACAGGAAATTGTTAATCGCGATTTTTTTGGCAAAACTTGGCAGTAAAACAGCAAAGGGTTGGGAAGCCGGAAACAACAAAGGCAGCCATGCGCTTGCCGCGACGAAAAAATTACGTAGTGGCGAAACTTCCGGTGGCTTCTTTAGTTCGTACAATACGTACCACACACGCCCTACGCATAGTTTTAACGCGATCAACCCGATTGGTCAATCAACTTTTGTCTCCGCCCCACTCCGTCCTATCATCGTTTATGAATGAGTCAAGCAGTCGTCTTCGCCTTCACTGCATCTTTTCGCAGTGCGATTGCGATGCTGCAATCGCTTCTCTTTGACGCTCAGGCCGAATTTTCCTCCCCATCGGTTCTCCATCAAATCCGCGCATTCTCGAACGGCGGTGGAAGAACAAACTGGAAGTTTATTATTGGGATATTTTCATCTTATCCAATTGCAGTCCCGATAAAGTCGCGCCGTTATCTTTTCTTCACATGAGCCATTACTCATAAATTATTACAGAATCTGCGGCTGCGAAGGAGATACGGCAATTTCACTTTTTCACCATCACTTCCGAGATAAGCCGTCCTTCCGCTGGTGCCGCCAAGTGTTTCGAAAGTGGTACAGCGCGTCAGCAGTTTGATAACATTCTCCCAACGTGATTGTGTCTGGGATTTTTTTCATAATTTCCCCAGTTTTTGTATAGTGGATTTTTGTTGCTGGGGATCCAGTGGTATTTTCGCGGGGGGAGATGTTATATAGCGGATCTGTTTGCGGTGGTATTGTGCGCGTGGAATTTGCTTTGCATTCAAAGGGACTATTTTGACAAGGTAGGAGATGCCAGTGGGAATTTTAATGAGTTGTTTGCCTTGGCGTTGAGTCAGCGCTTGGCTTACTACCGTGTTGTTGTTTGGGAATCGACAAGACGCTGTTCCGTGAGGACAGCTCGATTGTATGTGCGTGAGCAGAAATTGTCAAGAAATCCCGGATCATTGATCCCTCAAGTGTGTTTTCGGCAAACTGATCTATTGAAAAGTTTTAAGAAAAAAAGATTAAGGGTAAAAATACGGTATATTATCTTAGTTTTATTTTCGTGTTAATTCAAATTTAAATAACCAAAAAAATAAAGCGCTTGAAATAATAAAACTTGTTTTTGATTATAGATGTACCGCAAACATGTGAGAAAAACAAATTTTTTACCGCTTCGATTTGCGCAGACCGTTTGTGTTCCTCCATAAAAAATAAGAAATTCAGTTTTCATGAGGAACGATTAAGTTTGGTTTTAAAATCTTGTTTTGGCTTTGATTCGCATGATGCTGGATGATCAGCGATTTTGTTCATTTTTAAAGGGGAATTTGTATATGTACGATTGTACTTCTACCAGAATTGAAATTTTTGAGGCAAGGCCAGATCCGCAGACGATCGATTTAGTGAATTTTGTTTTGACCTACAGTAGTGTTTTTACATTTACTACAGTGTTTTTCTTGCTGAAGCCAAACTTGTTTACATTCCACCAACTTTTGCATAATTGTATGTTTACAAGCCTTTTTCTTACAGCAAAGTTCCGTTAACATTGTCGCGCATAATTATACTTTTTAAAAATATTTCCACGTTCGTTGAAAGTATTTAATTATCTATTTCGAATTTCGGCGCACATACAGCTCATTCTTCTGGAAAATAAAAGCTGCAGAAATATTCGGATATTTCCGCCCATTGTATGCATAACGTGTGTATCCACAAATGCACAGCAGTGCCTGATATCTACGATAATCAGATCAGCGCCATGATTTTTGTTTACGTGCTGGTGTGGTACTCTTCACAGTAGCTGCGTTCCATAACTGTCAATCCGATGATTTGGTGATTTATTCTAGCCGGGCACACACGCATACGAACATTGTGGCGTATTGAGATTTCTCTCCCATCCCGATTCGAGCCAGTGAATGAATACAAGAGGCCCGATTCATCACCGCATCACTGCCGATCCATAGACGCATAGAGCCCCGCTTTCGGACTTTAAAAACTCAGACCAGCATCGTATTCGGGCGGCCCCAATGTTGGCCTTGTCAGTTCACGCTGAAAGACGCGCCATTCTTTGACGGCGAAGCGAAAGTTCCCATCTTGGCCAGAACAATGATGATGCTGTGTGAGACGGCCAATTTGCCGCCGCCGCCCCCTCTACCACCTCCGCCGGCCCGTGATGATGCCGAGGATGCCGATGTGCAGCTGGTGAGGGATACGTGCCGGATTCCCGGACCGTCCTGTCAGGCGTTGAGGAGTGCCTTGGCCGCGCTGTACAGACTGGATGATTTCTTCCTGGAGCGGCTTGGAAGTGGATTTTTCTCCGATGTTTATAAAGTAAGAAATCTCAGAAACTCCTTTCTAATGCAGCATAATTTATGGGAACTGATTGAGTGTTTTTGCTGTCAACCGGCTTAATTTCTCTCCTTTTTCTGATTATTTTTTTCGATACAGTAATAATTTTCTATTTGCAACGTGTTAAATTTTTAAAAGTTTCCTAGTCAAATTTGAGAAGCTGTCTTCGAAAATTAAAAATAATTATTCTTTCGGATAAAGATAATAAATTTGTAATCTAAAGGATTTTCGTAGTATTCTGACGAAGTATTTCGGATATTTTAAATGTACATAACAATACAAACAGGTTTGCAGTAGATTTATTGATTGAGATAGCATGACAAAATTATTTATGTTGTGTTTCTTTTCCATTTGCACGAGGTAAACTTGCGTTTTTTCTTGCGCTGCATCGATCTGCTTGGTAAAGAAAGTAGCGTGCGTCTTGAGGTGCATTCGCTGAAGGAGTTTCGAATAATTTTTTATGACTTTCTCGCGTGCTTTCCTTGTCGTTTTGTGCAAATTTTGTTAGTTTATTGGTTTGCTTTGTTGCGCATTCTGTCATGGATGTGTTGCCGTGTTATCTGATGCGGAACATCTTATCCGGTTAATGAGATAAATTAACCGTTCCCATCTACTGTTTACCATGCAAACTATTTGCTTGGGCGTATCGCTGTCTGACAATCTTCATAATTTTTAAACGGTTGACGGGCGTAGTGGATGGAATAATGATTCAGTACTTATTTCTTTGAATTATTCTTGATATTTGAAAAAAATTTTTGATGCCACTAGATTTTGCGTTACTCGTACCTGTTTATCGGTTTTGCGCTAACGATAAAAAAATTTTTTTTGATAATTTGTTTACTCTTGCTTTACGAGGAAGCGTTTTGCATAGCCCTCTGCGAGGTGTCTGTGAAAATTTAAGGATGAAAGGACAATTGCGGGTAGCTCATCAGTCGGAGCTTACTGGTTGTAATGGGGATGTTGAGCAGCAGCTAAATTTAGCCGGTTGCATTTATTTACACATGGCAAACGAAAATAAGATGCAGCGGACACTCGCAACTAGACTGATGTTTTTTAACGGTTTGCTTGCTCTGGCGACAGATCGAGGTTATCGCATACCTTCGTGCCTTTCAATTAACGATTGCATAAAATGCAGGGAGATGTGTTTGCCAATCGACCGATGCAAACGATGAGCGCGACTTTGTCCTAATTAAAACAGGCGTGCGTGAAATTTTAAAGCGCAGTAAAAATTTGTAAACAGTCTAATTTTCACTGCCTTTAAATTTCCTACTGGTAGAATTTTGTATGTCATGTATTAATGTAAAAAAAATTTCAGAGATAAAGTAACGAAGTAAAAAAACAAGTACTACGATTTTATAATATCAGGCACAGGTCAGTTTTAAATGTAGCAGCTTCTTCGTGGTATCTTCCAACCGGAAAATGTTGTAACATTTCAAGTTACTTTTATCCTGTTCGGCTCGAAAGGAGCCGGTTGGTGCTGTTGCGCCGTATTCGTTACGATGTATTGAATAGTCTGGTCTAGCCAGAAAAAGCGCTTTAGGAACGAATATTATTTAAATGACAGCAGCCAGGGTGTGTTTTTTTCTGGTCTGTGTTCAGAATCTGCTCTGCTCTCCACATGTAAATGTCATTGCGTAAGGTTACACGGCGCTTACTGGCTAATCTGTCACATATCGGTTTGGGGGGATTTTGAAAACTGCTGGTGTGCAAATAAACGATTTGCCCTGGTGAAAAGACAAGTCGCGAGCGCCGCAACGAACAGTCAACGAGTGTGCTGGATCAATAGAAGACGGCTTTTTTTCTTGTACAGCCGCGCCGGCTTATTGCTGGGCTTCTGTGTGGTCAACTTTTTTTGTACGAGTTGATCTCTAACTAACAGTAATCTGGATGCACAAAAAATATTGTTTACATGTGTATTCTGTGGTAGTTAGTAGTTACTAGCTCGCTTTTTAAAGATAAACTTCATTGTCCTTTTGTTTACTCGATAAATTTTTACTGTAGCTGTATCTGTAGTAGTTGCAGTACAGTATTTTACGTTGTGATATCTGATGCTCTTAATGTTGAACAGTTTTTTGCTGATGGTTTTTTCGTTTCTGATGATTCTTTTTTACATATTTCTGAGCTATGGTTTAGCTTCCGAAGCGAATTTCACCATTTTTTCAAATGAATTCTGTCTGTTTTTGTACTCCTTTTAATTTAGATTTTCCAAAGAGGTACTGGTTTTTGATTAGTTATTTTTGTGCCGCATCTTTTGAAGAATTATTTTTAGTTTCCGTTTTCTGGGAATGCAATGACTGATTACATGATTGTGTGTTGTAGGTCAGTGTTTTTTATCGTTCACCGTACGCTAATTGTTGATGACATTGGGTTATTTATTTGAACAACAACTGTCCCGTTGAACGTCTGTGTGCGCGTTAAAAGAATGTGTTGATCATTTGGGCTGGGAAGTGTGGTAATTTAATCGCAGCTGATGCGCTGCTCGTTTCCGTTTTAAACCCAGTTGATCCGTACCGTTAGAACGCTGGATTATGCTTGGTTATTTATTGTGCGGTCGCCGCGTCTGAGTTTCCCATCGCCCAGAGAGCATCACATTTTTCTCAGTAAACGACATCTTTAAATGACTGTGGAGTCTTTCGCAACATATGTTGCTGGATTTGATTGCTAATGGGCAGTTTAGCAAAAAGAAAGATTTTCGTCTTGGCACGGAAAAAAATGCCGGGTGGTGTAAAAGTCAAGATGTTGATTGTCGTGATATCGCAGTCACACGGTCGAGGTTAACTCGTACAGCCGTTTAACACTAAAAATTATACTTAAGTACATACGTGTTTGAAGTAATAAAATTTCAAAATGGTGATTCACACTTTTAATTTTCATTTTAAATTTGCCTCTTCTGTTTCTGTTTTCGGTTAAAAAAGCGCTTCGTAAGATGAATTTTCATGTATTACAGCATTTTATCGTTTACTTGTGTTTTTCTTTATTTTGTTGATTTAACCGTGGATGTTTAATATTACAGTACTGACACACTATTAATCCACTGTTCTTGTGATTGATATTTAAACGGCAGACTATACAGCAGCATTCGGAGACGAAAAACATCCGTTTACGAGTTTAATTTTATGAAGCCCCTTCCGTTGACTTTATTGAATTCCATCTGCTGCACAGTCAGTGGTAAACGATATTCAGTCAAAACATTCGGACATTTGAAGTGGCCCATCCGATTGCATTTGATTCCAGCAGTGCTGCTTTCTGTTGCTGACCAGCTGGAAATTTGTGTTCATTTTGGACAATATTTTGCCAGACTTCTTGATGTGGATGTTTTGGCATTGCTTGCTGTCGAATAACAAAAATTTCCAAATTTATCCAGAGAATGTTTTTTAGTTATAGTCTGGACAGCTTTCAGTTAATTTTGTATTTTGCGGGGATTTACTAACTTAACATTTTGAAAAACACCAGATGCACCCATGTACGGACTTATAACTGCGGTATTCCAATAATATTATTTTGCTAGCTTATTTTCCTGAAAAGTGAAATTTTTTCAGTGCGGTAGTTCGGTTGTAGTTGTGATTTAAAATTTGAATGTGATCTTGTTTTGTACATCGTTGATTCAGAAAATTTACAGTACTGTAAACTGTAAATAAACATTGCTGTTGATTTTGGCGCATTTCGAAACAATTTCCGCATTATTAAGACAGCATACGTGAAACTGTAGGACCCTTCGGAGGCGTAAAACGGTAGTGTAGTGGCTTATGTAAGATGCAAGTCATATTTTTAATTCCGTCTAAGTGGACATACCAGTGTAAAGTGCGTCTCCCGTTGTGGTCCACGGTTGAAATTAGACCTCCTGGTCTGCTTTTCATTAAACTCTGAGCAAACATAGACTTAAAATGAACTGGCCTTGTAATTACTTTGATGGACTGACATTACTGTGTTGTGTCGCGGCGATCAATGTTTGATCGCAAGCAGCTTTTTTCCTTATAACGTTCCATCTTGAAAGTCCATCGTAATGCCGATGTACTGTACTGTCAAAAACCCTAGAGTCACATATATCCAGTGGGCTAAGTGGATCAATGGGCCAGGGATACGGTTTTCTGGAGAGACAGGACCAGAAAGTTTTGTTAAGAGGGAAATGTATCATTAGGAAAGGGTCTTATCGATTGAATCAAAAGCAATCAACAGTGCATTGATTGTCTTTATGGGGTATTAGTGATATTCGGGAATTATCCTTCGTTGGGTATATGTGGGTTAATTGAGAAAGGATTGGGACGCTGTAAAAATATTCGTTACCCAAAAAGTTAGAAAATTGACCGACATAAAAAATTGTCAAAAAATAGTTTAAATAATGGTAAAAAGTAGCAAATAGTTAACAATTAGTAAAATTTAGACCAATTAACCTTATAACAACCATGAACTAAGGAAGTTGCAGCAAAAAGTTTTAGGATAATATTCAAATTATATAGTTGCCAAACTGGATAGGTAGCCTTGCTATTTATTTTTTATGAATTGTTGGTGTTTTTTGAAAGGATGTTTTACTTTGTTAAAAATCAGTAATTATGGGAAGCCATATTAGTGACCGGATGTCGTGCAGTTTTTTTGGCGTTGGACAGGGTTATTAGTACATCATCAGTGGCCGGCGTGTAGTGCCAAACTGGATAACGTTCCCTTCCTGTTATTACGTTTCATTTCCGCTCGTTTGCCATCACATTACGTCAGTTATGTAATACAATGCAGCACTTTTTCCACACGCATAACCCAACGTGATGGTATGGATTTTGTAACTGGATCTTGTAGCAGCGTGGTGGAGTGTTTTCGTGGCTGGGCGTAAAGGTAAACAAATTAAAATGAGAAGGGAAACACTGCAAAATATGCTGGATATGACACTTTTGTCGATGAGCAGTATGCGAAAAAATTTACAGTTTATTTATGGTTTTACACGAACTGGAATGTTTGCGGAAGAAAAACATTTCCGTAAGTTTTCCTGGCGAGTTTTTTCGATCGAAGCCGAAATACGTAACAGAAATGAGTTAAGGCACGGAAATACTGCATGTTATTTTGCCGTTGTAAAATTGGGCGTAATCTGTTGGATAATCGCCGTGCGACAGGACTCTGATGCGGTTTTATTGCGGTGTTATTTTGTGGTCGTCTTTGTTGATGTTGCCGGTTTACGGCTCGCATGTTGTGCGATTATTTCGAGTTAATCTTTCCTACAGTGAACAGATTGCCCCCTTGGGGTGCACGCTATAAATGTCAAAAAATCCTCATAAATTCATAGAACGTGGGAAATCATGCAAAAAGAGCAGGAACTGGGGTCCTGCCCAGAATTGTGTAAACCGTTGTAAATAAATGAAATCACAGGAATTAATAGCACACTGGAAACTGCGATATTTCCTTAAAATTACTATTTTAAAAAATTGTCTTTTAGTTAGCGATAATTTATCAAATTTGTTATTTCACATTAAAGTGTGGTTGGCAATGTTGTGGTACACATTAATACATTTATGCCATCAGGGTGCCTAAATTTAATTGAATAAGTGGAGGTTAGTCGTCACAACTCACAAGTGAATTGTGTAGTAGTATTGATCGTTTGTTTTTCGGCCTTGTTAATTTTAGGCGATATGAACGTGCGGTCAAATCTTACGCAGGGGGCATTGTTTTTTATGCTGGGTGAAAGACGAGCAGAGCGGTCGGCGTCTGATTCATTTGATATTTCCATAATGTGTCGCTCTCGAGTGTTACATACCAGTGGTTGGAAAAACGATCGGCCACTATTGTTTTCCGCGGCGTGATCAATTCACCGGCGGCCAGTAAATGAGCATTTCCGCTATCTGATTCACGATGGTTAAAATAGCAGCTATGAATATTCAACAGTCGTGACTGTGTTTGTGGAATAATGTGCGGCGATTGAGATCGGTTTTATTTTTATATATTTACTGGTTGGATTTCCCGGATACAGATAGAAAATTACAAATTTGATAATGTTTTTTGCCTATTAGTTTAACTTGAGCACAAAATTTTCAAAAATTGTTGGACGAGCATGGTTAATTTTCTTTTCTTATTTAACTTGTTTGGCATTTTTTTACGAGTTTTGTACTTTGAGATAAAAATTTCGTATCTAGGAATTTTAATTCGGGTTTTCGTTCCAGTTGCTCGATCAAAGCAGCACAATTTTGCTTTTAGTGAAATGCTAACTTAAATTGGTACTACTGTAAAAGTGAACTTATGCTGCAGTTGTTTTTGTAAAGTCAGATGAATTTAAATCAGTTTGATTTTACAAAAGCAGCTCGCTTTTGCATAGATATTAAAATATTGGTAGCTGCTGTTTCCACGGATATCCGATTTGGGCGTCGGCTCTGATAGTCTGCATTTTTTTGTGGCATTTGGTGGCGACGCGGTTCCAGTCGGATGCACAAAGTAGACAAATATTATGGATAAATGACCAGCTGGCCGATTATTATGATGGGGCCGGTGAGGAGAGGACAGTTGTTTAACAGTTTAAATATATCCGGTCAGGTGTATTGTCATAATCAGCGCCGCTCTGACAGTCTGGCTGGGGATGCGTTTTTGCATCATTCAAGTGGCTCATTCTTGTACAATCGAGTTGAACTTGTTTGTAGCTGTTTTTCTGACCGGTTAGCGGCAGTGTTTGGTTCGCGTTGGGGGGCTTGCGGCTAATGAAGCATATTAGCCGGGTAAATTAAATTGATTTAGCATGCCGTGGGATCTGCGTGGTTTGCTTTTCATGCTGGCCTGACCTCCAAATGTGTGTGTCTGCTCGGGTAATCGCTGCTGTTTTGGCGGATGCTGGCTATTCGGATTTCGACAGAATACTTCGTACATGTCTTATCGGTTTAAAAAAAATATTTTTCAGATTTAGCAAGAAGTTCAAAAACACAACAGAATGTACACAGACATAAACTTCCCGCTGTTTATAGTTTATATATTTTTAAACTATCTCGTTTAATAGGTTTATTAATTTTTGTTAAAATATAGTAACTTAATTAAAGTGTCGCATCTTAAATATATTTAGCCGGTACGTGCAGTTTTGTTCTCCACACGAGCACAGATTATTGCATTTGTCACTGCAAATCTGGATGTTGTCGAGTTGCGATTTCCAGAAGCGGCTTTAACACTGCCGTCATTGTTATCAATAATAACGGTGTGCAAGGTCAGCGGTGCCATAGCTGTTTGCAATGGAATGCGTAACCGCACGACGTACTCGCAACATGGGGCGTTTTCTCACAAACCGCTCTGCTGTAAACGGTCTTTTAATCATATTTCTTAAAGATTAATGGAAGTCGTGCGGTTAGCTGAAGTACGACAGCGCTTTATCCCCGCTAATGAGGCATATCCGGGTATTTTTTTATTTCTGTCTCGATAGCAGCTTACTGTTTAGCCGTTCGTGTACGTAAATACGAATAAGCGAATATTCGTATTTTGTTACGAATATCATGGATAAAAATTTTTCAGAAATTTCGCGAAATCTTCATAGCTAAAATTTTGATAAAAAAAACAAATACTTTTTGTTTGAAAATTTTACTGGTTAGTTGCGTACACGTTGTATACTAAAATTGACGTTAGCGGTATTGTTTTTCCGGTGAATAATTCTATCCAGATGCCGATTGTCAGAAATTATTAGCAGGAGCAGATGTTCGTAAGAAGACTGTCATCTGGTCGGGCGTATTCGAGTTAATTATCAGATTGATGGAATGGATATGTGGAACAGTGCTCGACTGTTCATTAGCTAAATATCAAATAACAAAACTTGTATGCATAAATGCCGTTCGTTATTAACTCGATATGGCAGTCAAGCATTCATTTCGTTTTATGTGATTTGTCGAAACCGATAGAAATCATAGAATCACAGATCAATTTCAAGATTTCAGGAATGAACGGCTCTGTGCCACATTTGAATTTATTTGATCCATTTTTCAGAATACTGTTCTGAATGCGATACATACGAGGCAGTCGAATTTCTCAGCTTATAATAAAGTTGGATTAAATTTCCAAACTTCCAAGAAAAACTATTAAAAAAATTGGTGAAGCGCAACTGCAGCATTGATATTCCGCCTCAGATGACATTTAATGGCGTCGCAATGCATTTCGTGCAGGTACTGTTTTTTGCGCGGAGGAGCTCTGCTGGAGATGTCAGTAACTATTAATTTCATATGGGTTGTGCAGTCTGTCTTTTAAGATGATGTACCAGTTGACCAGTTCCTGCAGCACCTTTCCTTGTAGAAATAACACAAAGTTTGTTGAAAAATTTAACCAAATTGAGGTCAGTTTAGTCTGCATAAACCTGATTATACTACACGACACTTGTTTGATTTACAAGATTAGTGCCGTTTTCATGTTTCATATCGTTAATGGATTTTTGACTGTTCGCATTTCGTCCATATTTGTGACGTTCTGCACTGATTTGATGGATTTCAGTGTGGTCACTTATTGTTATTTTCGAATACATAAAGCGTTTTACAACATAGCGTTTATGTAATTTTCGTCAGGTTAGAAAATTGCCGGCAATTTCGATATCTTAGCATTATATGCAAATATTACGAAATACTGTAAAAATTTAGTGCTTTATAGACGGCGAACGAACTACATTGACACAGGTTGCGGTTCAATTCCGGTGCACGGTGTAATGCATATCCATAATGGAAAATTTTTGTGCATATAACAAGCGAAAAAATCGGTAAACATTGGGTTTGTTTGGTCAGTGAGGATGGAAAGCACATACTTTGAATGTCCATCGCACAAATTGTGCAGCGCTGAGGAATCTGTTATAGCGGAACAATTGGAATTATCTGATCACTTGCTATGCGTGATTATTAGTTGAACGCACGGCTTGAAGAGCGCTCAGGAAACCCTATAAAGTTAAAACTTTAAACTATAATTGCACAGCGGATGTATCCGATTTGTTTACCATTTAAAAAATAGCCGAACAGAAGCAAATGACGGCGGTATAAGCTTCCGCCTTGAAGAAAATAAGACGGTGAATTGATTAAAATTTCATATTGGATTCGTTCGCAACATGAAATTATGGAGACGTGCATCGGTTAAGAATTAAGTTTGAAACTGTTTGTTTTTGCGAATTATAAGCATTTTTAAGTCGGTCTAACGTAAGAAAGTTCGCTCGTGCGCGAATATTAATAGCGAAAGTCTGAAGATGTACTTGAACTTTAACAAGTCATTGTCGTGTGCTGGTCGGTACATTTTTCCCCCTTTGACAGGTTCCCATAAATCAAAAATGCGCATTATGGACAATATAAAGATGTGTTCTGTACATGTCGTAGCTGACGGTCTCGTTTTGCAGGTCCGCCACAAAACCACCGGTCAAGTGATGGTTTTGAAAATGAACGTCAACTTGAGTAATCGACCCAATGTTCTCCGTGAAGTTCAGCTGATGAATCAATTGAAGCATCCGAATATTCTCAGGTACGCTCATATGGATATTAAGTCTGCATATTTTGTGTCAGTTTTCACTCGGATTCTTCGTCTCATTAGAATAACTTATGCGTTTCACCACTTGTTTGTTCACCGGCGGCTTAAGTGCGGGGATTTTTGCAGTTTTTTTCTTTGCGGTGGATGGTCTTGTCAAATTTGTGCGGCAGCTTCATCTTGACAATAATGTCATTAGAAATATAATATCATGTTTTCCTCTATGAACTTTAGAATTTATTATCGTAAAAAAGGTGTTCAGTTTTTTGGAAAACCCAACGAACAGTTATAGAGTATGTTAGCAAATTACTTTTTCTATCGAATTATTCACAGTTAAAACAAGAATTCCCATTTTAAAATAAATACGAACAGTTGTGGAGCGTTCGAAAAAGGCCGAACAGTGTTGATTGAATGTGTAGTACGTTAAATGATAAACTGTTAAAATAATATGTCAAATACCCTTTCATTTATTTCTTGTAATTTATGAAATTCAGATTACAGTATTCTAATTTACCAATCGATATAACGTTCAGCGTCATCAGGAATTTTTTAAGGTTGTAGGTGGTTTTGATATATCTGCTGTAAGTATTTTATCGGCAAAGTTGGCAGCACTGACAATTGGGTCTCTTGAGAAGCAAAACGCCGACAAAAACGAGCCGTGCCGATGTGTTCAGCACTTTTTTGTTCGCATTTGCCAACAATAAACATTTGAGATTAATCTTGACCTTTTGGGAATGATAGTGCCCCGTCAGCAGTTGTCAGATTTTTTATCTTGAGTGTATACTCGGCATGTAAGCCGTTGAGGTGCCAGTAGCTCACGCGGAGTGAGTCAGTCAATGGAGCAAATACAGTCATGTCGGGGCTAAAAATATTCACGCAACCTTCACCGCGATTTTTGATAAGTTTGCAGATTTAGATGAAACATTTGGCATGAGAAGTTTGTTTTTAGTATTATCCAGCGTAATGTCTCGCAGGGAAGCATGTGATCAGAAGGAAGTAATTGCGGTGACGCTGAATGCAAATTCATGAGATACGACTATTTGATAGGTCACAACTCTTAAAGGGCACCTGCCCTAGGCGTTGCGGTTTTGTAATGTTTTGGCATATTAATTTCATCGTATTCGTTTACATGATTATTTATACTTTTATTATTTATTTTAGTTATTTAATTTTTTGTTATGTACATCGGTATTTATATTTTTTTGGGTTTTTTATCCAGTTCCTGGATTTTACGTGATTGATTTATTAATCATTGAATTTTACTTTATGTTGTTGTAGGTTTCGCGGTGTCTGCGTCCATGCTGGATGTCTTCATGCGTTAACCGAAGTAAGTAGTGCCGGGTCGCCGAGCTAATTAGGCGGTTTATTTTGGGATGTGTTGCATAATGTTTTTGCTTGTTGTTTTTTTCTAGTTCATCAACGGCGGCAGCCTGGAGGAATGGATACAAGACTGCAAGAAGCTGATGCCGTGGGAACTGCGCATCAAGCTGGCCCATGACATGTCCAAGGGACTTTTGTATCTGCACTCGAAACGCGTCTTTCATCGGGACCTCACGTCCAAGAATATCCTCATCAACGTCGTTAACCAGGACCCCACCGCCATTGTCGGCGATTTCGGACTGGCCGATAAAATCCCCGATCCAATGTAATTAATTGTCTGAACACTGAATAAGAAGAAAGACATAGAGAAATTATAAGGAAAACGTACATAATAAGGAAATTACGTATAATATAGAGCAAAGAGCCTCGTAGCGAAGGACAGTAAACCAGTTATTAGAAACTAAAAAATGTAAATGCAGGCATTAAAACTTTGGCTCAATAGAATTGACAATTAATGGACGCTTTTGTTCGGGAACAGACAGTGCCCTGATCAGTATGCTTGCGAAAGTTCACACCGATTCAAATAATTAATTTTTTTCTTTATTTTGTAAGCGAAGAATTTTGTTTTGCGTTTTCCGAAACGACTTACAGATTACTGAGATTTTAATAGTTTGTTTTTTGTTATTTATTTGCTGGCTTTTGTATGTGACCAGTGACGGTGACGGTTTTTTCGAATATTGGAATTTTTTGTCGCTGTTTGTAATTTCATCATTGGTGTTATTGCAGGAAACGTGATATGGTACGCCTGCCAACGGTCGGCTCCCCCTGGTACATGGCACCGGAAACTCTCACCGGGAAATGGTATGATGAGCGTGCCGATGTGTTCTCCTTTGGGATTGTCCTCTGCGAGATGATCGCCCGTATCGCCTCCGATCCGGATGTGTTGCCGCGCACACAGAATTTTGGCGTGGACTATGTGGCCTTCAGCGAGATGTCGCACGACTGTCCGCCTGATTTCCTACAAATCACCTTCAAGTGCTGCCTGGTGGAGCCCAAATCCCGGCCGACCTTTGTGGAGTTGTGTAAGATTCTGGAAGAGCTCTCGAGGAAGTTGCGGCAAAAGCCGATAGCGAGGCCATGGAAAGGAAGACGCCGAGGTTTCTGGATGATGAGCGCCTGAATCAAGGCTTAGGTAAAGGTGCATGTTCGTAGCGTTGTGTTTAATATTCAGCGTTATTTTCAGAGTACATTTCGCACGTGGCTAGAACGACCTTTGTCAAAAAATTTAAATTTACCTTAAGGTGAATTTCTACGCGAATAAGCCCATAGGTAATAACTATGAATTTGTTGAACATATGTTGCTGTGATTAAGTAGTTATTGTGTAACAATGATTATTAACTAACTATGATTATGGTTATTGTATATTAATTTCTTCAGTAGCACAGGAAAGATATTAAAGTTTTGTTTTTCTCAAGAACGGAACAATAAGATTCGAATTTTTTTTAGTATTGATTCTCAATTCTCAATAACAAAAACTATCATTATGAAGTGTTACTTCGTAGAGTAGCGGCTGTCAGGTGATAGTGAGTTTCATTGGTTTAAAAGTGCACGATAATTGTTTAGCAGCAGTTAAAATTGTGGTACTTTTTTCAGCATCGCGGAAAACCTCGACCGTCTCCTCTCGTCCGCGCCACTGTCGGCGCTCCACCTCCCTGGCCTACGTGGACCGCGTGGATCTGACCGCCGCACAGAACCGTTGTCTGGGCGAGCACATGTCGCGGGCCGACCCGCACTACACCCCCCGCGTCAATCCCTTTGCTCAATCGGAAGCCTACCGTGACGGAAACAAGAAGATCGTCGGCTACAGCAGCTCCCTATCCCCCACCGTCTTCGACGTGCCGCTGATGGTGCGCGGCGCCCATGACAACCTCAGCGTGCCCATTCCCCCCTTCAAAAACTCCCACTCCTGTCCGACCTCACCGCGGGCTCTCCGTCGCAGCGTCCCGGTGGAGGGTCCCACCACCACCAGCTACGAGTCCAGCAGTTGGCACTGCTACGCCACCAGCAGCGCCGTGGACTCCGAGGAGAGTTCGGACGAGGAGAATGTGCCCGTGCGAAAGATCGGGTCGGATTCGCGGTTCGATCGGCGCCTCCTGAACGAGACGCCCCCGCGGAAACCCTTAGAAGCGCCCAACGTGGTGCTCAGTCCGCCGCCGCGGAAGGCCAAGAAACGGCCGGTCTTAAAGCAGGCCATCCAGGTGTTGATTTGTGATGATGAGAAGTCGTTTGGGATCGTCACCAACCGCCCGGTGAGTCCGGACGCCGAGTTGGCCTACTATTCGCTGTCGGATCAGAGTTCCTGCGGGTCGTGCACGCCCAAGAGTTCGTCGCGGTGCTCCAATGAGAGTGATGGGCCGGATCTGTCGCCGGAGGGCTTGATGGGGCCGCCGGTCATCAAGGTCATGGGGGTCATGGGCGATATTAGTGTTCCTGTGTTGAAATGAGCTAATCCGCACCATGAGGTGTGCTGGCAGCTGTGTTTTTTCTGCATTCGCCAGGCTGCTGTTGTGTAGAGAGAGATGTTGTTTGCGGTTTTCTTTTCTATACTAATGGCATTTAGTCTAAATTATTTTGCTAGCAATACGGTTGCATTTTGTGGCGAGGGTTCGGGTGTGCGATGTGGTATGTGACGCGTTTTTTGTCATTGTGGTGTGGTTTTTTTAATCTAAGCAGATCTGTTGTAGAGCGATAATACTTTATTAAAAACTAATATGATATTGTGTGATGGGTCTTTTGGTCGTTTTATGATTGCCGCGGAATGTACCAGCCAAGGGTATTTTGGTACCGTATGCATGTATCGATTTAAAAACATGATGCCGTTCTATGTTATCGAAATAGTAAGTACTAAGCAGCAGGAAAGTTACCATCAGTCAAATTCTTTTTGTTTTGTTAGACAACATCAGTACAGTTAAGGGTCCAAAGTTTCTGACTCTAACAGCAGGACACCGGAAAAAAGGGTGAATCCGGAAATTTCCCCGTAATTAAATATTAACTCTATTTAAATTATAATTTGGATCACAGCTTCCAGTATCTGTTCAGCAGTCCTTACGTATAGCAGTACACAACGGTGAACAAAACAGCACCCTTGATTAGGCTATGACGGTGCACTCGTCCATCGTGTAAAAATAATCAGAAACACAAACGTGAGAATGGATACGGGTGCTGCCCTCACCGGGGCACTGCTAGGAACGGGCGTGACCTTTAGATCCTTTGGAAACATTTCCAGCAGTCGCAGAATTCCACCGTTTGTCCAGCCGAATCCTTCCTGTACGACATATTCGCCACCGGATCCATACTGACCGGGAAAATTTGCGTGATACTGCACAACATTCGGGAAAACAACGATATAATGTGTTAGCAGCATCGCATTGTGTGTAAGGGTGTGCATTACCTTCTCATAAAAACGTCCATGACTTTGTTCACCTTTATAAACTGCGCTGACCCATGTCTGTGCCCACCTGATTGCCTGAGCACGCATCTCGGTGTTTTGAGCAAAACCTTTATAAATTACACGTAGAATAATTCAGTATTGAAAAAACTCTGGCAATGCGAGAAAAGTATAACTGTTACAATCGTACCTTCAATCAGCATAAGCTGCAGCGGCGCCCACGCATTCGGCAGATCCCACTGACAGCAGTTCGTTGGCGACTGATACAGGGAACAAGGAAAACCGCCAGAAAATGCGGTGATACCTTTGACCTGAAAAACTATACTTTTACTTAATTCAATAAAGGGCCAAAAATGTTGCTATGAAAATAGTTTTGACACCTACATCTTGTGAGTTAAGCACTTTGGTCAACCGTTGGGTACTGGTGACATTGACGTCGCGTCCATTACACCGTGTGAAGATGGGCACAACACCACTTAGATAAAAGTGCTCCAATTGGCGGCTTTTCAAACTATCATAATCAAACCAAACACCCTTGGCTTCATTCCAGAAAACGGCTTCCACAGCGTCTCCACGGTCCAGTGTCAAGTTGCGGTACTTTTCGGCGTTCACAGTGTCGCCTGAAAAACAATGCCAAAGATGCCGGATTTCCCTCACGAACTGCATTTACTGTACTCCGCTAACTAATAGTGGAATCAGCATAATACTGTGTACAGCGTTGCCATAATAAAGGTCAGAAAGCTTCTATCAGCGGAGGACGTACCGGTGAGATTGTAAAAGCGGGATAAAATCTGCTCTTGTGCACAGATAACCGAATTAAGGTCAACCGGCACAATAGTTTCCGTTCGTATCGTGTAGAATTCGGACTCGCGTGTATCCAGCCATCGCGTGGAAAAATCCCATCCACTTTCGGCCGCTGCGGCGATATTCGTAAAAACGAAACTTGCGTCTGTCATTTGAAACAAAATACATGGTCACCTTGAATATTCTATGCGCGGCGTGACTTACTGATGACTTTATCAGTTACATAAAAGTCTTACTACGATGAAAACGGGATACGATTCTTCTGTTTTATATGTTCGGCCCAACTTACCGGTTTTGTTATTGGCATGCAGATATTTCTGCCCACTTTCGTGATCTTCGAAGTAGGATTCTGGACGTGGATGGGTAATGTCGCCTCGGTACACGTTTAGCTTGTGCGTTTTCCCACTAACCGTAACATCGATAGCTCGTTTGGTCATCCAGAAATCATGCTCTTTTTTCAGCACTGGAAGCAGTTCGCGAATCAACGGCAGTGGTTCTTGCACATTGTAATGGTCAAAATAAAGGGCAGCCATGAGGGCGAAGAAAGGTGGCTGTGACCTTTTCGAATAGTAGACACGATTTCCATTAAGGATGTGTCCAAATCTGCAAGCAACTTATTTTACCGAATGCTGCAATCTGTGTACTGCATAAACCACAAAAGCGAGTATGTCTATAAAGCGAGAAACATACTTGTCAATAAGATAGGCGAAATTCCTCAACATTCCTGCCACCGTTTCCGGCATGTTGGAAGCCAATAGACCTTCCATTACCCAGTAGGAGTCCCAGTAATAAATCTCGTCGAATCGTCCACCGGGAACAATGAACGGGTGGGGTACGGAGATTATGGAATGTTGTTCGGGAAAATCCGAAGCATGAGAAGAAATCTGAGTTGAGAGGCGAACTTTTTTAAAATTTGGGCACGGTTATGCTTGCGCACTGAACGGAGAATATAACGAAGATCGGACGTCACATGTTTTTTACATGAAGAGTAAGTCATTCAACCAAGCAACGCTTTTCTAAATCTAAGTAGTTGCTGTTCTACCTTGCGGCCTAAATCGCGCCATTTGTTGTGCAGTCTAACGGCGAAATCTTTGAGCAAAGAATCCGTGATTTCTGCCGCAAACGGCAGTCCGCCGTGCGTGACATTTTTGAAATCGGACGGGGTGTGCACCTCCAGATCGCTGTCCAGGGGATCAAAATAGCTTTCCACAAAGTTACGGACTGTGGTGGCATTCAGGTATGCCGGATCGCCCAGGGCGGCAAAATCCGTTAGCGTCTTGTTTACTGGATAGCGTAGCGGAAGATCAACGAAGGATTTGGAATCATTAAACAACCGCATCATTTGTACGGTCTGCAGCAATGATCCATGGCAAAATACTGGACTATAAAAGCAAAAAGAAAAAGAATGTATAGAACATAAGCTAAATTTTTCGCCGGTGAGGATTGATTGATAATCGTAAAAGAGTTATTTTGCTATATAATGCCAACTCATGCAGCTTAAGTAATTACTCTGTACTGTACTCAGCAAAGGAATTTGTAAATAACTGCACTACAAGCAAGGTTTGTTGTTACAATTTGAAACTTTAGTAATTGAGCTAAACTTTAGTACTTCAGCTTGTTTGAGCTAAACATTGAAGATAAATAACCGTAAGTTACAAGCTAAGTTGTTGTCACCTGTCACATGGTAAGCTTTCGGAAGCCGAAGCAGCCACTGGTTCAACAGCATTCTTGGTGAATGATTGTGGAATCAAAATGGCTTCGCTCAATCCACCCATGGATAAGAGCCCAATCCAAACAGCCGAAATCTGGATGATCCCCGAAAAGTTGGTCCTTCGTTTCTGGGTCATTCTTAACGAAATTGTAACTATGTGCAAGTGTTTACGCACAGCTTGTATCGCTGTCGTTAAGTCAAACCCAGCGAAAACAAGGACTACTATTTACGCGAGTACTCTATAAAAGTCTCATCATTACAACTGTCATGATAATTAGTCCAGGAAAATTTCGTGAAGTTCAATGCTAAATTGTGCCGATTGTGCAGGTTATCAATGTGATAACATACAGGCCGCGATAAACACTTGTGCCAAGCCGTTGAACAGCCGCCGAATAGCGAGGATTATTGTCTCACGAGAGTGACATATCGCGCGTAAACCGATATTCCTGTGCTGTCACAAACATATAAAACCCACCCACGTGCATCCGATAAAGTAGTTTTCGGGAGCCTTCCGCTGCGCAGACTTTACGGAATACCGAGAGTCACATGTTTGTACAGTATTAGTGCCACTGTGACATTTACCTTTTGTTTATTCAGTGCAACCGTTGTTTGTCATATCTATTATTATCTATCAGCAATAAGAGTATGAAAATTATTAGTACCCTGGGTTGGACACAACGTACTTAATGCACAGCAGCTTCGCAGTTTTGTGGTTTTTCCGAAACTACGCATGTTTCAGGGTTCCAAACAAAACCGCAAACAGCTTTAGCAAACATGACAACACAGCTGTTTCCCGCACAAAAGTCCAAAGATATGCAGTCTAGCTAGATCTGTAGATTGCAATACACTATCCTAGTCTCGGAGAAGCGTCTACGCTGTACAGAGAAATGACAACGGAAACAACATCTCCTCGAAATAATCGCTTTTATTTCAATGAAATAAATGCTAATCAGCATCAAAACAAATCTCTAAAGGTGAGAAAAAGGGCATGAAACCAAGGAAAGCTAGGAAACGATGTTAACGGTTCCGATGCTGGCACCCGAATGGCAAAACATGCTTTTGCATGTGTGCAGAATGGCGAATGGTGAGCCGATCCCGTGATGGTGAGGCGAACACGCCAATATCCTGTGCGCTACGCACAACACTCTGACATGCCACGGGACGGGATGCCGAGGCCCCTTGAGGCTCAAAAACAGGAATGGGAAAAGTGAGAAAAATGCATATTAAATGCAACATAGTGAACAATTCTTATTAAAAAAATGTGCCAATTATTCCATCACAGGTTAGTGAGAACACACGCTGCAAAATGCGGCGTAAAATTAATCAAACGAGTTTCAAACTCGTAACAAAAATCCGGTAATTATTCCGGTAAAATCCCATTCAATCCTGCATTAATCCTTGTTATGTTGCAGGTTTTCCGATCCATTCCCGGGTTTCCTCCAATCATACGCATTGTTGCGTCGATCCACGACATATATGCAGCTTTGTGCATCTTCGGCGATTTTATTCATTTGTTATGCAATTAATGGACTACGGCAATTCGTTAACCAAGTATTGTGCACCGATTTGTGCTTCTACGGCTTTTCAATTTTTTGTTTAGAGCTGATCGAAATAAATTCGATTTTAATGCACTCGTTGGGCTTTTACGGCGATTAATTTTCGGTATACACATTGTGTACTACGGCGATTTAATTTTAGCATTTAATGCTTTTACGGTATTTCTAACTGCGGTTCAGCATTAAGTACATTAAGAGCGTCGCTCAGTACGGCAGACGTAGTCTTAATGTCGGCACTATCATCCAGCATATCCACTCCTCCGTTGCCCCCTGGATAGTACAACGGGTCAGTATCGTTATCCGGGATGTGTACCGCAAAAATCAGATGGTCCACATCGGTGAAGGTCGAATCCTGGCCCATTGCTTCCAGTTCGTACTGCCTGTCCCGCAGGGCTTGGCGGGATGGATAGAGAAAATTATTCTCTATAGACGGCTTCTCATCCGTCTCCATTACTGCTTCTTCAAGCAGTTTCTGTGCACTTCCTGAAATCGTCAGTGATTCCACCGACGCCACGACATCCGTTCGCGGGATTTCGCTAGGTGGCGCAGTGATCACTGCAGATTCGGTATTCACAGTCGGCGCTACTACAGTTGCAGTGTTATCCGCAATTACTGATGCAGCATCAGCTGTCTCCGGCGTTTCGTCAGTTTCTTCAGTGTCCATTGACACTACGGTTTTCTTCGGTTCAGGTTGAACCGTCTTACTAGTCGACGGAGTGTCAGGGGAATTTGGGGCGACTTTGCGCTTTCCTTGGCCCTGACGTTCAGCAAATCGTTTAACGAGATCGTAAATTCCATCATAATGTCCATTATGGATAGCTTCGGTCTTCAATGCATCGATTTGCATGACACTCAGAATGTCATTTAAGACTTTCGCTTGTTGTTCCTCATTTAGAGGTTCACCCAGGCGATTAACGTAGCTTTTTAATCGGCGATTCTGTTCCTCTTGCCGGTATGTCCGGGCCCAGTGATGAGCGTGGCAATTGCCCATTAATGCTGAGAGGATAACCAAAATGTACTTCTTTAATCCCCATCCGATAGGGATCGTATCCCATGTAATTTTCATGGGAGCAGTTTTTCGCTGCATCGCACATGCGGCACGGCAAAAGAACCAGAACTTTGCTGGATCCGTGTCCGGTAAGATAAACTGTAGGAGGAATTCCTCCGGTTGTTCGGTATATAAGATTTTAAACTGGGAAATTAACTCCCAGTCTACTACGGTAATCTCAATCAGTTTTTCCTTCACTTGAACAACTCTTCGAGCTGTCTCCTCTCTGTCTTCTTCCAGTTTACGCTTCTTTTCCTCTTCCCCTGGCGAGGGCGTGCTTTGCACGCGATAAGGACGCGTCTTACTGGATATTGCACTAACACTAACGGCTGGCGACGGCGTTCGCGATCCCGATAATTTCGGGATGATATAGCTCTGTTCTTCCTTAATTCGTACCGAGTTCGGACCCCGTTTGAAAGTTCCAGCCGTCTGCTGATGTTCAACCGGTGCCTGTACGATTCCCATCGGAGTAGGAAACCTAATTACGGCTGGCTTCAAGCCAGTTTCCTTCCAGAACGCCGGGGGCGGTTGCACTTGCAACTGAGGTCTAATCTGAGTCAACACCTGCGGCGTGTTGTACACATGCTGCGGTATCGTAACTACTCGAAGCTCTTTTCCATTAGGAGCGTCTGTTTTCGTCGGGGCAAAAGGACCTTCCATTATGAAGGATTGTCCCCAACGCTGCCTATCTCTGGCCTCTTGTTGCTCATGGTCAGCAATCAGCTTTGCTAATCGCTCGTCGGCGTCTGCCGGTGGTTTCGGTGATTTACTTTGTTTAGGCTTTGCCTTCAATGCTGTTTCTACTCCTGCTTTTGCAGGTGATTTAACAGGTTTCTTCACGATCGACTCGTAAGGCACTTCTTCAACTTCTTTTGAGGCTTCTGCCGCGTCACTCTGTGCCTTTGCACGCGCTATCATGGCCTTTGCCACTCTTTCTGCTGGCGGAGTAATATGCAGTTGATCAACTGCGGCTATTTCCTCTGGTTGGGCAGCAGTCGCTGCTAACGGGTGTCTGTATGATGCTAAGTCGCGTTCCCGATTACTACGCAACAGTAGCTCATATTCGGCATATGATGCCACTATTACTGGATCAGTTTGCGTGCTACGTGACATAGTCACTGGAATTACTTCTGGTGCCACATTGGGCAAATTACCGGCATTTTGAACGTTCGGGGCAGCAAATCGCTGCATCGGTCGGTATGCTTGATTTCCCGCCAAAGGTGGGGCGAAAAATCGAGGATTACCTCTGCCAACCGGTCGGTTCGGTCGCTGATTGCGGTCCATTGCGAAAATATCTGCAATGGAAAAAATACACAATTTAATTGTGGATTTTTTGTACGGTATTTTGATCAGCTTCGCTTTCCTATCGTGTTTCAATTAAAACGATCGTTTTAATTTATCATCTTATTCTTTACGTACTTTGTACGGTAGTTCAATGATTACACGGTTAACTCTGGTGTATCCATTAGCGCTTTTGCGCAATTTCAACATGAATCGTTTTTTTGGTACCGATTTATTAGCGCTATTGCGCTGAATATTATTACCACCATCGTCTACTGTTTCCCATTCCTCTGTATCAGTTACGGGGGAATTATTTGCAGGATTATCCGCAGAGGTACGGACCACATCGTTATGGGGAAGTTCGCTCAGTCCGTGACTTTCTAACAAATCTTTAATTAGTAAAATCTCGCTCTTGCGATCTTCCTCTGTAGCTTTGTACGGTTTAAGTCTTTCACAGTTTACAATTCTAATTTCTTCCGATTTATCGGAATTAATTCTCTTTATTTCCACGGCATTTGTGTATGGAAATCCCACGATTTCCCATGGTTCTATTTCGAATTTACGACGGAAAGACTCGGTCTCGCCTTTCTTTTTCTCTATTTTGAGAATAACTCGGTCTCCAATGTTATATGTATCTTCGGATCGACGTTTGTCGAAACGTTCGGCATTCTTTTCGAATTCTGTATTTATATGAATTTCGGCGATTTCACGAGCCCGTTTCAGATTATACTGGAGATCTTCCAGGTAGTCCCGAATTGTCGGGTGATCTACCGGTAAATTGGTTTTTGTTTCAGTATCCGCAGGAATAACCTGCTCTCTTCCATATAACATGAAATAAGGTGACATATTTGTCGTTTTATTCGCTACCCGGTTTTTACCAGCAATAACAAACGGTAGGACTTTGTCCCAATTGCGCTCGCGGCCATCACTGGCGTACATCGCGAGTGAGTCGGCAATTGTTTGCATTTGTCGTTCGACAAGTCCACGCCCGATCGGGTGATACGCAGCGCCAAAATGGTGCTGTATTCTTAGTCTTTTATTTATTGCTTCCAATAAATAATTATGGAAATGTGTTCTTCTATCGGTGTTCAGAATTTGCGGTGTTCCATACGGCAGGAACACGTCGTAAATCAAGAAATTAGCGACGGTTTCCGCCTTTGCGTCGGGTATCGGTTTTGCAATTACGAATTTCGTAAGTTCATCTATCGCCACGGCGATATAGGTATTTCCCCGTGTTGTTTTGGGCAATGGCCCTTTCAAATCCACTTGCATTCTAAACCACGGCTCGCCGATAGCAATCTGCTGTAGCTTGCCTGGTGGCGCTTTGCGCAGTGTCTTGCGATGTTGGCATGCAAAACAATGATCTACGTACTTGATAATCTGAGAGACCATATTCTCTCAGAAGTACCGCAAGGCGATCGCCTGATAAGTTTTGGCGCGGCCTAGATGACCGCTAGCCGGTGCATCGTGCATTGCATGCATGATATCGACTCTCATGTGCTTTGGCACAACAAATCGGCGATTAATTCTGCCGTCTTTCTCGGAGATTTTATACAATACTCCGTTCCACAATTCATAACCGGAATAACCGGGGCGTTTAAGCAAATGAACGCTTTCTACGCGTCCTTCTAGTGCGTGAATTATACGCTCGATATTCGGGTCTTTCTCTTGTTCTATCCTATAGAACTTGAAGTTATCCTCTTCCTCCTCATGTTCAGCTCCATCCTTAATCGTCACTACACAATTGGACGGAGTACTAAATTTAGAGTCCTTAAATTCGTCCCAGTCATCGTCTGGGCATTCGGTAGCTTCTCCCACCGGGTGTCTACTCAACGCATCAGCGTTGTCACACTGTTTTCCCGGCCTATAAAGTATCGTCATTTTATGACTGCTTGGCTGGAGTGCCCAGCGCGTTAAACGGCCATTTAATCCCTCTTTGCGGGAAACCGATCGTAATAAGTTAGTTAAAGCTTGATGATCGGTCTGTACCGGAAAATGGGAGTATTCAATAAAGTGTCGAAATTTCCGACACGCGAAGACTACTGCTATACATTCAAGTTCTGTAATTGGATATTTCTTTTCAGCATCGGTGAGCAATTTGCTCGCGTAAATAATCGGGTGTCCATCCTGGTGCAATATCGCACCTATTCCTATCGTTGATGCGTCGCATTCTATTACGGTCGGCTTACTCGGATCAAATTTGGCCAATACTGGCGCATTAATTAATGCTGATTTTAAATCAGCAAATTCACTATCGTGATCTACGGTCCAGTTCGATTTTACATCGATTTCTCCTTTTAGTAGGCCGTATAAACGGCGCGTTCTACTAGCGAAATCTTTCACGAATTTACGATAATAATTACAGAGACCGAGAAATGATCTCAAGTCCTTTTCGGTCTCCGGTTTCGGATACTTTTCTATGGCAGATATTTTATTAGGATCTGTCCTAATGCCGTCTTTGGACACGATATGCCCTAAGAAATAAAGTTCGGTCTCGCCAATATGGCATTTACTAGGTTTCAATGTGAAGCCAGTTTTTATTAAACATTCACACATTAAACGGATTTTCCGTTTTAGATCTTCAACGTCTTTTGCTGCCGCTATTATGTCGTCCAAGTATGCGAAAATATTTTCGCAATGGACATCAGATAAGGTGCGGTTCATAGCTTCCTGAAACGTTGCCGGACCGTTACACACTCCGAACGGCATCCTCAAAAACTCATACAGTCCATCTTGCGTAATAAACGCAGTTTTTTCTATAGAGTTTTCGTGCATTTGCACCTGCCAGAATCCTGCATTGCAGTCGAAGCCACAATAATATTTGTTGTCAGCTACCGCTTGCAGTAACTCATCCGGATTAGGAATAGGATAATTGTTTTTTTTCGTAGCGTCATTAAGCTTAATGTAATTAACGCAAAATCGCGTACCGATGGTTCCATCGGGATTTTTCTTACTAGCTAGTACTACGGGAAAACACCAGGGAGAATTCGATTTCCGAATTATCCCTTTCTCTAGCATTTCGTTAACGTGCTCTTGAATAATTTCGCGGCCTCGCCACGAAGTTCTATGCGGTTTACACTTTATCGGTGCAATATCACCGGTATCGATTTGGTGTTTCACGATTTGTACGTCGCCGAACGGGCGACTCTTTGTAGCAAATAAGCCAGGATATTCAAGAAAAATTTCCTTGATTTCCCTGATTTCTTGTTCAGTTAAATTAGGATTGATTTTTAATTCATCTACGGCTTTTTTAACAGTTTCCTGTTCCTCTGGTGTCATTTCTGCCAACATTGTGGCATTAACTTGAATATTTATATCGGGAATCTCCTCGTACGGTTCTAAATAGCCAATAAATTGGCCTTTCTTAATGGACTGCCGCTGATGTTGAAAATTAACGAATACCATATCAAATTTATTGTTCAGTGGTTTAACCACTCCTTCCATCGGTTTTATCCGCCGCTCCATATACAGGAGCGGACTTGGAAGAAATAAAAATTTGTCGGTATCGAACTGCTCGTCTGCATCGAAATGGACATTCACTGTCGCCCAATTAGTACCCGGATTAATTAGTAGTTTGTCGCCGGCGAAGACTTTAATAGGCTTAGCGCGTGTACCGCGGTAAGTGGGGTTAATGTTCGGAGACTGGGAAAATTCCCAAGTCGGAGGTTGATTAATGATCTCGGCAGAATCAGTGGGCCCTACCAATTCTGCATTTACGATAATTAAATTATTAGGATCCGGTACTACTTCGATGCTAGCTTGATTAATTAAATTATTATTATTAGTTTCGTTAGTAGCGGCAGTATCGAGAGTATTCCTCACTACGATAGACGGATCGTCTTTTAAAAATTCAACTACCCGCGCCATTGGCGCAAAACTGACTGACCGATTATGGTTCGCTACGGTTTTTACAACCGATTCATTAGCGTAATTGTTGAGCGGTTTACACTCGTTCAACTGGTAAGGCAATACTGGTAGCTTACGCCGTTCTAATTGCGCTAATATGCGCAAAGGTGTCCGTAGTACATACGGCAGTGGTAATTTAAGATATTTAAATATTTCGTTCAGATATTTCTGTTTCTCTTCCAACGCGTTATATTCTGCTTTATATTGCTTCGCAAGATTAGCTACGATTTCTCCTGCTTTCGCAGAGTCGATACCGGGTACCGGTATTTCATCATCCATAAACAGGTACATTATATTTGTACCATCCTCTTTAGCCTTAATTAATTCCTGTATTTCTTTTACGAGTACTCTGTACTCTGCCCAAAGGCGCCGAAAGGTAGCTTTCGCTACTAGCCTGATTCTTGGTTTTTTTTAGCACCGACTTACGGTTAATATACTCTTCTGATTTGTTTATTGTGGCATTTGCCACGGGTATCGGGAAGACTTCGCTCCCTATTGGTACGGTTTCTTCCTGTACGGCCTCTTGTGCCGATGCTACTGGTTCACCAGTAATTTCTCCCGTTGCCACGGGTATCGGGAAGACTTCTTCCACTACGGTGTTTGTCGTTTGAATAACCGGCGACACCGGTTCGTTCATTATTAACGGCCCCGGTTTTTTATCGGGTTGATATTCTAAATACCGCAATTTGTTGTGCCGGACGGCATAAAATTTATCCAACAAGAAATCCTGCCCCAACAGTACTTTTATTTCATCGGTCGTTGGCTTAATATAAGCCGAATGCAAAGATTCGAAATCTTTAATTTTAATTGCTATTCTACAGTAATGTGTAACGAGGAATCCACGGACTCCTCCGATACCGCGAATATGTAGCGGTTTAATTAACGGTATTCTTGCAGCTTTAATTTCGTTCACAAATTCACTAGAAATTAGTGAAGTCTCCGCACCGGTGTCAAGCATCACCGGCACTTCGCAATAATTTATTATTGCTTTCAGCATTAATGGTGCGGTTCTCTTGGGTTCGTCACTGTCAGTTAAAGTTGTGAAGTTAATATCAGCATAGCTGATATCCGATAATTCATCGGCATCCGTTTCGACTACTCGTAATCCATTGATTACAGTTTCTTCGGTTTTATCCGGCGGTTTGGGTGGAATTGGGTCGGTAAAGCCGGAGTTTACCGCCCCTCCTCGTTTTCCTGATCAGCCAAACCGGAGAACGGATTATTATCCGGTAACGGTGATCCTGGCGTCGGGCGTACCCGATCTTCTACTGGGCCAGCACTTTGGCGGGAATTACTCCTCGGCCTTGCCGGCGAACTAGGTTCACTTCCTGACTGACTGCCACTACGACGCTGATAGAAATCGGCGGCATATCGCCGATTTCCAGTCTCTGGATCGTGATAAGCGAGATATGTAGGATTCGCGCATCGCGGCTTATCGCGGAACTGACACTCTCGGAAGTAATGCCCGCACAAATCACAGTGCTGGCAGTACTTCACTACTCTATTACCACGCAAGGTTTTCTGCAAGGCCGGTGACCGATCGGCCACTTCCTGTATTCTGTTAATGTTGTTTGCCCATTGTTCTTTACGAGACGGTGCGCGATTATCGTCCTGGTTAATTCGGCTGTCGTTACTCTCAGCTTTGCTGATATTACTACGAATATTATTATTATTATTGTTATGATTGCCGTAACTCGGTTTTCCATTGTTTTTACTACTTGGCCGCGGCGGGCTGGCTGCCGCTGCCGCGTATGACTTCGGTTGTACTTGTGCTGTTCGCACAGTGACTACATCGGTATCCCTCTCTTGTTTACGTCGGACGTTACCAATCGGAATAACGTATTTTTCCGGATTATTCGATGACAAATATCGCAGTATTTCGAGAAATCTCTCGGGAGTATCCGGTCGCATAACTTCCATTTTGTCATGGAGTTTTTCATGCGGTTTTAATCCGCGCATTAAAAACGACACGAATTGTTCAGGTGTGCTATTAAACCCAGCGCGATCGCGCAAAGTCATCATGGCCTGATAGTAACTCTCCAGGGTTTCCTGGCCAGGTCGGTAATTACGGTTTGTTAGCTCTGCTAACGCGTTAACTGATCGTTTTGAATCGCCAAATCTGGCGATTAACTGCTGTTTCCATTCACGATACGTGATGGGTGCAGCGTTGGAAGTTATCAGCCCATTGTACCACACAATGGCCTCATCTTCAAGGCAATATGCCAATTCCGTAATTTTCCTCTCATCTGTAGTCCACCGATTTGCGGTGGCTGCGTGATCAAATTTTATTATGAAACTATCGATGTCCTCCTTGCTACCATTGTAGCTGGGACGCGGTACGGGCTGTCGCATCACTTCAGCCAAATCCGATTTTCTCACAGGACTTACGGTCCTGCTTTGTCCGATGCCTGCTCGCTGAATCTCCTCCCGCAAAATACTGCGGATAAACTGCTGCTTGTCAGCACTCGGCATTTCCCGGGAATTATTCTCGTTCATTGCCGAGGGTGTATGCTGGACACGGGATGATTCTGCTTCAGTATTGGCGGCATATGCCCTGCTGAGCGGTCGCTCGCCGTATTCCACGGCTTCCGGGTTCATTTGCCGGTCATATAATACTCGGTAGTCTTTTGCTAGTGAATTAAATTTCCCAATTAGGGATCTATGTTCGGTCTGGCTCTCGTGCAACATAGACTGGAGATGGGAAGTTTCCCCTTTTTGGTGAAAATTATCAGTTTTCATCTTTTGGTGTTCCTTCCAGGTCTGATCCAAGGCTATATCTTTTTCAGCTAATTGCTGGTTTAGATCGGCATTCTTACTGCATAATTCATCTGCTTTTCTTTCAATCCGGCAATCGCCGTATCTTCTCACCTATTAAGGCTCGTAAGCCCAATACGATCTTTTCCATGTTCTTAAAAGAACTATGTGCGTGTTTGTACTGGTTCTTATGATGTTGGACTTCGTCCTCAGCTACTTCCAATTTTCTTTGCAAATCTTTAATTGCTACTTGATTTGCCGAAATAGTTTCGGTCGCTTGTTTCAGTTCCACAATAGTGGAACCTGTTGCCGGCTTAGCCGCAGAATTTAACAATTCGTTCAAGTTGGCTGTATACGATTGCGTTTTACGCAAGGTAGTCGGTATCACTGTCACAGGTTCCTCTTCTTAGTCCGCCGTTGCGGACTTGTTAAGTTCACTCTCGCTTACTTGAGAAAACAACCCCGTCGTGGCCGTTGATTCTGTAGTACTTTCAGACCGTTCTGGCGCAGGCGCGCGTTCCTCTTCCCGATTATCGAGATTAACTTGTCTAACTTTGTCTGGCGTTAGCGGCCTGAAAAATAACTGATCAGGCGGCTCCATTACTGGTGTATCGAGGAGATTATCTCCTTGATCCATTTCGGTCGCTTTACGCGGTTTACGGGTTTTATCTTGGAGGACTTTGTGGGTAATTTCCACACCTGCCTCCTTCAACTGATTTGTTTTACTGCGAGTAACCTTATCCGGTTGTGGAGCTCCGCTTGTGCCAGCCTTTGCCGGGTCGTCGGTTATCCCTTTTAAAACTTTGCTAGCTGATTTCAAGACGTCTTCTACGCCCTGTTTCAACCGATCAATAGCTGGTTGTTTCCTTACTGGTGAACGATTTACGGGCATTATGCCGTCAAAACTCAGACGATAGAATTCAGAGTTGAATTCTAAACTTATTTCGAAATAGGTTTTTTACACTATATGTGCAATGCACTGCATTGTAGGTCAATGCATTTTAAGTATCGCCGCTTTGCAGGCTTGGCTGTACAGGATAGAAATTTGGCCTGGGCGGCTATAAATAGCCTGCTTGGTTAAGTCTATTGTGTGGCTTTACCGCTTCTCGAGCATCACATAAGAATAGCTGGTATCGATAACGATCGGTGAGTGCGTCGACTTTTGCCAGCCTGCAATATTCAGCAGATTCCCTGAATTCTTTATTGGAACTATCGTTCCTTTATAACAGAATATCGTCGATATAAACTGTCACTGTATCAGTGACTATCACTTTAACGGTTACATTGTCAATTACGACAACCATAACGTTCTTCATTTTGGTGTAAAATGATCGCGACCACGAAATAGTTTAAATATAATATTTTAGATTATTCGGAAACGTTCGTTTCCTTCCTTCTCCTCGCAACTGTTAGACCCAACGAGAAGTCGCAGGCTCGTACTGGGAAATAATCCCTTATTATCGTAAAATTCCATAAAAAGAATCACGGTATCAAATTTAATTGTCCCTAATTCGGGAAAAGTACGATCCCTATGATTCGGGTTACTTTACAGTAGAATTAATCTACTAGTATCTGTGCAGTAAGCTTACGAGCTTACAAGCAGGAAAGCTTACGAGTAAGAAATCGCGTTCCTGGGTTCTTCTCCTTGCTGGCGGCCGCGTGCCTTCCGAACCAGCGACGCTCCTTGCTTCTGTACGGGTTCTTCTGCTGCTGGTTGTTGTGGGCTATCGCTGGTGACCCGGGGTCTCCACTGAAGAAGAGAAACTTCCGTGTTACAGCGTTTGTGAGTGAACGCTGTTGAGTGCAAACTAGAGGGAATGACGAGGATCTTAAGGCATCTCCACCATCTCGGAGAAGCGTCTACGCTGTACAGAGAAATGACAACGGAAACAACATCTCCTCGAAATAATCGCTTTTATTTCAATGAAATAAATGCTAATCAGCATCAAAACAAATCTCTAAAGGTGAGAAAAAGGGCATGAAACCAAGGAAAGCTAGGAAACGATGTTAACGGTTCCGATGCTGGCACCCGAATGGCAAAACATGCTTTTGCATGTGTGCAGAATGGCGAATGGTGAGCCGATCCCGTGATGGCGAGGCGAACACGCCAATATCCTGTGCGCTACGGACAACACTCTGACACTAGTCTTGTTTTACAGCATAAGCAATGGAGATGGAAACCACGAACAGCGGTAGAAGTATGTATCGAAACAAAAAAGCGGCAAATCGGCTTCTCAGGAAAATTTAATTGTTGGTAAAGGAAAATATGCACATTCGTTATGGAAAATTTTCGGTGCGGGCTCTAGTATTAACGTCAAAGAAACTGTCGTGCGCAAATGAGCTCGCAGAAATTGCAGTGGCACTTCTTCATAGTTCTACGTCCGCAGTACTTTTGCTTTCACTATAAAAAGCGCAATCTGTGGATGTTTGTGTACTTCTATATACGGATACAAAATGATATTATACGTGTATCCAGTAACGTGCTACAAACATCAACGCCTTTTTTGTACTGGGTAGGTAGTAAGCACTACGTAGATATTTCAGACTTTTAATAGCGTACAAACAGTTACTGGCTCACATACGTGATACGAAAGATGAAAAATTTCGTTTTTAATTGCGACTGACGGTAAATGTAATCCGACAGGCATTTTCAGCTTATTGTCAACACTGCCTAACAGTCGAGCATCGTCATCCGACTCGTACTGCTAACTGCTAAGCAAGTCACAAGTATGAAAATATTGTACTTGGCGTAGTGTATTGGTTTGTTCAGCCAATTCTTTGCAAGACCGGCTTAATACAGCTTAATTGTACAATCCTATTTAGATGACCTTTCCTTGTTTGCTAAAAAAGGCAGTAAACGTTTCAGTATCATGCATTCTACTGTTACAATCGCAGGCCGCAGTAACGCAGGCAACAACATTTTTGCCGTTGTTGTAAGCCGTCACTATTTACATACATCCTGATCCTGCTCCGGTATATCTTTGTCTTTGTGGCTTGTATCTATGCCCGGCCAGCTAGACGGTTGTACTTACACAAATCGTCAGATTGCACTTGTTAAACGCTGCGCCGCTGCCACTGCTGAAAGTCTTCTCTGAACTGGTTTTCATTTTTTCGGAATTTCTTTCTATTGAACCATCACCACCCTGTGTAGTTGTGATTGCTTGAATGAGTTTTGGAAATAAATTGTGTGCAGTGTTCGTGGATATCTGCTTTATTGTTAGAGCAGGTAGTTTATGCTTTGGCACATACCTTGTGCCTTGTGGCTCCCAGTTTGACAGTTGCAGACAAGGAAGTGATTCGTACGACCCAGCTATTTGTTGTAGATTGTTGTTGGTTGGACGTCCTCCTGTAAACCAGTGTCTGGTTAATCGTAGCTGTGGCGTTTTCCGACGGAATAATGGCCGACGGGTATGCAAAAACAGAGTACCCTTTAGAGCTCGCTACTGTTTCTGCATTTGCTGAGCCAGTCAAAGTGATACTTGGTACTTACTGTTAACTGTTGCCGCTGGCTTGTTGTAGCACTGTCATTTGTAGTTCTGCGTTGTACTTTTCCAGTGTTGTCGTTCCTGCCATGGCTGGACTCCGACTGGGTCGTGGGCTTTATAGGCGACATGGAACTCGCGCCACGACCGAGGTGCCCCGAACCCAGCAAGACGATGCTTCGCAGCATCTAGCTTTGGAAAATCAAGCTACTGAAGAGACAACGAAAGCAGCAGCGAGTCCCAAAAGCGAGCGAGTGTCAAGTCCCAAAAGCGGTAAGTAGCATCTTATTCTTAGCATAGGACCAACTAGTCAACTACGTAATTTCTCTGTATCGGAAGGCCAGTCTTTTATGGATTTGCACTGGTTAAGTGTGAGCTGCTTTTCATAAGATTTAAAAGCTGTTGGTCTGGTTGCGTTTTTCATTGACCACTGGCAGTTAAGTATAGAACCATCATGCGTTTTACGTTTGTATTAACTTGACGAGTCCCCCGCGGCCCGCGCCGTGACTGGTTGCGGCTGTATTATTGTTTCAAATGGTTGATAGGTTACGGTAATGTAATTACTTGCAGAGTCACGGTAATGTAATCTTGATTGCTCTTTGCAGAACCTTCGACATCATCCGATAAAAACGGTCTCTCGCATGGTTCCTCCACGAATAATCAGCCGTTGGCTGCCAAAAAGAAGCCGGCCAAACGACGCCAAGTTGGAGCATCAATGGTTTCTGCCGTACCGTCATCAGCCAAGCAAGGCTTCGTAAAGGTGTTCATTCCAGTCCGGGGTTTCCATCTGTGGAAGCCGTTACGCGGTGCTGCAAAGCTGCTCACCAAAGATGCGTCCCGTGACGACGGCATGGTTGCACAAGGTTTCGCGCAGTCACCAGTCCGTCGAGGCCGGCGTACGCGTGCTCAAACGGTATTTTATGGTTTCGATAAAGCCGCGTTCCTGCAGTCGGGTAGCCGGAAGAAACGACGTTTCGGTTAGCGACAACAAACCGCTGGTATTCACTACATCAGTTGATCAACGAAGGACTTGGTATTCACTACATCAGTTGATCAACGAAGGACTTTCCAATCATCGTCTATACGGTCTGCAATAACAATCCTGGGGAAACTACTGCACTGTTTAACTAACGGGAATACTTGTTTTCATGTTTAACCGAGAGTTTTCGCAAACATGTATCGGTAATTAATGGTTAATGCTCAACATGATAAAACAGCTGTCTTGCTTGTATGATACTGCAGCCTAGCTACCAAATAACTAATGAGCAACGAAATTGTTTTGATACAGCGTGAATTGTACTACTTGATTATGTAAACATTGAAGAGGAATAACAGAAACCAGAGTTTATTACTTTTCCGATTTGATGCTGTAACTTGTAGCCAGACTTGTATCCACTGCCGCATGGACTAAGTACTCAGTAGTATTCCTTTCGGGATAACCCACTGGATCAACAATGTTCTTGGTTAATTGTGACAGGGTCGAAATCACTTAGCGGTAAATGAAAGGTTAATCCAAACAGTCGAACTCCGGATGACTGCTGCCGACTGCAAGGTAATTTCGCTGTTCCTGGATCGTTCTTACAAGTCAGTCAGCGAATTTGGGACCATTTACAAGTGTTACCTGTGCGACCGAGTTGCGCCAATCGTTTGATTCAACCTCAACAAAGACAAACTGCTGTCCACACGAGTAAAGTACCTTAAGTGCCTCATTTTTACAGTTGCCAACTATATATGGGTAGGGATAACAGCTGCTCCAGGGAGATGTTCGTGAGTTCTAGGCGAAGGTCTGTCAAATGTTCGGCTCATCGCTCGACCACTAAGTACGACTACGCTACATCCGATAGTTTTGTAGTCAATAGTCGCGCAAGACCTTGTGCAAGTGCGGAAGTACATTTTTGCGGAAAAAGAAAAGAGTTTTCAATAGAAAAACAAAACTTGCTCGTACTCGTATAAATTTGTGTCAGCAATAGACCGCTACACTGGTTGGCAGACTATAGAGTTATGTTAGGATGGACTCGCTGACAGTTTAACAAATGAGATGCGAGATCAGCGAAGCGCAGTGAAAGAAAATCTAAAAATTTGTGTCCTTTGACGCACCCACTTTAATTCTGTTTCGGTGACCTTTTCGTTGCTAACTGGAAGCGCCACAATAAACGACAAGCTGTGGACGTTTCTATCAGGTTTTCTTAAATGTACAGATAAACGTACTAAACATATCTAACGATAAACGTAACACTTAACGATATTTGATCGATTTACAATGTAGTATGGTACCTCGTAATGTGACACAATTGTACTTATCTTTATAGGAATTCAGGTAGTTACGAGTACGTACTTCATTTTTAATACAACGAATTTAAATCGTTCCAGTTTGCGGACGAGTACCAACTGATTCATCACATCATTGTGCATTAAGAATTAAACTACTTACATATACACAGTCACAGTACAGTATATTGCAGACATTTATAAATCGGTCTCCAGCGTCGTGCGTTCTCCTGTATCGCAGTCAACAACATTAATCGCGGTGCGCCGTTTTAGCAAACCCGAGGAATTTCCATCCTTCTCTTTGTGGCTCATGGCTATATCGGCCAACGAAATGGATGTAGAACGCTTTTCTTTGGTGGTAAAACATTCGAAGGAGGGATCAGCTAGTTCCTTGTAGCCGGCAGCGGCCAACACTTCCCTCAGCTTCTGGATCTCTTTTCCTCCTAGACGAAGCAGAAAAATAAACATGATCTTTGCTGTTTGCACAACTGTAATAGTACTGTACCCTTTGCCTTTTTACTAAATATCGACACGATTGCACAAATTAATGGTATCAAAATTTGATTACAATGTACAAAGTAATTCAACACAATTGCAAATATCGACGCAGTGCTGTGTAAATCTAATTACAGTAGTAAAACACACATTTAAAATAAATACTCACATTTAATTAATTTAATTTAAACATTCAGTTTAACTATATTTTGGTTTTTAACACCACATGTACCTCTACAAATCCTTATGTGCAAATACATAAAATACGACTAAATTTTCACCATTTTTAAGCAGCTTTCAAGTTAGCTGCACTTACGATGAAAATAATATTCAAAATGTGCCACAACCACGGGAACAATAAAGGCCAGGCACACCACGCCACACGCACAACAAATCCCGCCCACGACTTTCCCAATTGGTCGTTTCGGTACCATATCCCCGTAGCCGACCGCCGTCCACGTAATCACCGTCCACCAGAAGGCATGCGGAATACTGGGAAAATCACTATCCGGATAGCCCTGTTCGGCATAGTACACCGCCGCACTGGACAGTGTCATCCCAATGCCGGTTAAGAGGAACAGTACACTAAGCTCTTGCCGGGCGGATTTGGCGGTCAACCATAAAATCTGCAGGCCATCTGAGTAGCGGCTCAGCTTCAGGATGCGGAAGATCTGCAGTAAGCGGAACACGCGCAGTATAAGAAAGAAATCAACCTTCTCCGCACGTAATGATGTCGTCCCACTAATAAGTGTCGTTTCCGGTAGGAGTAGATCGACAAAATACGGTATGACCGAGACTAAGTCGATGACATTAGTGAACTGAAGGAGAAAGTGTTTCTTCATCGGACTGGCAATGAAGCGCACGATGAGATCCAGGCAAAAGTACACACTACAGATGGACTCGACGATGAAGAACAATTTCGGCCCGGTGATACCGGAGACACCGGCATTGTTCGTGCCGGATGATGTTGATGATGATCCGGTGGCGTTAATCGCCGGGAAATTTGTATGGTACCGCGGTAGTGTCTGTATACAGAAAGTTACTCAGTGCAATAAACACGATGATGATATTGATCGCCGCTAAGGCTTGCGCGGTGGGCGAACTACTGGGAACCTCCAGCATCAGCCAGATTTTTCGTTGCCGCTCGTTGATGGGGACCGTGGGTGGTTCGTCCAGCATCTCCTCCACCTCCAGTAATTCTTTGAGCACTTTCACGCCGAGATCGTAAAAGAGGATTTCCGAGACGAAGCGGTGCAGCGGGACACTTTCCGGTCGCCGCAAGATCCCGGTCTGGTAGAATTCCAGGACGGAGCCGAAAATCTTCCGGTTCCGATCGAAAAAGTACTCTTTCCGGACGGAATCATAAAAGGTCGCCCGGCGCAGCGGATCCCCCAGTAAGGTGCCGGGAAAGCGGGATAATGTGGACAAACGGGTTTCATAGCGAAATCCGCTGACGTTTATAGTGACGGTCTCATCGTCTTCGGCGCGCGGATCCCCATTGTTAAAATCCGCCATGGACAGACGGTTGGGACGCAGTGAATTCAAGCGCAGATTTTTACGGATGTACGGGGATGCGCGGTAATTATGGGCGCCCTGGGAGATGGAGACGGCCGCCATGATAACGCTAATTTTAGTAATCTCATCCAAGGAGTATCCAGGAAATTCAGTCTCGATCGGATTATTCCCACGGCAAGTTCGTGTAGATTATGATGATATGGATGCTAATCGGTTGTCCGTTCAGAAGCGCGCGCGATGATGGCAATGAAGGAGTTATTTTTACGCTGAATGGGATCGGCATCCGTTGCGCGTATATACAGGTGAGTTTATGCGACGATCAGCAAATTTCACTGTTTGATTAGGTATTTAATCATCGCGCAAAAACAAACTGCCGAGAGGCGTACACCGCATTTATAAGCTACAGGATAGACATGGCAAATAAAAGTGTCAAAATCCTGCCGGAACATGGATACGATGGAACATATATATACGGCGTCTCGCATGTGCACGCTTAGTGATATACAAACGCTTCCTGCTTTCAAACGATCGGCAATTATTTAAAGCATCTGATTAATCATGGAAGCTTGCTCAATAGCATTTCAAACGGTGCATATAAGCGGGGAAATACGCATTTTAAGACAGCGAAGAATTAAGCCGGTAGGAACCGGATATGCGTTGTATTTATTACATTACAGCGCTGGATATAGGCGTGTTCGATCGAAGATGAAGATTATTAAATGGAAACCAATTTTTTTTATTAATCCAACGTTATTTCCCAAAGAGATCTGATTTCTTAAAAGACCATAACTCCTTATGGATTATTCGGAAGGGAAATATATTCCCTCCTTAAGCGGCTTATGTTTACAATGGATGCGCAATGCAAACACACGCAGCTGACCAATGGTGTTTGGACGGTGCTGGGCTGTGTGTGTGTAAGCACTGTGACTGGTCCATATTCATGTCGCTTAATCCTAGGTGTCCGATTTCATATTGTAAACAAACTTCCGCTGCATCAATGTAAACATGACTTAATGGCTTAGAGGAAGAACAAAGAATTTCCGTCGTTACCAAATCCAATCGATTACGGCCGAATAAAGCGAAGGCCTAATGCTGTCGGCTGCATTAACTAATACTCCAGTTTTCTGCTCTTAAAAATTACAGACGGCAGAATATTCTTTTCGACCATTGTACGGAGGAAGGCGATGCCGAATTCGAAGTTGTGCACTCTAACTACGCAATATGGCGCAGAACATTTTGTTAAACCTGAAACACACGTACTGTACATGTACACATAGCATGTACGTAAAGTCTGCAACTCTGCATATGCGATAGTACCATACGCGATATGCAATAGCACGATTAGCATAGATTTAGATTTAAACATCTTTATCTTATTTACGTGGTATTTTTTGGCTAGACGTCATTTCTGATGTCATACAATTATTTTTTTCCATTTCTTTGGCGTCAGGATTCTAACGATTCGGAATCATTATAAAGGTGTAGTTGCTAGCGGAAACACTGATCCCATACTTTTGGAATAGCAAAATCAGAGGACATCCATCACAAAACGCCCTGTCAGTATTCTGTGAACGCGAAGCAGTCGGTGAACTATCATAGAGTTTACATGCAACACAGTGGAAACAAACGAGAATATTTAGGATACATATACACTGAAAGACCAGCGTGACCCTTTGAACGGCCTATTTGGCAACTTGAAAAATTACGGAAGACACTGTCGGCCGATGTTTTACTCGTGTGTACTGTACTGTGCATCCGCATAGCAATTACAAAATAAGACCAAATACACTTAGGCAAAAATGGTACAAGTTTATACAAGTGCATGATAGAGTGTGCAACTGCGCTAGTTATTACTTTCACAGATAGCACCCGAGTACGTACAGTGTTTCTGCTGCAGATTGTTCAGCCTTGTTGTTAACAAAAACTCTACAATACATGCAGATTTCCATCGTACTCGACCGACACAAAATGCAAACAAACTGCACCGCTTATCAGCAATAAATTAGATATCTGTGTTGGACAATTTGCCGATCGCTGCACAGTACTTCAGGTTTCATTCTTAACAGAACACCTTTTACATGCTATAAAATTTGTGTACATACGGTTATCTGCTGATTTTCAGATTCAATGCCCAGACGGAAAACCAGGGATAGCATTTTTTCAAGCAATACGCTGACTAGAAAGCCAGAGTAGTTTGGAATGTAATTAATCTGCTCCATAATTATGTGACATGGGATTGTTGTCACCATTTTCCTGCAAAATAATGTTAAAATCTTAGCAAGCTGCTTTTGTTCATGTGAGGTTTAACACGACGATGATATCCACATACTTGGGTGAGAAATGTGTTTTATTTACTCGTATTTCTGTTAACAGTGGCTTTTATTGCCAAAGCTGTTGAAGTACAGACTACCTACAGCATTAAATTACTCGTATTCATTATGTGTGTAACGGCTGACTTGATTACCGACAGTAATGCATAAACGAGCTGCTACCTACAGTAGTAGTCTGTAGTACCTTCTCTGAGGGATAAAATTCTGCATGTTATTAGCTTTTTGCATAATTATTTTCCTTATTAGTTGCAGCCGGAAGTGCAGTTCTTCGTAAGCTTTGCACCGCAGACCTGACCATCCCGATTTTCCTGGCGACTGTGGTGGTCGGCTTCTTTTGGGATCCAGTTGTCCACGTGATCCAGCCTGTCATCTGCACCGTGCCTCGTGCTGCTGCGTATGGTGTCGGAGCCGCACAATACCTACTGTATGCTGTGGTTTCTTTCCTACAACTTCTGTCCGGTTTGCTGTCCATATTGCAAGAAGCGATTGCGCTGCTATCCACTGTTCTGCGTTTTCTAATATCCTGCTGCTGTCTGGGAGAAGATCTACTCCGCGGTACTGTTTCCCTGGCTGAAGCCACTGCTTCCTTGCTATCTCTAGCGTATGACATGCTTGAAAATGCAACGTTTCCCGCTGTATCAGGATTATTGGCTGGGATTTTACTCGTACTGCTTATATTCTACAATTCACAATAAACTGCGCAGCGCTGTTCTCGTTTAGTGGGTTGTCCGATTGAACCTGATATTCCCTCACCTTCTCCTGTTGATAATAAAAGCCAAGGCTAACTCACCGAAATCAAGGGCTTGTACCGTTTTTACACAATCGTATCGTGCACTTTAAAGTTCGCTTCATAAAATACTTCCACTGGTATTAAAGTGACCTGCAAACTTCGTCACGGTATTGCAAATTGCCGGTTCTTTCAGTCATGCTGGTCCTATCATTACTTAATTTTATGGTGTGCTGTCCGCCATGCAATATTGAACCGTAATATCAGATGGAAATATTTTAAAAAAACTTGGTTGATAGTTGTAACACCAAAAAGAAATATGTAACTGCATGTGTAGATCCAATTATTCTCGTCTGCAATCCTATGCAAATCTTCGCATAAATTTCTGTTTACAAAGCATCTGTACGATGGCGGTTACCGCTTATAATATCGTAAATGCAAGTCCCCATCCGTAAACTGAATTCGATACAAAGTCTTCATTACTGCGTACAAATCCAGTTTAGACACTGCATGTGGCGTTTGCTCAGATTGTCAACAGGAAATTCACAAATCAGAATACTGCAAAGTTTGCGTTCGATGTAACCGTTCGATGTTGAGAATTAATGAATTCCGCTTGGCTGATGTCGAGTCAGTGTGCCAAAACTCGTTGTACGTGACCTTTTCCGTGGGAGAGATTCTTTGGCAAATGCGGCACTAGGAGCGCTCATTGTCCGTAGATTAATACTGTGATCAGCATTCAGTACGAGTATATCCGTGGCGTCTCTAACGACATTAATGTTCGCCAAGGTGTCCGCGGATTCGTTTTTTGGCAGAACGTTAGGAATTATCATAAGCTCCATGTCGTCATCCACAGCCACAATCGGTTGTTGCCGCTGCTCTGCCATGGACTTGTTAGGACCTGAAAGGGAAGTCACAGATTAAGTGCAAATTAATACAGCATCTCCTTAGCAGCTTTCCTTCAATATTTCGAATATTTTTAACTAGTTGTCCCGCTACTCGCTAAATTGTTCTAAGCTTCTAATACATAACCACAAATCGATACGTTTACAGTTATCACGCATGCTTGCCATTTACGGTCTTTTTCTCCATTCTATGCGGCAAACTTTGGCTTCTTTTTGTCCTTTTTATTCGGGATGCCAATAAGCTGCGGTTCAAAAACTGACGAACACTGCTTGTGAATTACACTTTTTCACAGGATCCAACAGCATCATTAATCCTGCACGAAAGGATTTGGAACGGGCGTAAAAGAGGAAATTCAAGGAATGGTTTATGTCCGAGAGGGCGTTTTGTACCGGATACACATTCCAGTAGGTCTCGTAAGAGTAATGGTCTTTATGCAATAAACATGTAATGTACGACACGACCAGCAACTCATTCACCAGCGCCACGACTTGCGTCAAAAGGTACAATGTAGTAGAGAAGATGATGATTGTATTCGTACCGCCGATGTGGCCTTTACGAGAGTGTTCCTTCAACGCGCGCTGCCGCTTGATTACCGTGATAATGACAAAAGAGTCCGCTGCAAGTAGGATGACAAAAATGGCCACAATTTTCAGGGTCTACAAAAAAACCAGCAAGATACCATGGTGAATCTGAGGCACTGCTTTCGCTTGTGTGTACCCGGTAAATAACTGCAGCAAACATCCAGTGCTGAATCCACAGCGGATATGCGGCATCGAACGCCGGAACATCTCGGTACATGAGTTCGTATACTCGAACCCCAGATCGCGATAGTATAAACTGTGAGGCAACGGGATCAACTGCGTTGATGGCGATCAACACAACCAGTATCACCAGCATCGTAATCCACGCTGGCTTGGTTCGACCACGCTCTCGATTCTGCAGTGGTCGAAGAATGGACATGGAACGTTCCACGGAAAATATCAAGAGCGCCCTGTTAAGAAATAACATGCGGTATTGAAGGTATTTCTTAGAAGCGATCAAGCGGACGACATACCAGTCGGACATATCCTTAGCGACGTGCAGTACCAAGTTTACAAAACCGATAAGACGATCATAAGTAACGTGTTCCTTGAGAATCAGACGATTGACGATGGAAATGTATCGAGGAATTTGGAACCACCTAAAAAAAGACACCCTTTCGGCTTTCACGCTTCTTATTTTTTGATGGTGTCTTTGCAGGTTAACAACTCTACCAATTGTAAGCTTACATGTGCAAGATGTCGCCGACGCAGATAACCAACAGATAAACCGTAGCTCTCTTCTTCTCCTTAACCGATGCGAAGACCATTATACTGATAACATTTCCAATGGTAGCGAAGGCTAACAGCACTGGAAAGGTCACCGTAAGTACTGCAGCGGTAGTGCTTTTCGCCAGTGCGCTTGATGCATGAAAAAACCATATCCGTGAAGTATTGCCCCGGCAGTAGTCGACAAACTCGGAGGGGGTATGACAGAACTCCACATTAAGATGGCGGACAATCTCCTGCATCTTTCCGTCTTGATCGTTCCACCAGCCACAGACGCGTCCAGCGAGGGTTACGCTATCGCCCGCATTGTGCTGAGCGCAAACCTCATTTCCACGGGAAGTTAACTGAATGATTGCGTCTAATGGAGGGCAGTTGTTTATTTCAGGACGTAATCGACTGACAAAATGATCGGATGTAGGGTCGGCATCACAGTCCGTAGCTTCAAAAGTTCGTGGAGATAATTCTTTCGTATACTGACTCCATTTGCATAAGTACAAATAAACCACCTACCCAAACCGAATTAACACCGAGGTTAAGATAGATTGATCGAAAGCTGATTCTCTGGTACAGTACATAAAAGCGCACCTTTGAGACACCTAAGTATTATTTTTACAAGTCGTCAATATGACAGTTATGATTAAACCGGGAAGACCCTTAACAATCTGGTGACTAGTGCAAATGCTGCCACCAAGTTTCCAATAATTTATTCTGTACAACATGCGTACTCGTGCGTGCTCGAGTACTTAAAGTATAATACACACATCTGCTCGGCGATGTATTGCTTTATGCAAAATTTGGCGATTAATTACCTATCATAAAAAATTCAAATTCGTGGAGTAGAGTCACGAATATTGACGTACCTCTTTTGGAACTCCATTCGAATGATTGAAATTGAGCGAAGGAAAGTCCGGACAAAACGTTCTGTACATGTTATAAACAGGGTATGCTGACTGCTGCCAAAACCGGCACACTTTGTCGGCCAAAGGATCATCATATGCCACTGCACAAGGTTTTTCCAAACCGCTTAAAAAACTGTCCATGCTCTGCAGAAAATGGCAGCTGCCGTGGAATTTGTTGGTAAGTTGTGCATCGTCTTTGCATAATCCACGGAAATGAAAGTCAAAGTTTAGATTTTGTCCAACGGGGAGTGTGCTGTTCGTTGATATCCACGCACCGCACAAGAACTGAATTAATTCTAGCAGAGTAAATGGGATGGTCATTTTTGATAACGGAGTATAAGTAGTAGAGTATGTGAACTATGCTCAATCTGCATTTTATTTGCAAAGGCCGCGCATAAAGCGTGCAACCAGCTTGATGCATGCATGTGGTACACTGACAGTTTGGCACTACGATAAAATACTCGTGAAATTGTGCTAAGTTGTAGTTTGTTCAGCGTAGTTCTAATTTGCCCAAAGCGATTACGTGGCCAAACCGCAAAATGCTCCAACCAGTGGAAATTTTTAAATGGGTGGGAATGAATGCAAGACTGTTGAATCATGATCTTGCCCAAGGCATACCGCATTTTTAAAAAATGTTTCATCTTTTGCCGCACGACATTTCAGTCGAACAGTTAAGAGAGTCTGTTCGAGTTTGTCTTTCGTAATTTTACTGGGACCGTATAATAAAACGTTATTGACTGTGGTTGGTAATATCTGAACTGGAAATTAATGTTCACAACTACAGTCTGTACCACACACTGCACGCCCGAGTTGTTCTGGAATTTCTGGATACACCGTAACTCAGTTAACAAATCCTTGCGGCAGATGTTTCACGGATAATTTTCGTTAAATAATAATCCAAGGGATTTAGCCTGTAATCCTAAGCCTGTTTCAAACCTTCGCCTTTTATTACAGAAGTCAGCTATAAACCACTTGTAGATTGAAAATCGCAAATTTTTTTGCAGTGTTCTCACAAAACAATAATCTGAAGAACGCCCGCAATACTTTACAGAGTTGCAATACGTATCGTTGCAGGCCACACAATTACATCTGAAAATTCTTACCACAAACTGAATTCTATACCATGCCTAGACGGTCTAGTCTTTGAATCAACTATTCAGCTTAGACACCGCAACGACCTTTGTAAATTTTTTAAATGATGAAATTCACAGTGACAAGGAGTGTGTTGCAAAGTTTCAATCCGATTTATCTCAGAACTCTTTTTGAGAATCTATGGAGATCAGCTTGACTGTTGCCGTGTTCTAGTAACAGTACTCGCTGTGCGTGGCCTTATCCGTGGTGGAGCTGCTTCGCTAAATGTGGCAGTAGGGGCGCTTACTCTCCGCAGCCTCGTAATGTTATTATGGTCGGTATTTCGTATTTCATTGGCATTAATGTTTGTCGGCATGTCAACGGCTTCATTTGCGGACGGAAAACCAGGGAATACCATAAGCTCCATGTCGTCATCCGCAGCCTGCAACGGTTTCCTGTGCTGCTCTGACACCGACATGTTAAGACCTAAAAACAAATACACGTGCGATACGAAACCATAATAGTATAGGCTGTATAGCTATTGCAACGACACCACAAATACAGAAAATACTCATTAACGATGATTGCATCTGCTTGCCCTTTGCGATGCTTTGCTCCATTCCGATCGACAGTCTTTGACTCCTTTTGCTCCTTTTCATACGGAATTTTATCAGGTTGTGAGTACAGAAAAGGTGAACACTGCTTATCCATTTGCAGCTTTTACAAAACCCAGTAGTGTGTTAGCTCCTTCGCGGTAGGATTTGGAATAGGAATAGAAGAGGAAGTTGACAGAATGGTTAACATCCGCTAAAGCGTTCTGAACAGGATACACATTCCAGTAGATCCGATACGAGTATTGGTCCGTGTGTATAATGCAAGCGACATACGACATAACCAGCAACTCATTCACCAGCATTACGACCTGCGTCAACAGGTACGATGTGGCCGAGAAGATGATCATCAGATTCATGCCACCAATGCGACCTTTACGAGAGTGCGCTTTAAACGCATGCTGTCGCTTGATCACTGTGATAATGACAACAGAGTCGGCTACGAAGAGGATGACAAAGACGGCGACAATTTTCACGGTCTAAAAACAGCACGAATTACTACAATGAAGTTGAGACTTTGCTTACGGTTGTGATTAAATTTTGTGTATACCCGGTAGATGAGTGCAGCAAACATCCATCTTCGAATCCACTGAGGATACGCTGCATCCAGTGCCGGAACATCTCGATACATGAGTTCAAACACTCTAACTCCGGCTCGCGATAGGGTGTACTGTGAGGCGATGGGTTCCACTGCATTGATGGCGAGCAGCACAACTAGTATCACCAGCATCGCGATCCACGCTGTCCTGGTGCGACCATGCTCACGATTTTGCAGTGGTCGAAGAATGGACACCGAGCGTTCCACGGAAAATATCACAAGAGCCCTTCAAGCAAAGGGATAAGAATATAGTAGGTCTTAAATAATAACTTTTAAGGATATACAAAGCACCAATACCAGTCGGATATATCCTTGGCGACGTGCAATATCAAATTTATGAAACCGATAAGACTGTTAAAAGTTAAGTTTTCCTTGAGAACTCGGCGATTGACGATGGAAATGTATCGAGGAACTTGAAACCACCTACACACAAACCAGACACCTTAGCCCACTATTTCCTCTGGTGCCGTTGTTTTCGAATTCTGATACCGTAATTTCAAGTTTTACATGTGCAAGAAATCGCCAATGCAGATCACCAGCAAATAAACCGTAGCGCTTGTCTTTTTCTCCTTAACCGATGCGAAAATCACCATGCTGACACATTTCCGAAGGTGGCGAAGGCTAGTAGAACTGGAAAGGTCACCGTGAAAGCAGCAGCAGTGGGACTCTTGGCCAGCGCGCTTGATGCGTGAAAAAACCACATCCGCGACGTATTGGTGCCGCAGTGATCTATGAACTCGGATGGGGTGTTGCAGAACTCCACATTGAGATTGCGGACAATCTCCTGCATTTTTCCATCTTGATCCTTCCACCAGCCACAGACTCGTCCAGGAGTGGTTGCGCTATCACGGGTATATTGCTGAGCGCAGACATCATTTCCGCGGAAAGTTAACTGAATTATGGCGTCCAGAGCAGGACAGCTGTTTATTTCAGGGTGTAATCGACTGACGGAATAATTAGTTGTGGTCTCTGCATCGCAGTCAGTAGCTTCGAAAATTCGCGGTGATAATTCTTTCGTATAATGACTCCACTTGCACAGGTATAAATAGCCCACCTGTTGCCGCCATAAAAAATTCAAAAAGCTGTGCTTAAAAGTATGTTCTGAATATACGCAATAAAGAGTTTATTATATTTGTGATGTTAAAGTTCACATAATATCAATAACACATCTGATGATAAGTAACTTGGCATGTCACCAGGTTCCCAACTATGGTAATCACGTACCAGTTTACCATACGCTTCTGCTGCGATAGAATTATGCGAGTAAAACCACTCTCCTTACAAGAAAATGCCAGGATTTAGTGGATGGATGTTAACTAACCTCTCTCGGAATTCCGTTTGAATAATTAAACCTAAGCAAAGGAAAATGCGGGCAAAACGTCCAGTACATATTATAAGCGGGGTATTCCGATTTCTGCCAAAATCGACACACTTTGTCGGCCAAAGGATCATCGAAAGCGAACTGACAAGGTTTCTCCAAGCCAATTAAAAAACTATCCATACTTTGCAGAAACTGGCAGCTGTCGTGGAACTTATTGGTAAGTTCTCGGGCATCGTCTTGACACAAGTCACGGAAATGATTGTCGAATTCTAAATTTTGTCTAGTGGCGATTGTGTTGTTCACTGATATCCAGGCACCACACAAGAACTGGACAAATTCTAGCAGAGTAAACGGTATGGTCATAGTGTATAACTATATGTACGTAAATTATGCACTATCTGTTATAAGTAAATCATTAATTTTGAACTCGTACGTTATTCATATTAGCCAGGAACAAGCCTGTAGACTGTACACAGGTAGCAGTTCTTACATTACGGTAGAATACTTGTGTAATGTTGTAGTTTATTCAGTGCACTTTTAACTCGCCTTAAGCGATTACATGTGCTAAACTGCAAAGCGCATCAACCAGTGGGAATTAAAATTTATGATAAAAATGGAAGGTTGTTTATTCATTAGTCTGCCTAGCGGCACATCAGATTAGAATGCGTTGAATATTGCTAGCATGAACAAGTCCGAATGTACAAAAGCATTCTTTTGTGATGTGTAAATTGTGTATTGTAACCCTAGAATAAAGTTCCACTGACAGAGATCGGTAATAAGTCGTGACCAAGCCCTTACAGCAGACGGTCTGACACTACAATTACCATTTAGCTAGTTGTAAACGCTTATTTCGCGTCCGTAGCACTGGCTTCCTAATATGATTTATGTTTGTGCGTCTGAGAGAACGTGCACTCGCACTGCCTTCCGTCTACCAAGGATAATTTCTAGTAAAAATAACAATCCGGCTGCGGAGAAAATAGACACCCCGATAAAGCACATGGAAACCAGAGCCTCCATTCGGATGGCCGCGTCGTGTGTAGGAATCGTCTGATCGCCCGGAACCGTGTACGGGATACCGTGTGCCCGATATAGCATGGCTTTATGCTGAATAGCGACGCTTTTCAGTGTCCCGGTTGCTGCCATCCACTTCATTCTAATAACATAACAAATTTGATTAAGTTAGGAATGCTATTCGTAACACCTGCTTGAATGATCATGTTAACAAAATGCCGGTGCGTACACGTGTGAGATCTGTGGCTCTGTTTCCGATGCCAATGGCATTTGGTAGACTGATATGAATGTGTCATAAGCAGAATCCACAGCTCTGATAAAGCCGGCTTTCTGAAACAGCGGCTTTTCATCCGTAATGAAAACCGCCAGCTTTTGTGTTTGTGACAGTTCCGCTGCAAGCTGGATGCGAGTATCAAACGGCGGTGTATAATCGCTTCTCCGAATCCTTAACAGAAGGGGCCTAAGGGCGCTCGTATTCTACAGGACAAAAAAAACTGATGCTGTTAGAACAAGTAATGGCTACAATAGTCCACACAGCGGTGATGTAATACCATAAATTCTATTTCGGAATTCCCCGAGGACATGAGCAAAGGAGAAAAATCGGACTGAACAAACTCCGCCATGGTTCGAAACGGCGGCATCAGGGAGGAACCAGTTAGTGTTGAACTGACATGAGTGTACATTAAGGTCGTAGCGAAATATGAAGACATCAGCCACACCAACACACCCACTTGGGCTCCCGCAAAACGCTGAGGTTTTTTTACATCATCTATATCAAACTGCATTGTACTCAAACGGCGACAACAAAAAAAACAAACCTACCTTGTCCAAAAAAACTCGCGAATGCCACATAACCAATCCGCAAAGAAGAGTACCCGATATCTTTTATCAACGCAGCGGAGCCCATAAACCGATGACCTTTCTTGAGTTTTGTTGGAGATCTTACAATATAACGAAGGCCGAATAGCACGCAGACAAGACATGCAGTCGCCATTAGCACAATCGGCCACAGATAGGTCATCGGTGTGTAGAAAAGCCCGTAGACGATAGAATTAGTTACCACACCGGATTCTCTTAGCCAGTGCTGGTGCACAGCTGCACTGTATGTTCTCACTAAATACGTCGACACCATCTTGAAATGGCTTTTACGGGACGTCGTCACCGAGTACGCGCGCATACTCATGTTAGCTTGTCCTAGCAGCATCTCAGCAAGTCCACCGGTGTATTCAGTATCATCCCGTGTACGAAATTTTGGAAAGTCCGGATCTTCTGCGCGCAGGAAAAGTCTAAAGCAGACAATAAAGCGACACATGAAACTTTTCGCATTATTCTGCACATTCGTAATACAGTTAACTGACATGCATCAACTGGTAGAGTGCCAAGATTTCTTACTTTATTCCCAGTTTTCCAGCAACTATTGCTAGCAAGCTAATGGAGATCCCACAGAAACATCCAGAGCCGGGAGGGCTTTCGAAGCTCCATGGCGGTTCATCCTTCACATTTACCGTGAAAAAACCCATACGGGAATAATTAGCAAAAGAAAGTGGCAGTAATTCTTGTCCATAGTCCGATGCCGTTCTGTTGTTGCACATGATCAGTTTCAAATTTATACAGTCACGGTACTGAATGCGTCTATCCATTTATTTAGAGATCGCTCAACAATGTTGCCGGACAAATAGTTGTATTCCAATAACTGCTCTTCGCAGAGCGTCTGTTCATGCATACTCGTAAAGCTGGGTTTCAGATTGTTATGCAAAGTTCCCATTGTTTGTACATTGTAAATTTACATACAGTACAGCTTCGGTACACCATATGGATGCAAATGTCATGAGGCCACAAGGTACACAAAGAATTCAAGTGACATTATGGGTACGAAGTATGTAAACATCAAACGCAAAAATAACCGAAATTTATCGGAGCTGCCACCTTTGTTCACTGTAATAGCAAGATGTTGATCAGACTGTCGGCATTCTTTTTCGTTCAAGAAAAATAACACGCGTCCTTAAAATTAAGACCCCTGAATGATGCGCGCAAAAAGCGCCACCTTACTATTATTAAAAAATTGGCGTAAGGAACTCAAGGGTACGTATATCAGTGCCTCGATGGATTTAGTGTTATCTGCATCGTCTCGTCCATTTTTCGGAAAGAATATACAGAACCATTTTGTTGCATCTAATTGTCAGCTGTGGTGCTGTAGAATGTAGATCGAGCTGTAGTGTCAACACTTCGTCATGCAGCTGAAAGATTCGTAGAGAAAAATATCACACAGTGATGTACGTATTTCCAGTAAACCGAAAATAAGACAGCGTTACAAATGTTGCCATTTTCCAGCTGCATTCTGCTTTGGCGCGCACGTGCGCTAGTACATATTCTTCCGCATCAGCCAGTAAAACCAATTTGAAGATCATCTGATGTTTAAAAGACTAATAAGTGAGCACATTCTCTATAAACATACAGACAGCTGACAGGAAAATCAGAAATTGTTGTCAAAATTCAGGAACCTAGAGAAAAGTGTTGCCTATTGGTCTCCGGTTTATTTGTAGCTCAGCCTCACCGCTATTCTGATGACATGGATTTGCATTGCTTTGTACCGCTCCATTTCGTTCAGTCCTAGCTTGCTCTGAAAGCGAGACAAAAATCAACAAAGTTAGCCGTGATACCAGAACCATAGGATCTGGGCTCAAATGCCACGTACCGTGCACAGTTTCATCAGTTTTATCACTACGCGCAGTGGGAGCCTTAGATGTTGTTGACCGGTATTTTTTCGAGGATCCGACTGCTGAACAGTTTGATCGATTTCATCCGCGCCGAAACATGAGTGCAGTTACAAGTTTTGATAGCGTTGAAAAGGTTGCCAACGGCGGAACGATAGTTGGCAGAAACAGAATAAAACAGAATATTACAGGAATGGTTAATATCTGACAAGGCGTTCTGTACGGAAAAGACGTCCCAGTACACGGCATAGGAGTATACTTCCTGGAGAAGACACGCCACGTATGTCACCGCCAGCAGTTCGTTGATAAGTGTGACTGACTGTGTCAACAGGTACGTCGTGGCCGATAAGATGGTCACCACATTCAGCTCACTCGTACCGCTTTTGTGCGTGTTGGCTTTCAGGGATCGTTTGCGCTTCCGTGTAATAATAACCACGAGTATATCGCCTATCAGTAGAATTACAAAGATGAGGGCGATTTTTATATTCTGCAAAAAAATATATATGTAACGGTATGCTGTCACTATCAGATTTTACTACCGGAGCTACTACTTGAAGGTGTCTGTGCATCCGGATAAACGTCAAACAGGCGATTAAAAATATTAAATGAGTGAAGCGCCAGCTGCATATACACACAATGTACGAGTACAACGTACAAGAACACTATTTGTGTCAACGTACCCGGTACAAAAGCTGCAGGTAAGCCCAATTCCTTATCCACTGAGGATAGGCAGAGTCGAAAGACGGGACATCTCGGTACATTAGCTCGAAGATCCGGGTTTCAACTCGGGAGTACTGATAAAGCGCTGCTACTGGTTCAACTACATTGATGCCGATTACGACAACGGCCTCCACGCCGACAATAATCCAGGCTGCGCGTGCAGTCGCTTGACGACGATTCTGCAGCGGTCTGCATATGGACATTGAACGCTCAACAGTGAACACCAGCAATGACCTGAGACAGTAGAAAATAAACATTTCGCTGGCTCACCGTAATAATCTAAAATAATAACCAAACGAAATGAATTGAGGCCCACGATTTAACTCCGTACCAATCGGAAATATCCTTTGAGGTTTGCACGGCAAACGCTATAACTCCACTGATGCTGTTGTAGATCCTGTTTCCGCTTAAAATTGCGGGCTTGACCGTAACTATGTATCGAGGTATTTGGAACCACCTAAAATCAGTTTATTAGAATATTTGCAAACGAACCAGATCAGGATAAAAACTTTCAAAAACTTTTGAGAACTGAAGCGAACTAACGTCTGATGGCTTTCAAAATGAAGTTACAGTACATTCTTACATGAACAGCAAGTCGCAAATGCAGATAACCAACAAATACGTGACGGCACTCTTCCTGCTCTTCGCTGACGCAAAGACAACTGCGCTGATGACGTTGCCAACAGTGGAAATGGCCAGTAGCGGAGGAAATGCAATAATATAAACCAGTCGCGTTGATGTTTTCGACAGCACACTACCGGCATGGAAAAACCATGTCCGGGAGACATTGGTCCCACAACGGTCAAGATACAAGGAGGGTTTGCAGAATGCCACATTCACAATGCGCATGATTTCTTGCAGTTTCCCCTCTTGATTATTCCACCATCCACATACTTTTCTTTTACTCGGAGTTCCGTTGCGTCCATCATAATTTGAGCAGGCTCGGTTTGTCTGATTATACAATGCAATCAGCGCTTCTAGTTTATGGCAGTTGTTAACGGCTGGACGCAGTCGGGTGACAAAGAAATTGCTAGAGCTGTTTGCGTCGCAGTCAGCGCCTTCGAATATGCGTGGGGAATATTCCTTGGTATATTTGTCCCATTTACAAAGATAGAGATAGGCTACCTAACAAAAGCGCCTGTCGATAATAATTATTTTTGTCGATGTGATGCAAATTTAACGGTAAACTCTCGCACCGGTTAAATACCTCTCTTGGCATTCCATGTGCATTGTCGAAATTAATAGCAGGAAAATTGGGGCAGAACGCTTGATACATCGCCACGTTGGGATATTCGGCATTCTGCCACCAGCGACAAAACTGCGCCGCCAAAGAGTCCACAGCTGACAGCGCACACGGCTTTTCCAGAGCGCCTAGTAAACTGTCGGTGCTCTGTAGAAACGAGCAACTGTTCTGGAATCTCACCACCAGTTCACTTTCATTGGTAGCGCATAGACGACTCATAGCTTGCACTGGTACGCTAGATTCGCTGGAAACGGCATTCTTTGTTGATAACAATACCTCACAAATAAATGTGAAAAAGTCTATCACAGAAAAAGGAACAGTCGTCATCGTCCGCTTTGGCTGCTTTTGGGCTCATAATACTGCTGCACTGGGTAATGTCGAAAGTGCTTCGGCAAAAATGTCTCAACAGTAGTGTACATAGGAAGATACCTAATGATACCTGCGATCTCTGCTTCGTGATTTTATACTATACAATGCCGCAGGCAAGGCAGGCAATATATTCGCGGTAAGTAATCAGCGTCCGCTTAATTGGCTGCAATACTAACTACTTAATTGCGCTAATCGGTATTTCCAATGGCAGAATACGTACTGCCAAAGTAATTATTGCTGCGACTCACTCGACTGCTAATTGCTTTATCAGAGAAAACAAATGTCCATCAGCAAAATGTTACAGTATTACCGCTGTAATCACTACCGCTGTATCCAAATCACCACAATGGAGCTGTTTTGCTAAAGCTGCGCATGCCTTGAGCTCTTTTAGCTGTTGTTTGTATAAAACACTTTATGTTTTTAACAAAAAAAAGGTTAGAAATAGAATCAGACTATTCTTCAGTGCAGATTGAATCTAGTTGCTTTTAGTTTGAAAGGCTCAAAAGCAACATTTCAAAACACCGGTTAACTGGCATTAAGAAGTTTAAACAACGGCTGATTATCCAGCCTTTATTACAGTGTGCCATTTTTCAATAACAATTTCTGCTACAAAGATCACTCCAGCCAGTGATAAAAATCCGAGGATTACATAATGCATGGATACAAGCGCTTCCGCTCGTATGGCACCTTTTCGTACCACTTGTGGCTTGGTATTTAATACATCTGACATGCTGTAGGCCCGGTACAGTATGTCGTTGTGGATGCTCGCGATACGCCTCATGGTTCCCGTTTCCGACATTCGCTTCATTCTGAAAGTTTAACGCATGTGTGAGATTGATAAGGGACACCTACGGAAACTGCGGGATTAACCAACGTTAACCAACGTACAGCGCTGATACTTTCAAATCCACATCTGATTGCAGCGGTATTTGATAAACGGAAATAAATGTATTATACGCGGGGTCCACGGCGGGAATAAAGCGCATCTTGCGAAATATCGGCTTCTCATCGGTAGTGAACACTGCGAGTTTGTCTTTTCGGCAAAGACCGGCTGCAGCTTGAACACGCGCATCGAACGGGGGCCGTGTATCGCCACGATGCATTCTGGCTATCAACGGTTTGAGGGTGGTGCTGTTCTAAATAATACCAGGAAAGCGTAAAATGTTTTCAACAGTCACAAATTCTAAGACAACCAAGATTGCAACCAAAACTTACAATCATGGTGCCTAAAATTAAGTTCTAGGTGTTAAGTGACATGTGGCGAGCAATTCCTTGTTAAAGTAGGGCGTTGTATTGACTGTATTAGGAGGGATTTCGGCATACTGTTTCACTATGATGTTTTGCGGATGCGACATACATATTGCCATCATGATCCGTATATTATGTCGTACTCCATTTAACAGAGCAAACTGTTTACTTTATCGTATGCATCGCATCTTTTATTGATGCACTTTTACACTGGTAACACAATACCATAAATTCAATTTCCGAGCTTGCCCCGGACAGGAGCAGAGGATCAAACTCCGACTGAACAAACTCCGACATACTATGGAAAGGAGGCATCTGCACCGATCCGGTTAAACTGGAGCTGACACGGGCCAACATGAAAGTTGTGCTCCAGTATGACGTCAGCAACCATACTACCACCGCGATCTGCGCTCCAGTAAAGCGTTGCGGCTTTTTAATGTCATCTGCAAAAAATAGCGGCGACGGTAAGCAGACATGAATCTACGCACTGTATAACGGATAGTGAAAAGGATACCTTGGCTAAAAAAGCTGGTAAGAGCAAGATACCCAATTCTCAGGCAGCTGAATCCCAGCATTAATGCTTTTTTGTCTGGATACTGTTGAGTTGTTACGTAGTTAACGAAGGTCAGCACACCCAGCAGGCAAACTGCGGCCAGTAGCAATAACGGCCAAAGGTCAGCCAACGGGACATAGAACAGTGCGTACATGATTGAATTGGCTACAGTAGCCGATTCCTTCTGCCATCGTTCATGTACGGCAATACTGTAGCTCCGAATGAAATAGGTGGACGCCATCTTGAAATGCTTTTCGCGTGCCGTTGTTACTGAATACGGACGAATGCTCATATTCGCGTAGCCCAGTAGCATTTCTGCTAGACCTCCGTAATATTCTCGACCGTCGGCCAAGGTGATGTTTGGGGAATCGGCGTTTTCGATGCGCAGGAAAATTCTAGTTAAACGTAATCACAATTCCATAGTCAGTATTTTTTACATTACGATAAAAACCGCTTGATGGTTTTTCACAATATGCTTTTCCCTCGTTATGCTTACAAATTACAATCAGCACACGTTATAATCACTCGATTACACTGCTAAAATAAACGAATCAACAAATGAAGTAGTGCTTTAATAACAACTTTCTTACCGAAGTCCCAGCTTTTCTCCAATTAACGCCAACAGACTGATAGAAATCCCGCAAAAACATCCGGAACCAGGCGGACTTTCAAAACTCCATGGCGGTTCATCTTTCACGCTGATGTTAAATACCCTTGCAAAGGTATAATCACTTCGCGATGACATTTGCATGTCATCGGCAAAGAATGCGCTGTTGCAGACAGTTAACTGTAAAACGTGGCAGCCGTGATAGATTACTTGCCGGTCCATTAATCTGGTGTGCGCATATGGACAGCCAAAAGGGTAAGCTAAAAAATCTGTATTTTTCCCTCGTGCAATAACCTAAACATTACTAGTGTTTGGGATACTGAACTGGGAAGTGGTTGAATTAACAGGTACGCACGCGGTTGAAATAACATGTAGATCACACGCAATGAAATGGATACTTCAGCAACAGAAAATCTGACAGCTGCACAATATTGTGAAGGTGCCTTGTACGTAAACTGAGATGTACGAGTTACGATGTTAATACGGTACGATTTAGGCTTTCAGGCAGCCTTGATTCAAATTAACGTTTCGTTAATTGTGCAATAACGCCGCACGTATAAGATAATAACAACATTAAATTCTTGTGTCGTTGACTCGGTTTGTCATTACTTAACATACGTACTGAACCGACCTTTAATACGCTGACGTTAAGTCACCGACTGAACTCCTTTCTCTCTCTTTCTTAACGGTTAAGCATTACTCAGTAACGTTGTGAATAAGCTTTCGCATTATGACGCTGTCTGGAGCGTTATCCTACGGTATACGGTATAACATGGACCGGGGCCGCAATACAAGAGTACATTAGCAGACCGTTTTGGTTAGATGAAGCTAGCTGCAGCTGAATGACCGGAAACATACCAGGAATTTTAGCTTTCTTCCGCAAAACCAGCAGTCGATAACAATTTACAATTTTAGTCAATTTTTTGTCCAGTATGGCTTTACAACTTTAGCCGTTCAGGTAATGCAACAAAAGGTCATTGTTGCTGCAATTTTTTGTAGCGGGATTGTTTAGCTTCGTACTTCAGTTCTAGCAGAAACAAGACAAAGGCGAGACACAACATCCCGGCCATTATGTAGCACACCGAGATTAAGGAATCCATTTGCATTGCTGAGTTCCCTTTCGTATGAGGTTGGGAACCCGGAGCAAACGGCACGCCGTGCGCAAAATACAAAATCTCCTTGTGCAGCCGAGCTAAGCGCTGCACAGTTCCTGTTTTGGCCATCCGCTGAATTCTGAAAACTTGCCTAACTTTGACGTATGCTGTTAAGCATGCAGTTTTAAGAGTCTTACACGTTTGTCAGCTTTGTGTCCATCGGAGAGCCAAGTGGCAGCTGGAACGTAGAAACAAAGCGATCGTATGCCGACTCGACGGCCACGACGAAACCCATCTTCTGAAACAAGGGTTTTTCGTCATTGCTGAAAACGGCTAGCTTCTCCGTTCTAGACAGAGCGGCAGCCGTTTCCATACGCCGTTCAAATGGTTGTCCGTAATCTGACTTCCGCATTCTTTCGAGCAGCGGTTTCAGGGCGGGACTATTCTGCAACCCAGCCGTTTTATAAAACGATATTATTGGTAGCCGGAGGTGAGCATTCAGCTCCCTACCATGAATTCCGCTTCTGAACTTCCCGTTGTCAGCAGCGGATAAAATTCGGACTGCACAAATCCCGGCATGGTATGAAACGGAGGTGTCAAATACGATGTTGACAAGCTCGACGTGACATTTGTCGTCACCAGCGTAGCAGCGTAATATGTGCAGATCAACCATATCACCACTACTACCTGGGCTCCAAGGAACCTCAGAGGTCTTTCGATGTTATCTAAAAGCAGTCATTTAAATGTCTTTTCCTACAATTCCGTAGCTGAGTACGATGACCTTTACCTTGACTCATAAGGCTGGCAAAAACATTGTAACTGTTTCGCATAAATACGCTAGCGAAAGAATCCGCTGTTCTTGCTGGCTTCGCCGGGTGCAAACGATTAGCCTTGCGGATGCTGTTTTTGTCCAATGTGTAGCGCACGAATATTAGCACACAAACAACGCACAGTCCTGCACTGACGATGGCAGTCCATACGACCAGCATTGGGGCGTAGAAAAACGCATAGATTATGGAGTCCGCGACCATCGCCGAATCAACCAGGCGGCGCTCGTGAACGGCAACTTTGTAACTGCGTAGTAAATAAGTGGGGACCATGGCGAAATGGTTGCGGCGTGTGACGGTTACGGAGTATGCTCGGATGCTCATGTTAACATATCCGAGCAGCAGTTCAGCTGGTGCGCCGGTGTATACGACGCCGTCCGGAGTTGTAAATCTGGAGGTGATCACGTCTTCGATATGCATAGAATACCTGCGACAGAATAGACAGCGTTTGCAAATCACAACAGAATAAACAGATCTGTCAGATATACAGCCCAATTGGTAAACTTTTCCTCAAACTTACTAAGTTTGAGGAAAAATTTATACATAGTGAGCGTGGTTGAATGCGCACTATACTTGCTGTGGATGAACTCGTATGTGAATGTTCATAGCCGAAACATTCTCATCTCTGTAAGGCTGTGTACGAGCCACATTCCTTGTTTCTCCTATTGAGTCAAAATTTTGAAATGAACTGTACACAATACATACAAATCTGAAGTGCACAATCGCATTACTATTTTTTCAATATGAACTCAAAATTGCAGCTTGGGCTGAAATTCACGCAAATCGGACTGGTGACGGTAACCAGCTAACTGGAAGAAACAGTTGCAATTAAGACGTACTGTTACTGATTACTTAGATACCTCAGATTCAGTTTTTGACCAATCAAAGCAAGTAATGTTATGGAAATCCCGCAAAAGCATCCTGAACCAGGCGGACTCTCGAAACTCCACGGTGGATCGTCCGTCACACTAATCTTAAAAACATTTTTCGCTGTGTAATTCCACGAAGAGCCAGTTTGATAAAGTCCGTAGGCGTCAGGACATAATGCCAATCTCAGAATCCGACAAGAGCTATAAAGTGTGTTTTTGTCCATAATATGTTCGACTCTTAACAGTCTGTACTTCTGTTATATTCTGGTAACTGTATTCTACCTTTATCTAGCCATAACTATGTACGTTCGAGCAAAATATTTCTTACTGACACTGTTCTGGCGTTAGTCGATACTTTTCAGAGACATCTCTCCCTGTTCCCCGTCTTCCCGATGCCTACCCGTAGAGCATTTGCATGGGCGTAGAGCAGTAGCCGACGAAGCGGTATAGCTCAGCGAATTTTGATATTGTTTAAACACTAAACTGTCCTTTCCTAATAGTACTATAATGGTTATTAATTTTGTGGTTTCTACGTCCTGCATATTGAGCAGAAAACTGAGAAAGGTCTGCGTAAATATAATTCACAGAACGTTTACTTCATTGAATTAATCCATAAGTATGGCATGTCAGGGATCTCGAGCATAGTACTCTGTACGTATTACTATAGAAGTACCGCAGGCGGTCTAAGAACAGCGAACAACGGATCTAGATATTCTCCCAGTGGAGCTGTTCCCTGAACAGAGGCCGCGTTCCCAGGAACTGCGTAGCTAAAAATACATAACGCAAACCGCATGAGTCATCTATCGTTTAGAGAGGTCACTACTGGGCAGAACCGCGTCACAAACGTATCAACCGTACAATATTTTTCGTGACAGTCAACATAAGGTTGAATGATTTACCCACATTAAAATACCCAAAATATCGTTTGAATAATAATGTATCAAATGCGCACAAGTCCCAAATTTTTCCTTTGCACAGCATTTTCCAAGCGTACATCTTCGTCAACGGCCGCTGTCGTGCACGCTTTCAAGCGGCAGGTTTATTAAGATTTGCTAACGCATTGCAGGATTTGGAGGGTTTAGCGAATTTTAAAAAGCCTTATTATGGATCACTTGAGTGCCACGAGACCATTCTACCGCTGACGGTCCAGTAAAGGCAACGCGAACGCGCATATCCCAGAAGTCTGTGCGGCTAGCTGCTGTACTGTAGATCGTTTGCTATATGCTGGTCACTTTAAACAGCCGAAAATGTGGAAATTAGTGTTGACAACCTTGTGCTTCTTCCTGAGCTTGCAGGAAGCGTTAGCCGATGGTAAACGAAATATCAGTATTACTTGACGATCTTTATCACGGCAGGTTTTTTTTACAGTTATTTCCATGGACGGCGAAGCGCCATCCGAAGAAGTGAACAAGCGTAACGCCCATCATGTTCAACGCGGATTATTCTTTACTATCGACCTTTACTGGCGCTGGCCGGATCCTAATGAAATTTTATTTTACATTGACCCATACTACAGTACGTATAAATCGTTTAATACTGGCCAGCTATATAAAAGAGCGACTTTATTCACTAGTATTAATTACTCTGCACTTTCCACTAATCTGAATTTGTCATTGGACTATGTACTCGTAGTTCATGAACTTAATTTACCGAATATATTACTTAAATTCAAAAGGTCCAAAGGAACAGTACTGGATCCGACAATCGGCTGCTTTTATTGAACGCGATCTACTGGGATGCATCCGGCTTAGAGAGACCGATGGTCGCGATCGCCGGCCCAAGATAAAGGTCACTCCGTTCCTGCACAATAAGTAAAGTAATCAGTTCAGGCCAAGGTGCGTTTGAGGATTTAAATTATGTGATGTTTTAGCCGACCGGAACAGTACTGCAAAGCCTTTCCCGGGTTCCGTCATAGCTTCGCGCAAAAAGGTCGCGACCAGTTGTTTGTCGTACCGCGTGGACCGGATAGTTGTCTAAATGAGACATTGGTCGGATTGATGAAAGGCTGGGCCATCACTCTGGGTCGCTTGAATGAACATCAGCGTTGGGATCGCAACGAGTATATCCGTTTGCATCCGGAAAATATCGACTTTCCGGTAAACATAATATCTGCAACCATTAAACGACTTTATCATTCATTATTATTAAAATAAAATTCTAGAGATAGACTTAACTTTATATATACCGCAATACTTTGAAATACATAGATAACATAATAGTATAATTATTACACATTGTACCTATTGTTAGGAAGCATACAAACGATACGATTTCTTACAAGCGTACTTGGAAAACTTTTGGATGGGTCTACCGTACGACACCTGCAGTATCACGCACAACCGTCCGACCGCCTTCGCCCGACCGGGCAGCATTGCTTTCTCCTTCCGTCGGGGTCCGCAAGCCGTGCCCGATATTCCACGACTGAGCCAAACCGACTGTCAGCTGATCAGTCATATGTACGGCTGTAATCCTCGTATCTGCCGCTACTGTAAGCAGTAAGCACATCAAGAACAAACTGTCTTTCCCAAAACCTCCCTTATATCTCATATATGTATTCTGAAATGCGGTACATGTTTTAAATTAATGATTAGGGGATTGCGAAGCTGAGCGGTGGAACACCTCATGGGCAAACACTCCAAAAACCACAACCCGCGTGACTACGACACTGTCTACCGCCCGCCCGTCAACGTCCACAACGCGTCTGAATTCAACGACACCTACGACCACGACTCGCCCAACGACAACGACAGCTCGCCCAACGACCACAACGGCGGCGATTGTCACCAGCACCACACGAGCGACTGTTAGCGGTTCGACGTCGAAGCCCAGTGTTTCCAGTACACCGGCCGTGACGACAACAGCACAATCAACATCCACGCCGTCGACTTCTACGACAACGGCGACCACGTCGACCACCACTTCAACGGCCGCGCCGACAACGACTACAACGGTTACCACCACCACCCCCGCTCCGCAGTGCACACTGCAATCTTTTTGCCAGGGAAACATCGACGAGTCGTCCTTCCTTTTGGGACCGTACTCACCGTACCAGACGTACTTGTTGTATTCCGGTAAAGAAAGTGGTTACTATTTGTACTTATGCCGGTTTCGAAAGAATCGCTTGCATTCTAAACGTAACGAAGCTGTGAATTCTTTTTATAGGCAATTGCATTATGGAATACACTGTTAACTGGACCACCAATATCCTGAATCCCATTGGTGACCCTGAGTTACTGACCGAGTACTTCCCGCCGCCCGGCGGACCAACCCTCGTCCCGCCGGTGAATCCAGTTTTTCTGAACAGAAATCAGACAAACACCACGGATGGATTTGATTTAAACTTGATTAACAATGTAAGATTATAAGTACCTGGGCTGTTTTCATTTTTGTGCCTTATAACTGGCATGATTCGCAACTAAATTAACTTCATAATAATATAGCACTATTTTCGTTCTACTCATACATTTTACCTCCGCCGCAGAACGGAGCCAGCCTTCTGCATTGCCCAACCAATGGTTTGTTTGACACGCATGCCGCCAGTTGTCCAACGCCTTCCGGCCCGAATTCGATTGCAGGAACGGCCGGGCTTACCAGTATATCCTCAATGTTGAACGTTGGTGATTTTAAAACGTATCACTATGTTGTGGACAGTAAGTCGTCATTTAGAAAAATCTCAATGTCATAAATTTCTCTGTTTATTTCAGATGCATCAGCACAACTTTTTCCGTACTTATTTCTCTACACTCTTTGCAGGCTCCAAAAAAGAAATCAAATTAATGGACCCCAATTTCCAAAGCACTCTACAAACCACGCAAGGTTTACTCGCCGGACAAAAGCAAATCGCCAGTATTACGGCTATACAGATCCTTATGGACGAGGTGGATATACATCCGATTGTCATGGGCATCGTTGGCACTGGTGACGATGGGAAAACGTACGCAGGCGTTGTTAATATGCCGATTGTGGCGCATCCAAACGTTCCACTCTCTCCTATCGAGGTAATTAAAAAGTAAATTAGAATTAGTGTAATGTATGTAAAATTGGTGCGGTCTCGGAGTAAGTGTTGGTTTGCGTACATGCGCCTGTGTACGTAAGCGTGGAAAGGGAATTGTAGCAGCCAGAATTTTCGAGTGTCTATTTTATTTTGAGTATGACAATAATTTTTGCTTGCAGTGGTACAACGGTACAAGCGCGTTGCTTTCAACGAGAATCGAGGGATGCTAAGTAGATACACGTTTACCCTGATCGCCACTGCGTTTTGTTGCTGCTCTGTAATCCGGCCATTCTAACAAGATTATTTTCTCTCATAATAATTTCTGATTTTCCAGCGCTCCAGTTCATGTTGGCCTGTTCTATTAAAAACTGTTGCCTTGTTGAGTTAAATAAAATTTTTGGGTTTTTAGGCTACAGGTTCAGATAAATAATCATGGTTCAGAAAATTTGTCAGCTGATGATGCGTAGAGATATATTATTATTACGAAAGTTTACAATTTGGCCGTATTGATAGCAGAAGTCCAATGCACCGTCAAAACTGGGCGGCTCATTCAAACGGGCATATCAATAAAAATGCAGTCACAGTGAGTCATTGAATTTCAACGATTGTCTACAAAGAACAAATACAATGGATTCATTAATTGTTTAAGGATATCTCTAATCAGGAAATAACAATCCAAATTATTTGAGAACTGCGGTACAAATATGGTATAAATGCTGTCAATTGGTCAAAGTAACTATCCAGAACATTAAGCTTACTTTGTTACCGTAATTAATTTTTCCAGTAAATAGCAAGAGATTCTGATTATATAGTGCTCACTTGTGATCGTTTTTAAAATTAAAAGCTCTTTACTGCTGCACTAGCTGTTCAGGTTTTATACGTGAAAGATTCCTTATTTTTTATTTTTTAATGGATTACTTTTATTGGATTACTTTTACTTAGTTACTTTTGCTGACAAAAGCATTATCGGCAATTATATATGACATTCTACTAAATACTGGCATATACTGTATATACGTAACGAAATTAATATTCATTGTCGTTAAAAAAATAGCGGAACGCATAGAACCTAACTGAAATTGTACAGCTTTTACCATTTACTTCTTCCACAGGTTTTCAGTACTATACACAATACACAAAATTAATGAGCGATCACCAGGACGCCGTAAAGGCACCAAAAATGGCGCAAATCTAATGATATCCGCAGTCATTACATATTGTCTCAGCGGAATTAATAATCAGAAAGGCGGCCCATTCGTTAGAAATGAGGCTATCGCGTCCACATGCCACCAAACGTCTACTTTCACTCAGTGCTGAAAAGTGCGTGAACTGGTGTTGTAGAAATAAGGCTTAGTAGCCAAAGTTAACAATGCAATCTTATCGTTTTATTTAGCACCCGCATTGATGGATCTCAGCTTTTTGAAAGGACTTTTATCATGGCACAAACACTTGGAGACAGTGTTTCTATTCGTGTTCTATTACAGTGTCATCACAAGTCTATATAAGGACTGTTTGCATAAATACTACCTCATTTCACTACAACTGGATGACAACAACTACAACACATATTACGTACTCGCCAGTGCTGTTAAAAGGGGCCACACCAAGCTGAATTACACCATGTACCCGTGATGACGAACCAGAGCCCAGATGTCCAAAAGATCCTTGTGGAGATTCGTCCACCTGACTTCCTAACCCACCGTCCGGCTCCGCTTCATATTTACAGCACGAATGTTTTCTCTGTTGAGCATGGAGACAGACGCTTTGTTATTAAGGAACTCATCGCCGAGTCCAAAAGAATTCCTATCGGTCATACTGGAGGCAGAAATGCTGATCAAAAACATCCGCCAAGATAACGTTATTCGCTACTATGGCTTGCACGTTGCCGGCTGTATTGGCGGTAAAGTGCATTACCTTTTGGCGCTAGGGCATTGTACAGGTAAGTACGTTCATTTTGTTTATACAGTTTGACCGATAATGCTTGTACGATAAGAGATTGTTGCAGGCGGCAATCTACTCGAATGGGCCATACAATCACGCTTTAGACAGAATTTCGAACACCGCAAAATAGGCCGTATTCTTCGAGATGTTCTTCAAGGTTTGGACTATTTACATCAACACGATCTGCAGTTGATCCACTGCGATATTAAACCGCAAAACCTGGTGTTCCATATGCCAGAAGGTCGCATCGTTATCATCGATTTTGAGGGTGTCGCCGTAGGACGACAGTTGAAATCGGAAAAGGTCACCAATGCCTACACGCCTAGTTACGCCGCGCCTGAGCTGCTACGCGTACTGGGCGACATAGACGACAATCAAGGAAGAAATTTCCGGAAAGATTGATGTATGGAGTGTTGGTTGTGTGGGCATCGTGCTGGTTACCGGAAAGGCACCGGTTATCTGTGAATGGCGAGACGGTGGTGAGGGCCTTGTTGTGCACAAAGGCATTACTCCGGTTATGTTCCACGTCGGTCGACGTCTCGCTAAGCCTAAACTGCCACCACTGGATCGAAAGGTCGTGGCTAATCGGCTGCTGTTAGAACTGATTGAGTCATGTTTGGAATTCGACACCGAACATCGTCCAACTGCTGCCCAACTGCTGCAGCATCCCTATTTTGATCAGAGTGAGTAAAGGTCACCGTGCAGCTCAGATTTTTAATGTGCTTAGTTTGTGATGCTCATATAGTTGCTGTGATCTGCTTGATCTGCTTTGCAAATGTGATAAACATTTCTTGTTATTAGCCTATTATAATCAATCCGATAGTTTGTCCTTTTGCAGATATCTTTTCATTGATTTTGTTTGCGAAATCATTGATTCAATCATTCTTTTCCGTTGACGCTTTGTACCACCGATAAATTCATCTAACTGTATCGAGTTGCTGATAGTAAACAACACATAGCATTCTTTCCGTTATACCTTATTCTACGTAAAAAAGTCAGTCTGCCGCATCAGAGTGTCACATTTCTTTATTGCAAAATCCAGTGTTCATATCATTATACTAAATTTCTCGCCACGAAATTGCGAAGAGTGAAATAACAATAACCATGTGCTTGTACTTTTGAGTAAAGCTGGTTTTTTGAATTGCTATCTGCAGTAGTAGGTAATTTTAAAAAAACCCAGATTTACCCAAAAGTACGCGTATTGCGAATGCATGGCTGATAAGCGTTTACTGCACGGCGCAGATTTGATGGTAAATTCACATGATGTAAAGAGTCTGCATTAAGTTTATCAGCTACGATGGAAATTTGTATAACGAGTCTATGCTGCAAGTAAAACACTTCGCGATAGCTTTATTCGGCTTGTTGTTTCGAAAGCGGCATCGGTTGAGCATCGAAATTGCAAATAGTAATTTATCATTTAAATTCGGCAAACAGAACGTTCTCCCAGAGTGCGGTAATTCATTCAAGCAGAGTTCATAACAATCCTTGAATCTGCGGCGGTTTTGTTGAGTATCTCTTGGTTGATCGTCTGCTGTTGCTACTTCCGATACAAATTCCGGTAAAAACTCTAGTTCAACTCTGCCCCGGTGACAGCGGGAATCCGTGGTCGCAGATCTCTCAGTTCGGCACACCACAAGTATCGAAATTGTATATCGGTGTGTGCATGTTGTCCTATAAGAACTTATTAATCACTAGCAAGCACAATTTGGGTAATTCATTTCACCGTACGTATTCTGCCTGCTACCGAATATCCACACTGACTGAACGATGAACCTAAGCTCTTAAACGGAATCGTTTCTCCAAAAAGATTCTCCATCCACGTAATCGCCATCGAACGCCGGATCACCGGTCAAGGGATTACACACAAAGTCACTGTTTAGCAGTGCAGCAGCAGTCGGTCGTTTCTCCGGATCATACTGGAAACACTGACTGAAGAACTCCAATAAAACGGAATTATTCTGGCAAAATCGCCGGTATTCCGGTCGCGAGTCCCCATTGCCCACGTGCAGCGTAATGGCGACAAAAGCGTTCTTGTCCTGATTTATCAAAATATCTTCTTCTTTCCGTCTTCGGTATAACATCGGATCATTTCCGCTTAGTACATACACGCACCAGCAACCAAGACCCCAGATATCGGAGCACCTGGCTGTTTCTAGGTTTGTTCTCTCCACACCGCGTAGTACCTCCGGGGCACTGTACAGCAGGCTCCGTATCGCCTGCTCCGGATGCTTCTTCAAGTATCTTTCATCGATCTCACGCTCGACGCGTTCTTGGAAGCTGACAGTGCCGGCTTCGCTAATCAGCAGCAAATCCGGCCGGAATTCAAAACCGGCTTTGCCCTGAAGGTGAAGAGATCCAGCCCTTCCAAAACCGGTTTTAGCAGCCTGCACAGTAATTCCAGGCGACCGGAACAGCCGCGCTGCTGGGATACCAGCTGTTCGGTATTTCGCATGCTATCTCCGTCTGTAACAATTTGAATGCGTAGATTATAAAGTGTTCAAAAAAACCGCGTTTTCAACCGCGTTTACTTTGCCTGGTTTTACATTTATGGATGCATTGATAAAATTAATACGTTTGCTTACCAATTCTTTCTGCTCCGTCAGTTTCGTCAAGAGCTGCGCCTGCTGGCCTCCTGCTGGATTTCTTGTTGCTGACCCTACACAAAAGAAAATGAGCGTACCACTTCGGCATGACAACTGTAGTCTGTAATCCTTTTACGTCCAACTCTTTCGCTAAATCGCACTGTTACAATAGTGTTAGGAAAAATTGAAAGTACTCTGCAAAACATTGGATGAAACCGAATCGTTGTTTTGCCAATCATTTTTATAACATTTCTTTGTTTTTATGAAGCATTGAACTCTGCCGGCAGTGAGATAACAGCTCTAAACTATCAGCAGTTCATATTTGAATTTTATGAACTGCACGCTGATACATTTTCATAGATGGGATAATTGATCGACCCAATTTAAATACGCGTACCCACCACGCTTTGCCTATGGCCTCTGTAATAAACCCACAAAAATGCCAATGACCCTTGAAAGTAGTCATACACTATATAACTTGATACTATAACTTGAAAGTACTATATAACTTGATACTTGGACCCAGTACAGTGTAAACTGTAGGAGATTACATCATTTGCCTGCATGCTGATATAGTCGTATTATTATATTTATGTTGTACATGAATTGTACGTTGTCTCAATAAATTATATTATTGTCCTTCCTGATACCTACCAACGCTTAGTACTTGTGTGCTGCGTGCCTGCGTGCAGTAGGCACGCAGTTGTGGTTGGCAACTTGGCAGTTGTTATTCCTCGTGATTCCATTTTCTGTTAAGTATCCTTCTACGTACTTATATCATTTTATTTAGTGTCTAGCCCAATAGACATGCGGTTAAAATTTTAACTTATCGTCGACGGGAATACCTACTCTAGTAACTACCTGCGAAATGCAAAATAAAATCACCAGCATGATTTTAATCACCATACACCTCAACTGGTCATCGTAATAACGTAAGGATTTGGTTTATTGCATGCTTGATTGAACCAAAACCTCCACAGATCATAAACTTAATCAAAAATACTTTAATTAAACGCCAGATCCAGCTGAGGCAAATAAAACGGTAGCATCTTTTACATTTACATCTGCAACGGCATTGATAGTCAACAGATATTACATTCGACAATTTAGTGACTCGTTTCGGAAAAAGGCACTTTCTAAAAGCGCTGCGGCCGATGGTCGATCCTCGGGAAATAGCGGAAACACTGTGCAAATAACTCCTCCAAAGTGGCATAATCTTGACAGAATCGCCGGTACTCCGGTCGGCTGTCTCCGTTGCCAACGTGCATGGTTACCGCCACGAAAGGGTTTTTATCCTGGTTTAGCGAGACTTCTTCGCCTTTGCGCAAACGATAAACAACCGGGTCACTACCGGTCAGAATGTACAAACATAGACAAGCAAAACTCCAGATATCAGATGAAGCAGCTACTTCCGGGTTGTCTGCATCGGTCCCACGCAGCATTTCCGGCGAACTGTAAAGCAGGCTTCGGAATGCCTGGTCTGAGTGTCGTTTCGAAACTTTTTCCTCCATTTCGTTCTCCGGACGCTCTTGCAATACGACAGTTCCGGCTTCACTGAGCATCATCCGATCTGGTCGAAATTCAAATCCAGTTTGCCCTTGCTCATGGAAATTTCGCAAATTTTCCAAAATAGGCATTGCGAGTGTTTGTAGCAGTTCCATGCGATCAAGCGGCGTTGAGTGCAGTGAAACCAATTCTTCGACATTTTTGCAGGTCGGATGACCTGCCAAATATGCAGTTAAATCAGTATACGGTAACCATTAAGTAGCATCAATATCCAAATCAGTTATTAAACGAGCAGCTTATATGATGAAAAATATAGTGGCGACAAAAGCCGAAAATGTATTTTACCGGAACTGTGTGTCGATTCCTCACTGTTTGTGGACGACGATCTGGACCGTCCAGTAGATGGTCGTTTGCTTCGTACCTTATTCATAATGGCCCGAGGCAAATTCACCCTTAACCATTTCTTCATAGTAAACTTTGTGTCGAGCGAGGTGCTTTATAGAGGAAATATATAGCGGTAAGTTATCATCGTAAGTTATTTTGCATCCGCCTTGATACAGTTATGAATAAAGTAAGTCGATTTTGTTTGCCGTACTACCACTAATTTCTCATTCTAGCATGTCTCTAGCCTCTACCGCGATAGTTCTCTATCATCCAAACCATCACTTGACAGATTTGTCCCAAAAACAAAAACATGAACTACTGGTATAAATCTGAGAAACGGGAGTAAGCAAACTCTAAGAGATAAGATAGAGAAATTCTCACATGTGGGCATGTCAATGCCAAACAACCGTAGGAGCACTAATGGCAGGGTATCTTCTGTTTACTAGCGAAATCTGTGCAGTTATTGCAGTACATCAATAAAACGAAACATCTTTTTGTCTGCATTCGTGTATTAACCGTTAAACAGTATAAGTACATAACAATATTGCAAAATTGATAACGATTGCGTACGTGGGCCATTAAATCTCATGATGAAGTCATTTTACATCATTCACATCTCATGACGGCCCAGCCGCAGTGTTCATGTACGGTGGAAGTTTATATTTTTATTTTCAGGGCCCAACCTTCGCAAGCTGGTATGTACCGTATTATTGTTCCATAAATCTCGATTATTACGGACTATACAGGTAAATTGAGACCAGAACCACAGCACACTGTGGACCTCGTTAGCTAACCAAAAGATTTTCATAATTATACACGTGAAGTTATAACCTGGTGACATTATTCTGCTTATCTTGGACACTCGCCACAAAAAATGGAATTTGCTACAAGGTCATAAGAAGAATGCAGGTCACGTTCCAGCAACTTGTCAGTATAAAAGAAGCACTTGGAGACATTTACTTGTAGTTCCAGAAAAGAAATTTACTAAGCATTTACAAAACAGCTGAACAGCGTAATGGCGAGGCTGCATAAAATCAGTGTCGCAGTTCCTGTAATGAAAGCATGAGAATCAGTTCTTATTGCGCTAACTGCGCTTGAGGTTAAATATTCATGCTCACGCTACAAACGTTTACAGTATTTAAGAGAACAAGAGTAAAAACGCTGCGCGATAGATCCGCTACCAATACTTTCCTGTTGGAAATAAACCTACTTAAAATTTAGAATTGATTGTATACCTTGGATAGATACACCGGCATCGATTTCACACAATGGACTGCCGCTATGTGTGCAATTCCAGAATCCAAATCCATTTCCATTGGCATCGAAGCCCATGCAGTTTTCATTAATCTGCACTCTGGACTCCAGATTGTGCACCACTTTAAATTAATCAGTTTAATTGACTACGTCTTCCAGTAATATACAAATTATGTTTAGTGTCTGCGGCGCTGCGCGCAGTATAGGATAATTCATTTTCTCATATTTACGCAGACACTAATAATATTAAACTGTAATATTACAGTGTCTTACTCTCATTGAACTCTGGATCATCCGCTTCTTTTCCGGTGGATGGGTTCATGTACGTGGTCTTAGTAGAATGCGGTCGTATCATGCCCAACCATGGTCCAAGCGGCCACTTTCCCAAAGATTTCACTAAGGAAGTTGTTCATTATGAAAGGAGAGCAGTTTCAGTGTAATATTTTACGATTAGTATAATGGGAACAACATTTGCATAGATTATATGGAATGTGAAGTATTATAAGCAGCTTTTCGCGCAATGATTGTGTAAATATGACCTAAAACACTATTTTACGTACCTGTATCGCGGAGGAAGTAATATTCCGCCATACTGTTAATTTCCGCCAAATGAGCGTTTGGTCCAAACATTTTACAAAACGCAGCCGTTTCCCAAAAATTTCCCCTTTAAAATAAAAAATTTGGAGAATTAAAAAGGTGAATGAATTCTACTCAACGGCTATTACTTCTCGACAGCTGGCGCGCTCAAAAATTTATAATGGCTTTTTTAGACAATAGCCTACTGGTATACCCTGATCGATTAACACAAAACGTACCCAGGAAAATCAGTTGCAAAAAAATAACAATTACTGCCGAATTTCATCCACATATCCGGGCATTGCCCACACAGCGCGGTTTTGTATAATATGGCAAACAAGCCGGTAAATAAGGTAACCTTCATTATGATTTGAGAGAACGCACAAAAGCGCGTGTATAAGGGAACAATATTAACTGACAGAATAAGTGTAGAATATTTTTACTTAACAATTTACACGTAGATGGGAATTTTTAAAAATTTGTTTGACCGTGGTTGGTATCGCGGTTGGAAACCTTTAACTTGTTCATACCGAATTTTTATCAATTATCAATCACATATCAGCACCAATCATGCGGTCTGAAATGCCAAGATGCGGTTTGGTGATTACGGCTAACCTTGGTTTTTATATACCACAAAAGCCGCAGACCGAACCTGCATGGACCTTGCACTCTTCCAGTATGATGCTCACACGAGAAATAACGAGAATACATCCAGGCAGTTTTGGATACAAAACATTGGAGAACGAATATTCCGAACTACCAACTAAATTGTTTATACCAGCTTTATAATTAATAGATACACTATATATACAAAAGATTCTAATTGCGGAAACTGATTTATGCTGGCAAACAATTGACAATGATTAAAAGGTACCTTAATTTATATATCGAACTATACAGAGTAGCTATTTTTTGCGGCGAAACACGGTATATGCGTGCATACGTGTCACGCTGTATTGTATATACGTACGCTTCAGCCTTCAATATACCTACTAGTAGCTTGTGATGCAGTGCTATAAAATTCATCTGTGGCATTAATAGGCAGCGACTTATTCAACGATTCCCAAAAAATTTATTAGGATTGATCGACCACAAAACTTAAAACATTCAATTGACATTACGGGTTCGGCTGATTTTTGTTGTATATCAAGCTGATAATTAACGGGCATTTTATTGTATTCTGCACTGCATTCACAGTATCTATATGAATAACTACATGGACGTAATGCTGACAGTAGTTTTTAAACACCGATGGGAATGAACAACGGTTTCGTAACATTCATCTGCAGACAGATTAGGATAACATATACTTATGCTTTAGTCTACATGAAAACATATATTATTCAATAGCGGACAGTGGTGTGCATGATAAACGGTACACAGCACCTGCCTAATGGACTCCATTTTGTCCATACAGTTCATTGTTGTGAATAAATGAATTTCCGCGGAAATAAAATTCAGTATGAGCACAAATATTTCATACACGCCAAAAGCATAGTAAAAATTGCAAATTATATACGTATGACACGTGCATGAAATTGTAAGCATTTGAAAATTACAGTAAATGCAAATCGGCCTTGATAAGTACATGACTTCCGCGCTGCTTGATATGCTGCATAAAGAGTAAACTCGCAAGACATATAAAATGGAAGTATTTTCCTATGATTGAGTGCCCATTACAATTTATATATACAAAATCATGATATTTTGATATCATTTTTGGCATGAGAAACCAGCCTATCCTCGCGGCTGCATAGTTGGATTATTCGCTTTCCAGCTTCTTTTTGGCGGTATCCCAGGTTTTCTCTTCTTCATTGGTCTTATACGGTGACTCCGGTGTCAGAGTGGGATCCTCCTCTGGATACTCGTAGTCCTTCTCCAAATTCTCCCGACGCGCCCGAGTCTCCTCGGTGACCTTGTACGGTTCTTCGGGGGTGAGCCGACCACTTTCTGCTTTCGCCGGCGGCACCCATTCGGCATCCTCGTACTCAAAGTCCCGCTGCAGATTTTCCGGACGGGAGCGCGTCTCGTCGCTCATTTTGTACGGAGACTCCGGGGTGGTGTCCGTTTTCTGGCGCTTGGTGGTCTCCGTGTAGTCGTAGTCACGGTCCAGGTTCTCCTTGCGGATACGGGTCTCGTCGCTGGATTTGTACGGGGACTCCGGTTTCATGGCGGCGAGTTCGTCCTGCTCGCGTTCGCGGTCCAATTGTTCGCGACGGTCCTCACTATCGGAGTGGGACACCTTACAAAAAAATTTCACAGTGCTTATATGCATTTCCTAAAAACGGTTAATTTTCCACCGTCTTTCCTAATCATATTCTCAGCAGTGGTACTCACAAAAACTTGGCATGCAATCGTATTATTATTATAAACATGTGCAAAACATCATCAGCTATTTAGATTATAGCTAATTAATTTAATTGCTGATAAACAATGATCCACTTCATCTCGACATACCTTTTTTGTTGTGGGAGAGGTAGTAACAAGCACTTCCTCTCGAACACTTTCCACGGATTCCATAATTGCAGGATTTGCAGGTAATCTCTACACGGATCTCCTTAATCAAATGCCGCCTTAGGTCAAAGTCAAATTAACAGCCTGTATATACCGTAGCCTCTCGATAATGTGTTAGCACCAGGGAATTTAAGGGATCAGAATGTCATGTCAATTAGAAACCGCGTTTCTAATCGAAAATCAAGAAACATTTTTGGAGTTAGTGAAATCTGGCTGCGGATAACGCAGCTAGGGCGCCTGGATCTATGCGGCATAGTGTTAAGGCCACGGATACGGATCGATAATCTCGGTACGTGCAGGCTCTCCACTTCCTATAGCATGCTCACATCCCTTAACATGAGTGCGGATCATCATTTCCGCTCGCATTACATACACAGTCTACCCATAGCGGATGACGCGCAAGTGGATGCAGTGGAAATAGCAATTTAGAGCGCATAATAACAATGTTCCGAGTACTGCGCAATGAGTGCATGCTACGAAAAATCGCATTATCACCAGTAACAAGTACCGGGAACGGGAGAGCAAGCGGTAAAATTAATAGTTCAATATACCATTTAACCGGTACTCGTCGCAGAATGTACTGCATTTGCTTCAAAATCTGATGTTTTCCTTCGCTTTTTGCCTCTCAGTGTAGATAATTACGCGAAAGGAAATGAAAAGGCTGTTTCGAAGCAGCGAAAAAAGTGTCATATTATTATTATCTTATAGAAGAACTTATTATAGGACATATTTCAATGCAATAATCATGACCGAAGGCGTATATAATATGAATCAAATAATTAAGGCGCAAAGTTTTGTCATCAACATCCGTTCATTAAAGCATTTCCGCGTTCACCACGGTCCCGAGTAAAACAGTTTGTAAAAAATACGTTAGCTAAACGTTAGTTAAAGGCCAAAATTCGAACAGTGTTTTACTCGGGGGTACACGTTAATGCTAACAACTAACAAGGTTGGTGGGTCACTCAGAGTAATTTTAGGCCTCGCTTTCCTTCGTCGTTTCATCGACAATCACAGCTTCGTCGATTCTGAGGGGAACAACCAGAAGCGATCCATTGGACATTTTCGTGGCATATTCGCCGGTCTTCATCTGGCGTTGGCGCATTTTCGTGAAGGCAGTCAGACATTTCTTTCGCTCCTTCACCTCCTGAAAAACCTCGTCCAGCTTTTCTAGATCTTGTGCACCTTAAAAATGCAAAGATGTGTTTTTAAAAAAAAACGAAGTGGGATACGTAACGAGTACGCAATATTAGTGGGTAAACATATAATAAACATGCAAAAAATTGGCGCCTTAGAGGCTTAGAAAAATTATTACAGTATTACTACCACGATGGTTTTATTGTAATTTCATCACTCAGTTATTGCAATCTGCCAGTCTGGAAATTGGTAAGACTAAGAACCCACCGAAACTTTAGCCACTAATCTACGATACTCGTATCTACTCGTATCTGTAGTATTATACTACATGTCTTCAAAATGGTCGGGAACTCAACGACTGACTCTTCATCAGTTCTGTTCACGTTACTCACGATAGAAAAAATGTTCAAAGTGCGCCACTATCACCGGCACCATGAACGACAGACCCAGAATCCCACATAAGGCACAAAATCCACCGACGATTTTCCCACCAATAGATACCGGCACAACATCTCCATAGCCAACGGTGGTCCACGTGATAATCGCCCACCAAAAACCAGCCGGAATACTGGTGAACTTCGTCTCCTGACCACTGCCCAGTTCGGCGTAATAAACAGCCGCACTGAATACGATCACTCCTATGGACACCACGACCAACATGAGGCCGACTTCGTACCTGGAAAAAACAAAACTTTTTAAATCATGTTGCAGGCTTCTCTGAATAAGGGACCAAGCTGTCATTCCATATTTTCCGAGTATTGAAGCCACTATACTACGACAATCTTCAAATTTCTTGCTCTTCATGTCGAGAAGTTCGCAGTAAAGTGGTATGTGCATCTCTAATTAAATTACTCACGATTACTTACCATTTCTTTAGCGAATATTACTTGTCGATATTAAATTTTGCTCTTATGTGCGTATATGTAATTACTTTTTCGGTACGAAATGCACGACAGTATCGTGACGTAGCTCCTGATTTTATCGCGATAATTACATTTTTCCTTTAAGAGCATGCCGAGAATCCCGATGAACGGAAATATGAAGGCATGGCTGTTTTAATAATATAAAGTAATAGGTAATCGAACAGGGTGTACAGTATCATACCTTGCGGCTCGTAAGGTCATGGCCAAGGTCTGCAGTCCATTGGAATACCGGCCCAGCTTAAACACTCTGAATATCTTAATCACCCGTAAAATGCGTAGAATCGTCAACAACATGACTTTGGACGGCTCCCCGGCAATGTGTTCCTGAGGCGAATTCAGCGCCAAATCAATGAAGTACGGCATAATCGATAGTATATCGATAATATTCATCCCATTCAGGAAAAACCGGTTCTTCAGTGGGCTGACACTGAAGCGGATCACCAGGTCCAGAGTGAACCAGATCGTGCACAAGGTCTCCACGATGAAGAACGGATTGGAGACATTATTCTCGCCCCAGCTATCAACATTAATGGCTAATGTCCCATTAACAAATACATCGCGGGTCTGGTACTCGGGTAGTGTCTGAATGCAGAATGTCACCACCGCCATCAACACCATGAGTACGTTCACCACCGCGATGATCCGCGCGGCCCAGCAGCTGTCCGTTGTCTCGAATATCTTCCATATATAGCGTTGTAATGGATTCTTCGGCAGTAGTACATGCTCGCGCAGTAGCCCCTCCCCTTCGAGAAACTCATTAATGACCTCTTCGCCCACTTCATAGAAGAACAACTCCCGAACAAACTTCTGGATCGGCACGTTATGCGGACGGTACAGCGGCTCACCGGTCTGGTACAGCTCGAAGATGGGATCGAAACAAGCGCGATTCCGATCGAAGAAATATTCCTTCGTGTTAGGATTGAAGTAGCGATCACGTTTCACCGGATCGCCTAACAACGTTCCAGGAAACCGATTCAGTGTGCTGATTAGCGTCTCGTACCGCTTCCCGCCGACGTTAATCACCGCTGTCTCGTAAAGGTCATGCCGTGGTGTCGGCACTAAACTGGAGCTATTGGATGGATCGTAGGGATAACCGAAGCAATAAGGGACATGTGGGCATACATAACCGATTTCGAGATCATTGACGTTGCTGTGGTCAAAGGTCGAGCGGCGTTTTGAGATAGCTTTAAGAGGCGACGCGGTGCGGCGCCGAAACAGAGTGCTAGACGGTGGCATGTTGGATGTCTCCTCGTTCGAGTCGAAAACGTGGGGATGCTGACGGGATTTCTTGTATTTGACCTGCGGGCGCGGAAAGGAGTTCCGGCTGGTTCTGAAAGAATACGAATCGCGGTTAACAGGAGCTGAATCATTACCAAATCCCACGCGAGTGATCATTTTTCCGAGCTGCACTATGAAAAGCGTGTTTAGTTAAAAATCAAGCTACAAACCTTTTCACACAGGGAAGCGACATTTTTATATGCAAAGACCGAAGACACAACGGCAAAGTTCATAGTACAGCGCATAAAGTTTATGACCGCATACGACTAATCAAAGTAATAAAACTAGGATGGCACAGTTCTGCTGGTATGATTAAATACCTTAGCATCGCGTCGTCTTATACAACGCGTGACGCTGCGCCAACGCACGCACAAATTCTGAAAGGACTTCTTAAGAACTTTTTCGCATAACGGCTGTTACGCGACGTTTCGGCGTAGAGATCGGATGTCTTACATACGTATATTTCATTTATTTCTCGGGTGTCACGATGTGTCAAAACCGAAATCATAAACGCTTCCTGTTTGACCAATAGGCAGCCCACTCATTTACACGCCATGCAAAAAAACACATCAAACCGCCAAACAACAAACGGAGAGACAGAAATTACAGGATCTTCCTAAAAACATCCCGCGCAACAGCACATCCGCCTGCTGATTTCGTACACACACTCACACTCACCAACTGACAGATGAATGCAATTCCTTCACACTGCCGCTTCCCGCGCCGTACACATGTCAGATGGGACAAGTGAGTGGTGTAAAGATGGTAATAATAATTACCGCGCGCGCAACGGTACACATGCGTCACAGCGAATGCCGGGGGTTTATAATACATTAATCAGCTCTTTCCGCAGTAGATCGGGGCATCTGTGTGTGTTCTCTTGCAGCCTCTCATCATGCAATAAATATTCAACACATATATACACAGAGTTATCTGCGGAGCTGTTTAAAAGGATCCTTTCAGTGGCCGGCGCGAACGCCATTTCCGATGATATGCGAATGGGGCAATCATAAAAATGAGGGCGTGCGAAAATATGCAGTTAATATTCGGACTTTCCTGAAAAATGATGAGTGCACTTTTCCTGTGAAACGGATTGACTAGAGCGCGTAACATTGTATACCCATGCAGCGATGATTCGATCGGCACATGAAATTTGATTACACCAAGGTCACGGCACTCCCCCTAAGCGATTGGCCAAAGTGACTAATGTTGTGACGATTAACCGGGAAAGGTTAATAAATTATATGGCATTTAGCGTTCAATTTGCCGGTAATTACCCACGCACTGCTCTTGACATGGAAAAAGGTCAGCATAGTTTTCAGCATACAGTAATTTAATCCAGTTATTATTTTTAATATTCTTCGTACAAAACTGACGTTATAAGAGAAATAAAAAAAGTCAAACTAAACTATGATTAACGCTCTTGGTATTGGGACAAATAAACACTTCAGCTCGGAAGCCACTTCACGGCGCCAATAATAAACATCGGAGAAACGCTAAAATTATCGACAGTCCCGCTCTCGTTACACACAGACAGTGTGTATTTTTGCAGCCGTTTTTATAATTCTGACGTTAGCATGTCTTAAGAAAAGACCGTAAAAACAGGCAGTAACATTATTTGTATGGGTTACAGCTGGTGTGATTACATACCTCTTGTTACACGATCAAGCGTTGCGTAAAAACCACCCAGAACTCCGTCGTCATGTCCATGTATACTTTGGTATCACATGCAAGCGCCGTATCAAAATTAACGATGAATGCCAATATCTGTATAATCCATTTTATTCCCGCCGGAAACGGCTTTTTATATACCGGCATATTTCAAATTCCAGTCCTTAATGACGAATAAAATATAGGGAGAAATTTCTCCCCAAACGCACCGTGCGTGACCGACAATTAAGTCCCCGAATATGAATATTAACAAAAATCATTTTTTCTGTACCGCACAATGGTACGTGCAGAAGAATGGCGACAAAGACAAAGTCAAATCTATTCGTCTGGCAGCGACCAAGTGGGAATTGAATTCCTTAAAGGAATTCTATAAGAATAACATTATACGGTACAATATGCACCGACGTCACCATGCGCTATGCACACATACACACATATATGCACACAAACACAGGAGTTAACCAATGCGATATCACTTGTAATTCATGAGATGCCGGCAATGGGCACTTGTTCATCCATCTGCTACTGTCTCAAGCCATCCACAACGCGCAATTGTACCACTGGACAATGTTTACACAGTTTTTTCCCCTAACCAATTATCCATACTTTCTTATAAAATTTCTTCTTCTGTAAATTTTTTTGCTTGGCGTTGTAAGACGAAAAATCTTGAGCAGTGTCTGTCAGATGTCACGTTGACCTTTTGTCTGCGGGTAAATAATTAGTTCTTTGTTACAATAGAAATCACCAACCGCCAATCTTTTGACGGTATCTCGTCAGGCGTTAAATTGCCGGGCAGATCGATGGAGCAAAAATAAAGGCTGGCCGATTCCCCATGAAAAGTGGATAAATGGGCTGATGGTCCTGGGTAAATTTTATTGATTCTGTGCTGTATATGCGGTGTTGTTTTATCATGTTGGCCATTGGGATATAAAAAGGGGGTGAAATCGGAAAATATGCATATTACATGATCGATATACGACATTCTACGCAATGTACACACTGACTGCCGGGATGGACGGAGATGGTGGTTCTTATGCGTCGCGGTTAAGAAACTTTGCGAGGGTCCATGATTTCTTGACGTACATTCAATCTACATCCCTAATTATGTTAAGCCGATGCAGTGCGTGTTTATTTACTGTCGACAAACCATGTTCCGCTTTTGATGACGCAGTGTGACTGTCAATAATTCCCGGCACAGATAGAATCATGGACCGGGTCAATTCGAATCGATTAAATTAAAATAATCCAGAATACCACCAACCATTGCCAGGTCAGAAAATAATTTGGCTAACATGTTGCTTTTCTTCAATAAAAAATGGTGAAATGTTTGCAATAATTTTCAAAAACTTATTTGCTACTTCGTATGATAAGGTCTTATGTACTGCAGTTTGATCACGGTTGAAAATGAGCCTTGTATACGGTCAGCACAACGGCTTTCGCACGATAAACTAACTTTGTATAACCGGCACCTTACTAAATTGTAGTAATTAATCGACGTTTCGACACACGTCTACTGGCTCGACATACATATATAACTGCGCTTCAGTAACGCATCGCGATATTCATGCCCATTACTGTGTATTTACCATTACGCGTATAGGTATAATTTGACGATTCATTTTATGCAGCGGCAAATGCACATTGTACGCAATTACTGCCAGAAATTGCGTTTGTGCGAGTATACTATTTTTTGTAAAATCGTTTATCTCCCGGTTCAGTGGCATAGGCCAATCCCTTCTAAAATTAATTAGTTAATTAGTAAGAGCTGTATTTAATTAGTTTCACAAAAAAAAAACAAAATGGGTATTATCGTAGGATTTCATTATAACAAAACCATTGGTTATAATGCTAACGTCATCCGGCAAAAAAACCAACAACCAGTTTACATACTATAAGTTTAGTATCTTAAAACAGCGCCCGACCAAAGACACTTTGAGCATTTTTATATTCCCCATCCGCCTTCCTCCGGTCAACGGATTTTGGCTCCCGGTCGCCCGGTTTATTCTTGACATTAATACTATTTCCACCCCATAATTCCTCCACATCCGCTCCCTTACTCATGCGCCGCCGCACCGCATGTACCCAATCCACAAACATGGCCACGTTGATAAACACGGTGGGTGCCGACACCTTGCCCTGTTTGCACTCATCTAGGCCCAGCGCAATCAGCCCCACCAGACGCCACAGCCCGTCGCCCGACTCACAGACCAGTGGGCCGCCGCCATCCCCGCCGCACGTACTCATCACCCGGTTGGTGGGGCCCGTGGTCAAGCCGTTACTGCCGGTGCCTTCGGCGCAGAATGCCGATGCCGGTAATTGCAGATCCGCTAGGCCGAGAGTGGCGAAGCGCTGCAGGCACTCGGAGGTGGGCAGGATGCGGACGCGGGCCTCCTGGAGGATGGTGGAGGTACGTTTGGAGACGGTGGCGCCCCAGCCGGTGATGTAGCAGTTGGTGAAGGTGGAGAGGTAGTCGACGCTGTCGGTGATGGAGTTCAGGCATACGGGACAGACGTTGGCGGTGTTGCAGTTGACCATGGGGATACGGATGAGAGCAATGTTGTTGTCCAGTGTCTGTACAGATACATGAATATCTTTGACAACTGCATTTTGCTTTCTATTGCGCAACATTTTTATTCTAATAATTTTTGCACTTAAAAACATGCTACAGTGTATGTGCTGTTTAATTTAAAAAAAGCAATAGCTCCTTTCATGGTAAAGATAAGTTACGTTCCGTCAGCAAATGCCATTTTAATAGTCTACAAAACCGCACAAAGCGATTTCCAGATTTCCATAAGAGAATTCTGTCGGCCACTGCACTACGCTGCTGCACAAATTGAATCTATTACGGAACCGAACCGTACGAAAGAAAATTTCTGTTTCCAAATATAGAAACATTACTTTCTCAGCTATGTTTACAATAAGTATAAAACCGTACGAACTATAAATCAGGTTGCCATTTCGCTCAGTTTTAATATTAGTAAGTTGTCCTAAACAAAAGGAAATAATTCAAGAGTAAAGTTCTGTCGCGCTTATAATTTAATTACTTCGTAGTTTATGATAGTTTCATTTTTATGTACTTTGGCTCGCAGTATACGTGTCACCAAACAGACAGCTCTCACGTAATATACCGTCATGCGAAACGTACTGTGCACAACTAAAATTAATAAACAGAACATCATAGAAAGTTTAAAAATCACAGCATTGTGTTCATGGCGGTTGATAACGTTTTTTTTGGATCACTCACCTGAGGATTGAATAGTTCATGGACGATGATTTCCAGTGGTTTCGCATACCAGGTTGTCGTGCCGTTATCATCAGGACTGATGGGATTGGCGAAGTCATACTGGCCGATAAGAACAATCAGCTCACTGATATTCCTCCTGAAAAAGTTAATTTCACCTTGTCAGTTGTCACGGAGTGTAAACAGTATAAACTGACGGGTTAGGTATTATCCCACATATTATTATTATTAAAATGTAATATTGGGCAGATTTTTCTTAAAAGTCATTTTCCTAAGTAACATTCTGAAATCTAGCTGCAACTTAATACTCGTATTTTGACTCCTTATTAACAGTGGTTTTGCTGCGATAAAACCGCTACGGTACAACAATTTAAGGGCTCCTGGAATAAACAATTTTCTGTAGCGGTAAACCACAAGTAACATACGGTTTGTATGTACGTATAGAAGTATCCATGTTTAACGGAATTCACAAAGAAAATAAAATAGACGAAGTTCAAATTTGGTGCTGACTGCTACGCATGAAACTTACCCGGCAATTTTATGAGCTGCGGTTACAATGTAACGTCCATCAATAAGCGATCCACTTCCCAGAACAGACCCATCAATATTCAGCAGTGCAACCTGTACAATTATAACGTTGTGTTAAAATTACACATGATAGATGCATGTAACATCCTTAAAGAATAATTAAAAACCTTGAATGCAACATTTACAATATACATAAAGTAGATTAAATTATAGTAAAAAACTAGCTTTACTAGCAGTTAGCTTAATTCCCATTTCTTACGGTAAGGTCAATTGAATGTAAAGTCCAGTAATCGAAACAAATTTTTTGCCTTTACTTGGCAGCAAATTTATTCGTCAAAGCATGATTAATTTTAACAGAAATTGGTCAATCATTAGGAACGACGCCACCCATCAATCGGATGCAATTGCGGCTGCCTGACAGAAGTAAAGTGAACGGACTGACACGTTTTTTCACATTACACACCAAAAATGAGCCGGAACGCATCGTGAACAATTACTGTACGGTGTAGTGTAGCTCATCTTCCCTTCGACAGATTACATCCAAGTTCTAATTCTTAATTAATCTTTCTGACACAACTGACATCCGCTCGTTGAGTGTCGAGCAGAAAATGATGCATCAACTGGTTGTTGACCATTGTAAAAACCGAAAAGTGAAAGTATGGGCGGGAAGAACAAGCAATTTGGTAGATCCAAAATTTAATGCGCAAGCAGATCAAAATTGCAGCACACCAACCCTTGCGGCGTACCGTAATTACGCTTAAATTTTACCTTATTCACTTTGTTTTTTGAAAACTGAATTATATGTATCTGTATCTGTATTAGAGGCATTAGCTTCCCAAAATATATACTTAATCCTTGGCTATCAAATCTTGAAGGAAAAACAAAAAATATAGCACCAAGATCAAACGACGTAAAATAGTAATTACAAATTCACGCCCACAAAACACGTTCGAAAAAATTCAGGGCCGATGGCGCAGTCATTGTGTGCAACACGTACAGTATAGATAGGTATATCTATACAACACGTACTGTACATGCGTATAAGTGATACAACATGTATGTAAATTGTAATATTGTAATAAATACTGTATCGTAACACGCAACGGAAGCTAACTAGGTGTTTTGGTTTACCTAATTTGTTTGAAATTTCTAACTGTGTAGTGTTGTAACCGCGCCTGCATTTTTTATCAAAAAAGGTGGCTATTGCCCGAATATTACAAATATATTTGTAGTGTTTTTACATTTTTAAAAGGAAAAGCTACAAAATTTCAGGCAATGGTGATAACTATAGCATAATCACAGAACTGCTTGCCTTATACAACTGCGTATTTTCTCAATTTTTAAAACAACCAATCGGTACGCAATATGCAGTGAAACAAAAATATTTCGCTAAAGTGTTACGAATACTGGTGGCACTTGATTATAATGAACTAATTGCTGTATCACGCGTGTACCTGCCAACACCATTCGCTTTTCCTGGCATTGTCCCCATTCATAATTCGACCCATTTGCCCATAATATGTGTGATCCGGCTGCATGAGGCGTCCACGCGCAGCATCCTGTTCAGCCTGCCACACATCCCGTAACGCCCGCAGCCGGTGTCGCTGCTGACCATTATTCTCGTCGAGATTGCGTTCCAGATTCGATTTACGGGCTGTCCGATCGTTGCCTTTCTTACCGCAGATCTGACAGGTTTCCGTGAAGGGAATGGGCGGCAGTACACAGCAGACTTCATCGTCCGGGCAGTAATCACGGGGACGCTCGCCATTGGTCAGCTGCAGTTCATCCTCCACGATGCCGCCCATGTCCATGCAGCTGGATGGAAGGGAAGTACACCGGCCAATACCGGCTTTTGTGGTGCATTTCGAAACTACAAAAAAACGATGGGTAGTTTTCGCTGCATGACGTACAATATACAGATATTTGTGCTGATTATCTTTTAATTACGTTTTGTTCATTTATTTCTTTATTAATCGAAATCATAAAATGCTCAGTGTAATTTAAAAGATTTCTGGAAACGACGACTGTAGCAAAATCACAAAATTATGTTTAGCTAATTAAACAATTTTGATTGTACGAGTATGTAATTAACGCAGCCGGCAATTGTAATTATGATAGAATGCATGTATTATGATGCTTCATCACGTATTCTTTAAGCACTTACTATACGGCGCTAGTGGTCACTTCTACATTCATATACTGTATTTATATGGCTTACCTAATCGCACAAGATTTCCGCACGATCCAGGTTCCGATATGAGGACAATTAGTAAAAGTATTGCAATAACAACGGATGTAGAGAATTTAACACTGACACAGCGCATAATTGAAATTCCACCCACAACGTGCGAATCGCACATAGGATTCACCGCACAGCAGACTGCAGCATTCAAAAATGTATGATTGATGTATCACCTTCAACACGTTACAAAATCGGCTTTTAATAAATCTTGTAAAAAAAACCAAAACGATTTCTGGTTTTCACCAAATTAACAAGTCGTCTGTGGGTTATAGAAAAAAACGTGTTTAATTACTGATGCACAGCTGGTGTACTGCTCCGGTTTAGGGCTGTCTCGTGGAGGGTAAGCTGACTAAGCTCCGCCTTAATTAGCTGCTATTGGGTGATCGGCGCGAGCCGATCTACTTGTCAACAATGCGGAATTCGTGCGGATACATAGGCCGTTTAAGAGTAATTACTGGCGAAAATTTGATGCGAGATTATTAAGCACTCTTACGAATATTACGAATATTATGAGTAAAACGTTCTGGTTGATGTATGGGTTTCGATGGCCGAATGAGAACACTCTAACTATGCACGGATGCTGCAGCGGTATTCACTTTCATTTGACTGCCGGCAGATTTGCTTGTTCGATGTGCTCCATAGCGGCATTATTGGTTAATTACCCTTTTGGATATTTGGATCTGAACAGTCAAGTGTCGAGAACTGATCTGGAAAACAACGTGACAAAATAATAACAACTTGTGCGGCTTGTGAGCAAAGATTAAGCCAAAAAAACAAACAAGTTAAGTATCGGTATTTTGAATGATAGTAACAAAATATCCATACTGAATTATGTGTAACAATTTAATATAATATGTAGCATTAGTGTTGTACAATACTCCACATCTACGTAGATACGATGTAACAATATAAGCTCTTCATATAATATTATGATAATGTTTTTATATCTCTACTTTTTCAAATTATTCAAATTATTGGCTTGTAGCAATTAATATTTCAAACTGAAAATTGGAAGCATGTTTAAACTGTTTACACTTTGCTGCAGAGATATGCGGATTTCATACTCACATCAATTTGACACTACAATAAAATTTTTAAAAAAATTATGAAAAAGTATTTACATAGCAATGAGGAGCATCACCGCCAAAGTGCCGGATACGGTCAATGTTGTAAAAACCAATGAATTCCTAGCTGCGGCGTGAATGTTTCTATCAAAATTTGGCCTTACAGTTGGTTACTGAATCCATGCATCTTTCTATCGTTCCAGATGACCAACTTTTATCTTTTGCGGAAATGTCAATCTCCCACAAACAATAATAAGGTTTCGCCGTGGTCATGATCAGTCTGGTCAGTTAAACGAAATCGGCGGCACGATTCCGAGATGATGCCGGGGCGGTCGGGCGTCGCGAACCGAATCGTCCGATTCACAGACAAGCGCTTAAAATTTTGAGCCGAACGACTAGCCAATCAATCAGCTGTTCTGCTTACCAATTTTCATCATGAAAATGAAAATTTCATGCAATGCATTTTTATGATTTTATAATTTTTATTACAGTAATTTATTATAGTTTTTCTGAGTTCTGCCGTCGTAACGAGGTTTTCTGTTTTTTGCTTTGCAAATCGTAACGGGTAAGAGTGATAGATAATACGACTGAAGTTTTGTGGAAAAAAACTTTGTGGAGCAAGGATGGCTTCTCGGCTTGCTGGAAAAGTTGCAATAGTGACAGCTTCTACAGACGGGTATGTCGAAATACCGTATTTGAGGATCGGAAATACACGACGAGTAATATGGATATTTTGATTTGTTTGTGAAGAGCTGTCACTGTTTTCGTGGTCGTTGCATCTGTTTTACACCACTGAAATCAGTATAGCAACGCATAGGGTGTTGTTGTATGATACCGTCTACTAGTTCGCCAAAAGAGATACCAGATGTGCTTACATTTTGACGAGTTCTTTAATCTTTACTTCCACTGGTAAATGTTGCAGCATAGGCCTTGCGATCGCTCGAAGATTGGGACTGGAAGGAGCCAAAGTGATGGTGAGCAGCCGTCGCAAGGAAAATGTGGAGAAAACCGTAAAGAGTTTGGAGGATGAAGGGATAAAAGTGGCTGGCACTGTTTGTCATGTCGCCAAAGAACAGGACCGTCATCATCTTGTCGAAGAGGTATTTGCAGAATTTTTTGTTTTAATTTTTATTTATGCGAAATTTCGTAATCGCTGGAACCATCATACCGCAAAAGTTAAACCACTTACGTTTAAAAATTTAAAATAAATTTTTCGTAATTAATATACGCCCTATTAATTTTTTATAATTCCTTTTATTTTTTATTTGTACGTTTTTAGTTTCGTGCTATTTCTATTGACTTAAGAAAAAATTAAGTGACTCTTAATTTATTATATCAGTAAAACCTTGTTCGATTTTTAGTGATATCAAGTGCGTGCTTAATTGTTATTTTTATTATTTTGATGTTTTCTTGTGATTGAATCGCTGCGTGATTTTTTATGCGAAGTTGGGTGTAGGGTGCTTTTTCGGTTTAATGAAGGAAATAATTTTGTAGACGGTGAAACAGTTTGGCGGAATTGATGTCTTCGTCTCGAATGCGGCCGTCAATCCAGCCGTCGGAGCCATAATTGATGTAAGTCTAGATGGTTTACGATTTGATACAATGAATTACCACTGTGTATGAACTAATTTGTCTAATTGGAATTTTAATTACAGACTACGGAAGAAGTTTGGGATAGAGTAAGTGTTCTTCTTAATCGGGTTTGCTATCGGTGCCGCTGTATAATTTTATTCCGTTATTTTTTTCAGATATTTGATACCAACGTTAAAGCAGCGTTTTTGCTCACGAAATTAGTTGTCCCAGAAATGGAGAAAAGAGGGTAATATTATTTTGCATTGCATAAAAATGATTCTTTCATCGACGGCGGTTTTTTATGGTTTTAGGAAAGGAGGCTCTATAATTTATATTTCTTCGGTTGCTGGATATAATGCATTTCCGGTTCGTCCAAAAATTTTCTTGAATTGTCGTACATGTTTCCCAAATTATGCGCAGAGCTTTATAAATTTGTTAGAGCTTTATAAATTTGTTTTAGCTTTTTAAGTTGATCTTTCTTGTGTAGGGAATTGGTACTTACAGCATTAGCAAGACCGCTTTGCTGGGATTGAGCAAAGCGCTTTCTAACGAGCTGGCTTCATCGAACATTCGCGTCAACGCCGTGGCTCCTGGCATTATCAAAACGAAATTCAGTTCTTATGTATGGTTTAATTTGGATTTGTTATGCCGGTTTTATTTTCTGATCTTTTTACCGCTGTGTAGTTATGGAAAGAGGAAGGACCAGCACAGAAAGCGGCAACGAAGATGATTCCTTTGCACAGGTTAGTAGTGCTGATTTTCATTCAAAATTGGTGATCGTTAGTTGTCTCGAGCGATACATGCATCATACCGTGCTGTAAAATGACCAATTACCGAGTGGAGTTATGCGTTAGAACTTTTTTTGCATTTTACGTGAACGGAGTACCGTATATAATAGAAAAAACTGCCGTCGTGCAAATGTTCAGAGTGCAAATCATTCAATTTTCCCCACAAATATTAACGGTACTGCGGCTTTTTCAAAATGAAGTAATCAAAATTATCCCTACGTGATGTGCAAATTGTAGAATATTATGGAAAGTGAATAATAATATATAATGATGAATATAAGGTACGGATAAATTTTCCAGGTTTGGGGAACCGGATGAAATTGCTGGAGCAGCTGCATTTTTGGCTTCCGACGATTCTGCTTATATGACGGGAGAGACGATATCTGTTGCTGGCGGACTTTGCAGCCGATTATAAGTCTTATTATTAATTCTACGTGTTCTGCATTTTTCCAACGCACTGTTTGAGTTTTAAATAAGTTTAGAATGTATTTGTTTTAATTCTGGTATGGGGGTTTGGGATTCTTCGCGCTGGTTGCCAGAAGTGACTACTCTGTAGTCTGTACATTTTGTGAACTTCGGAAATAAGTTTTAATTTTATTAGTAATAAATACTGTCAGGGTAGTTCTGATGTCGTTTCAGTTCTCCTTTCAATATTTTCCCGAGAAAAAGTCAAAAAGAAGCCAGCAATACTGAATGGGAGATGCTGTAGCTACTTTTTATCTTTGTTTATGAGAGTTTTGAAAGCCCCAAACAAAACCGTAATTTTTATTAATCGTAAATGGTAACGGCGGTAATTCTTCAGTGCACGGTGCATAGTGCATACTCATCAGTTATACTGTAATGTGCTTTCTACTGTTAAAATTAAGTAACAGCAGTATCCAATACAGGAGGCACAGCATTCGCACTTATTGTTCGCGTGTACGTACTGTATTTCGGTTAATAATTTTATGCTGATTTTCTGCGCACATTAATAAATGATTTTGAATAGTAACGGAAAAATTGCAATTTTATCAATATGCTGCATTAACATAGGCGTGCAGATGCTCGCCTCGCTACATTGCTTGGCGCTTGTTCAATGGCGTACGGTCAGTTGGGCTGGCTACGCCTGCGCTGTGCGCACTGTGGAATGGATGAGGTACGAGGATGCGCGCAGTCGAACCGACAGTAAATTTTTTCAGCGAGACCAACCGACAACCACGCACACAAGCAGATTATTTTTTCACATAACAGCTACCCGTGGACGGAAGGTATGGTTTGCACTGTATGCGTGGTATAGGTGACAGCCATCCGTGGATGGTGGGCAGTCGCTTGCACTATGTGCACGGTTGTCGGTTTGTATCGCTGAAAAAATTTACTGTCGGTTCGACTGCGTGCATCCTCGTAGCGAAACGGCAGATGCGTTTGTCCTGCGAAAGCTGATCAAAAGCGGGGTTTTCCCATTCTCTCAATCCTTCGCTCTGTTGATTGGGAGAATTCTTGCGGGCTACTGGGCTCATATTTCGCTTCTTTGGAAAAGTCCTTTAGCAATTAGCAGTATCTACCTAGTTGTGCTGCGGACTGCAATACTGCACTTTGTGGTTCTTTTTCGTTGCTAGTTGGAAGTCGTTTGTGACTAAACTTACCGAAGTTCGTATATTGCAGTTTCTCCATTACTATTTATTTCCTGAATCCCTTCAACATGACTGTCGTCCATTCGTTCGTCGCTTACATTATCGAATTATGGCACGAATTTGTGGCTTACGTCACCCACGAGGAGAAGAAAGGTAAGCTAGTAAAAAATTGTTGAAATAATAAAAATTTTGTGTCTTAAGTTTAAACTGCAAGATGTGATTATGGTGGCGAAGCGAGTGGACGTTTTAAATGCGGCGCAGCCAGTGATATCGTAGTAGCTATAATTTGTGCCAATACGTTCGTAACAGGGAAGCAGCATTACTCAATTTGTTTTTTTCGTTCGCGTTTTCGCTTCTTCCTGGTTGACCACAAAATCCTGTTGTGACTTTCTGTCAATGAGATGACCGTTCCCGTAAGAATTTGCTGTGAGTTTGTGGCATTTTTATCATAAGTAAAATGAATTTCTAGGTAAAAGCGGATTTTGGCACAGCATTCAGACGTACCTGATCGCGATTCCCATTGGCGGGATTTTGACCGCGCTGGCGATCGTTGCCCTGGTCGCTGCGTTGCTCCTGATGGTGCCAATCTGCCGCTTGTTCGGATATGATCTGGGTGGTTTGTTTGCGAAAAAACAGGCTCACCTGCAGGCCAAATGGAAGCCCGCTACTTGGATTCCGTGCTTTTGCGATTTCCATTCGGCCAAACAGAAGTAAGAGAGAAGTTATTAAATCATTTCCAATAAATTCGTGAATAGTTAAAAACTTCATTAAAAAATTAAATAACGAAAAAAACTTCACTGATGGATTTAATCGCTCGGATTCACTCTGAAAGATTTTCAAGGTTTTCCCGAATTTTTAGCGTTAAAAAAGTATCGGTGAAAAATTTACCAGATTTTTCCATTTGGGTTGGAATTTGAATCATAAATCGTGAAGGCTTTTTAATACTTGCTTTAAAATAACCATGCTAAAAGCTAAGGCGTGAAAGTTTATTTTTAGTTTATTAATGGTAGCGAAATCATTGAATTTAAATTTTTGGTGCAGTAACAGGCACGCCTGATTTAACGTATTTCTATGAATTCGTAATTAATTATGCATTTTCACCGCCCTGTGCGTGTACAGATAGAACAGTATGTACTGAAACATTTATTGTAAATGCAAATTGGATTCCATCGGTAATTAGCATTGATGGGTATTTTCTTTGCAGATGGGTTAGCAATAAATCAGCGGAGGAAGTGCATGGAGAAATTGTGAGCGCACTTAAAAAGCTGGAGCACGCGAAGGACAACGTTAGCGGCGACAAATTTGAAGTCATCAAGGTGTGTGCTGTTAGGAATTTACGATACCTTATCAGTGCCCCTCTTGCTTATTTCTGATGTTGTTATATGCATTATTGTAACGATAACTGCCTCCATTTGGCATCGACATTTTTGTTTGTCTTAGGCTGATAACAAAAAACTGGAAGTCGTGGCGCATTGCTTCAGTAAGAACAAGTGGCTGGATATCGTGGACATCAAGACGGAAATAGGACCGGATATGGGCGGGGCTGTTGTTCGTGCTGGCTCTTCTTCCACCGGTGCGGCGCCACTGATTCTGCCTCCATATATTGGCGTTCTAACCAGCGCGGTAAGTGGTTGGCTACTTGCATACGAAACGACAGCTAAATCATAAAAATTAAATAAAAAAAGCAAAATTCTAAAATAGAAAATAAATTGAAAAATGGGCTGATATTGTAATTCTTCAGCAGCTGTATTCGCGGCTAGGAAAAGTGATTGTTAAATCTTTTATTAAAATTTAGCAAATAATGTGAAAAGTTTTGCGTTTAGTTTTTTTCCTGCTTTCGTTTTTGCCGTGTCAAACAAATATTCAGTTGGAAATTTCATTGGCTTTTTTTGGTGAATTTTAGGCGTTATTCTGGCTGCCGTTTTCGGATTTCGGCAGCAACGTGAAGCGTTTGGATCGTCTGCGCTCCATGGTGCACAGTGTCCAGTTGGCCCACGATGAAGACGCGGTTGCTGCAGGAAATCATAATAAGAAAGAATAATTCTATTGGCGTCGAACATTTACTCGAAACCATATGGTATGAATTTTGTCTGTTTTTCTGTTTTTTGTACCTGGCACATACCGCACGGCGCTTCACGAGCATTTCCCTGGTTTTTGGTTTTTCCTACGCCCGCTTTTTTCGTCGGGTTGTTTCTTATTAGTTTCTTAAATTGTGCCACGTTGGCGCTACTGGGTGATTTTTTTGGATTTGAATAATATATGTATTTGGCTCTAATTAAAATCTGGGAGTACGAACTGATGGACAATAGCAAGTACTTGTACTGTATATACAGTACTTCGTGTATTTTGCGTATTAATTAAGACGGAATAGTCAAATTCTATAAAATGTTGAGTTATTACTTGTACAGTCACCGATATTGCGTACAGCCTCCCAGGTTCAGTCAAAGAAGTGCTACCGAGTAGAACGAATCGATAATCAATACAGTAGTATAATTCATTATGGTGGAGGTTTAGTTGTATCGATACTTCTGTAATCTGAAGAAACGGTTCGGAAAATTCACCACTTGCAGATGAGAACGCTACACTTTCACTGTGTTGTCTTTGCATTAAAATTCCTCCTACATTTGGAAATACCGCTGTGGTACATAGAAATATACATATTATACATGTAGTTCAAATTTGGAAATAATCCAGTTTTCTTCGTGTGCAGTTGCTGATTAAGACGTAGATCATGCAAAAATAATATTTTAATGTGACTTTCTATGCATAGTGAGGTTGAACCAGACATACTTTCCTGGATGTTCTTATGAGCAATCCGCAAGCCGTTATAAGCCACCAGCTGCCCAGTGCCCAAAAACATTTGATTGATTTGTACCAGTACTCATCATTGAGTTATGGACTGGCAAACAGACCGTAACAAATCTCACGGTGATTTTTCTTTCACCCGATTATGCCACCGTTATCTGACGATCATGCGCATCTTCGGCGTCAATCCGTACGATGACCAGCGTCCACTGGCTGGATTCGCCCATCGCGGGATCTGGCTGTGCTGGTCCATCGTCATCATGCTCTATATGATTTTCTTCCTGATTTATGATTTTGCATTTTTCCGTGCCGCCAACGCCGCATCCCTTTCCCGTCTGGAATTTTTAAAAATTGTGTCTTTTTTGGGGCGCTTTCTTTTTATCGCCAACGGCTTCGTCACCATTGTCATCATGCTGTATGTATCGCGGCGTATACCGGATGTGCTGCACTTGCTAAAAAATGTATGTGATAAAAGCGGGGTATTGACGCCGTATTTGACAAAATGGTGCCGGTTTTTAAATGTTTGGATTACGTTGGTTATGGTAGCACTGATAGTGGCATTGTGTCTACTTATACCGTTGAACGTTCAGCGATTCTACATGTATTTTCCTCGTACGGTTGAATACGGTTATTGGCGACAGACGCATTTTGGTTTTATCCGTTCAAATATGTTGGGCGGGAACTTAATTTATTTAGCAGGAATTTTAATTGTCGCGGGAGGAGAGCTTTTATCGCAAGGTTTATTTGTTGTTATTCTTCTGGCTGTAATAAATCGCTACAGGGATATAACCGAAAGTGTACGACTGGTTTTTGCTACCAATACAAAGAACGCATTAATTGCCGCGCGTATTCGCTGTCTAAGCAAGGAACACTGGCAGTTACAGGATCTTACGGACCGCGTGAATTGTTTGTTTTCTTTTTGAATATTATCTGGTTAATGAGGGACATTACCGGTGGACTGACGTTGTGCTCCATTGTACTGCAACGCGACGACAATCCCCAGACATTGACGCACGAAGAAAAGGAAATGCGGGTTGCTGCCGATATAGCCAATCAAGGCGCAACACCGGCACTGCTGGTCATCGCGTTAAGTGGTTTGGTAAACGCCGGGATGCGGTTCTATGTTTGTATATGGCTGACGGCGCAGGTGAGTAAACAAAACCTTGACGTGTGTTTATGTTGCGCTGGAATCGATACAATACTTGACACTCGTATAATATAAGCAATGCTGGCAAACATAGTAAAGCAACACCGCAAGTACTGTGTTTGACGAGCTCAAGAAAAAGATCGTTAAACGTAATGAAAACTTTTTGAGTAAATACCTACACTGTAAAAACAAAATTAAACACATTCGTTAGCTATTGCAACAATCGCTTAGTTGTGATTTATATAAATATTAACATTGATCTACAGCGCATTTTGGAAAATCTTCCATATTTCAGCAAGGTGGCTAGTTCTTGGTGACCTTTACCGGTATTAGTTTAACATGCAGCTACTGTATATAGATTCATTATACATATGGCTACTGTCATTATTAGCAACGCGGGCTTTTAATCTAGGCAAAACAGGTCACTTCTCAACTGGAAAAACGCGTTTTGATTAAAGATGTATTCGCCGTGGACGATGTCTATTTCGAATGTCAGGATTTTCTGGAAAGAGTTACTACCGATCTGGTGCAGATATCTCCTTTTGGCTGTTTCACCATTACACATGAATTCATTATCTCGGTATGAACACGATTACAATTAAGATGAAATGCTTATTATAAGATTAAGGTGACGCATTCCATATTTGTTTAACAGATAATTGGAGTATTGATGGCTCACTTTTGATTATCTATCAAATGGAGGACCAGAAGGTGGATATGAGCTACTTGTTGAGCTACGAAGATGCTGAAGCGTGGTTTAAGAATTTGCACAGTTTTGTGAGAAACGCCACTGTCTGGAACCAAACAGCAAGAAGTGGTACATAGATTCTGTTGCTAAGAAGGCCGATATCCGTCCCAAAAAATGATTTCGTGCAGAATTGTTTGCTCCGCGTGTTTAAGTTCGCTGAATGTTTTGTCTTTGGTTCATATGCGTAGCGACATAGAAATTAAAATTACTTACAGTACAAGCAGAACTGGTTTTATCCAGTACAGCATCCGCGCTAATTCGATTGAGAACAGTAAATTTCTATACTGTATTTAATTATTTGTTGTTTTTGCTTAACTTGTAAAATATACGTGCGCGCTCGGTGGTCGATTTAATTTTGGTATGGGAATTTACAGCAAGTCATTTAACACTTTTTACGCAATCAGTAAAGATTCCCGTCCAGCGCTACGTGATTTATTCGCGTCAATTTTAGCCGTACATATGTACAAGAAAGAGTATAAGGTATAGGTACCGTACTGGCATAACTATGTGTTATATGTACGAGATACATTCTCACGATTTTGCAAAATTTTATGTCATTATGACTTCAGTGCACTGAACACAACCAAAAACTCTGATCACGAAAAAGCGCCAAATCTGGGCATTATGATGTACCTCTGCGCAGTGGCCACAGCATCGCTATAATCGGAAATTTTTCTGTTTGTGTAAATCATTTAAAAACATGACGCGCTGATCTTCTTGGTCACGCCACGGTATGAAAGCACAATCGAATGTAACCAAGAGCTAAATTTTTTGTTACCTGGCGCAGTAGACGTCTCAGCAAAAGGTGGCGACAGCGGAATACAGCATTATGGGCAACTCCTCCACTGCGCCCGGATATCATCCAAGCGAAGTGAAAGTTTCCAGTAGGTATGTTCAAACATTCCTTCAAGAATTCAAAACCAGAATGTTTTTATTCCTGAGCTTCGTGATCAACTTCGGACCCCAAATATGCAAGGCCATTGTATTTTTTAGTTCTTGATGCTCGCAATCTCCCATTGTACCGCAAAAGGAAAGGCGGTAAGAGATTATACTCTTCTTACATTTTATTTTATTGGTTTTAAACTTTATATTTGCGGAACTAACTGCGTGATAAACGCTGTGACACCTGATAGCTTTTTTTTACTGCCTTATTCTAATTATTTATTCATATTTATCGTGATAATTATGTTTATTTAATGTTCAGGAAATTATGGCTCCAGTACGATTGTGATCTTTTCGATCGGCGACCAGGTTGTGAGAACCCTAGAACGCTCTACTGAAACGGGAAATGCTGTCTACAATCAGTCCTGGACTTTGTAAGTCCAAGGAATTTAATCTACATTCTGCTACGGTGGTAATTAACTTGTTAGCTATCCACCATCTTTTATTTTGTTACTTATGTACTGTAAGATTTATTAATTGTACTGTACTTAAAAGCGTGCAAATTAATTGAATAAGCAGTGAACTTAATGAACGGTACACATGTATTTGGGAAGTGCTCTAATTCCATTCAATATTTCCACAGCAAATTCACCATGCCAGAGCACAGCCCATTATTCATCCAGATTAAGGACATGGAGCTGGGAATTTTGGGTTCCCACGAAGTGCCGTTTGAGGAGATTCCTTATTCACCTCATCGCGACCGGAAAACCTTATTTTCCTTTGTCTTCAAACCAACCATCGCATCAGACAAACTGGCGGATGTAACGGTGATTAATAGCGAAAAGCAGTGTGAGCTATTATTCAATGCAAGGGTCACGCAACTGCACTTCAAAGTGAACAGCCGATGACGATGGACCGTCCACAACTGCACGATGCAGAAGTGGATTTTGACAGCAGTGGCGCGAACTGCCATTGGCCAAGCGCGGGTGTTCGGTTTGTTCTGCCTGGAATAAACGATTCATCTGCATTCGTGTCTGCGCTTCCGCAATGAAGAGGACGAAGATGTGATGGACAGCCGGGAGTTTATCCTTCCTACTTCACCTTACTCACAGAAATATTCTTCGGTCCTTAACAATTCCTTGCGGGTTAAAATCGCTCCTGATTTACAAACAAGATTCGATGCGCTGCGAATGCGACTGTCGTTTACGAACCTCTTGACGGAAGAAAGATCAGCGGACTGGAGAAAAAGTCGACGTTTGGACCATAACATTCCAGTGATTTCCTGGACAACGTACAGCAGTGGCGCGAACTGCCATTGGCCAAGCGCATGCGGGTCGGTTCGGTGTTGTACGCTGAGTATAAACGATTCAGTCTGCATTCGTGTCTGCGCTTCCGCAATGAAGAGGACGAAGATGTGGTGGACAGCCGGGAGTTCATTCTTCCTACCTCACCTTACTCACAGACATATTCTTCGGTCCTAACAATTCCTGGGTTAAATCGCTCCTGATTTACAAATCAAGATTCGATGCGCTGCGAATGCGACTGTCGTTTACGAACCTCTTGACGGAAGAAAGATCAGCGGACTGGAAAAGTCTTTCCAATCTGTTATCCGATTTTGAACAGAACATCGACATCGTGTCTTTGTTACGCGCGACTACAGTCAACACGACCGTACTTGTCAACGACCACGCCGCTCGTTTACGGCATTCAGCCTAAGCGAATCCCCATCAACACCGTCACAACAGTGAAGATTGTAGGAAAGAATTTTGGAGAGTCTCGAGCGGATCTGAAGCATGTGTTTATTGGTGGCGCGGACTGCGTCGACACTGTGACATCCTGGACAGCGGATGTGATCATATGCAGCGTACAGTGTGACGTGTTCGGGCGGGGCGTGGTCACAGTGTGTACCAGGACTGGTGGCGTTGGGCTTTGTGCTGATGTACTGGAGTTTTTTGAAGCCGATTCACCGGTACACCAAGGGAACATCTATACCTTATTAAAGACCATGGAAAATGTGAAGGCGTTTGAGGAGGAAATGACTGCAAGAAATGCCGGTTTGGCATCGTTGATTTCCAGTAAGTTCATTCATTTACCGTAGTGTGGTCAGGATCTGTGCATTATTACGATTCCGCCTGGAATTCAGATACCTAATGTTGCGCAGGGTAGATGCAGCTTAAATGTCGTTGCAAAAAAAATCACCAACTTCACGCAGCGGCTTACCACGGAAAATCAATATATATACAACTTTACTGCATAAAGCGTGTACAGTATACGCACTATTTTTGATTGCGTTCTTACTGTTTTTGTTACCTTTATTTCAGGACGGCGAACGCAGTAGGAGAATGGAAGATGTATCTGCGAAAACTGCACAATTTAAAAGCTGTTAATAATTTTAATACCCGAGCATAGGTTGTTGGTTGTTGACTTGTTGCTGCTGTTTCTCAGGTGTTAAGCAAAGTATATAATTATAATCCTCAATAAAAATGGAGATCATCTGCATGTCTAAGTTGCTGTTTTATCATTCAGTTGGTAGTTTCTGGCCGTAAACTTCAAAATTATGCAATTTTGTACACGTACCGTATTATACTTCGTACAGATCTGAGCAAGAGCCTCGGCGAGTCGGTGTAAACGTAAACATGGTTTGATACATGCTGGTGCGAGCGTATTGTAAACTTACCAGACGCAGTATTACATGAGCTGATCTTGGGACTTCTGTATTTTGTTCTTTGACCGTAAATGTCTTTAAAAATTGTACCAATTATTTTGAAGTGTTCTGATAACCATGCTGTGTATAAATTTTGTTTATAAATAATTCCTCTTTTTCACGTTTTTGGTTAGAAATATGCATAACTATTGCCGGTGTACAATATACGGTCGCTATTGCTTGAACATCCTTCTGCATTTCCATAGCGCAAGATTTTTGGCCTCGCTGCAGAGCACAGTAGCGTACATGAAAACGTTCGCGGCTATTTTTCCAATCGAGTGGACAGTCACATAACATGTTTTTGTATGCATCATAAATCCATTTAAATCTGTTTATTTTTCCTGAAAATTACATTCGACTACACATGGACAAACCAGAGCGGCACAGCTTGAAAAAAGACTCCCATCCTATAAATATTTGAGCAGATGTCGTTTTCGCACGTGGCTGCAATCTCCGACGTTTATCCAACACATCCACTGCATCCGCTGCAGTTTCGGGCCAGTGTCAACAGAGGAACGCGACCGACTGCAGTGGTTAAGCCTAAGCACTTTTCCAAGTTCAATAAACGACTTACATTTGTCGGTAACCGGAGACGGGGCAAGCCAGTTAGTAGTGGTGCGGTCCAATTGTGCGCAGCTCGCTATACAGTCAGAAAGCAGCAGTGTTATGGATTCTTCTGTTACGCAACGTTAACAGTTGCTCGACTCTTGCAAATCCGCACAATCAACCAGCACCATTGCCGTCAATCGTTTATCTTCGCTTGCCAGCCAACGACCGGCGAAATCCGTACGTGGCATTGCCGCTGCAAAGGTCATGCGTATGTGAATAATACACTCAGCTCTGCGCAAGAAACGAGAATGGAAATCAAAAATTAACAAGTCAAACATTAAACACCCGATATTAATCTGATAAAATTAGCAAAATTACGTTTTTCTAGAAATATGATTCAACCGGAAAAGTGAATCAAACTACGCAGCATGGTGCTGTTCAGTATCCAGCAAATTTTCCACGAAATCGCAGACCACATCTGTTAATGATGCCGATATTTAGCCAATGTCGATATGGATTTCACGGGCGGGATCGAAAAGGAACTCATTCCCAGCAGGAAGCCGGCAGTATTATTGATCGACATGCCGACGGGTGCTTGGATTACGCCGCTGACGTCATCGCATGGGAAGAAGATCCCTCGCGCTGGTGCATATATATATGTATATATGCGTGTATCGTGTAACGCAGCGCGCCAAACGCCGGCAACGTTAATATTCTTTCATTGCTGCGCTGGCTTGCCGTTGGTGTTTCGCCATCTCCGCGCCCGCGCACACAAACACACACACACATCGACGCGTTGTGAACTTGAAAAAGGAAATGCGTTGATTTTTTTTCTCCTCTCTCTCCTTCTCCGGCGTGCGGCTCTCTTTGGTGTATAACGCTTTCGCCTGCTCTCCCTCGATCGCGTTTCTCCTGGTTTGCATTTGCATCTTTTGTCAGTTTTGTCCCAATCTCAATCACGCCACCAAGTACAAAACAACGCCGGAAAATCGCGAGACGGCCGGGAGAAAAAACACCAAATATGGCCAATATGATATACACCCTTCTTGATGATTTATTGCTCAATGCTGTTTCTGCTGCTGCGTCGCACTGCCACTGTCAGGCTGCATACCGCGCATTGGCTGGCTGCTGCCGGATGCATTATTCTTTGTCCATGGTGTTATGAAAGTGTGGGAATACGTTTGTGACGTGGACCGGTGCTGGACACATGTACAATGCAGCGGCGACGACAACTGGCCTGGCAGTTCACCTGCCCAGCGTATCTCTTTACCGGTATGTTGACAACTGTGTGTCGTACATAATTAAAATCTAATGCTCTATTGCGGCCCATTAAATTATATTTACAGCCGTATAGTTACAGCGGGAAGTCGTGTGGTGTTGATCAAATCGCAGGACAATTTACATAAAGGAGTAGCGAATTTTGTGCTACCTGTCAATACCAGGCTCAGAATAGGTGCGCAATCCGCGCCGGAAGTCGAGTAATCCAGCCATAAAAGAGTGCATTAAATTGCACGGTAATGACTACTCGTACTCGAGCGATGTTATTTTTGTAATGCAACATGTGTTCAGAGCGCACCTTTGCAACGCTAGAAATTTTTTACAATATTTCTGCTGACAGAAAGATCACGAAAACGGGACTCATCTTGCGTCAAAGCATACATCGCAGCTAATGTACTTAGTTGAAGTTAGTGATTGATAATAGCTGCGTCAGTCTGAACAATTTCGGTATAGAAATACTGAAAAACAACGAAGTACAACTTGCAGTTATTTGATCAGCTGCTTAGTGTGCTGTGATTGCGGAATTTGTTGTAATTTTCCAACAGATCATATACAATGACTTAGTTTATTTTCTGTTCTGCGTTAAGAAAAGGTATTTTTCGAATACCGTGCATAGAGACTAACAAAAGTTACTGCGTATAGAATCCGAAGGTTCTTTCTTCTGCGCTGTGATCTATAGTAGGCATCAAGTTTCTTACATTCTGAAAATGGAATTCGGTATTTGAACATAAATGATGATCGGTATAAAACGTGGAATAATTTGCAGTCTAATTTCCTGTAGTACAAATGAGGCATAGATTTCCTGCATAACCAGAAACCCGAAAGGTTCCGCAACCCGGAAACGATTTAGCAGCGTAATGTACGAGGCTGTAACACAGAGGACAGCTGCCGTGCAGCATCTTCCTCCCAAGGTTACACAGCTGGTTTATGCTTCCGATCAGAGGGAATTTGTGCGTTAACCCCCCACAGGCAACAGCCAAAAAAAATCAATAATAGCTACTCCAGCACACTGTACACAGCGCGCCACAACTACTTGGGCCTTCAACAGCCGGCCGTACCGCTTCCTACAGAACCGAGGGGAAAAAATCCATAAAATGTGTTCTTGAAAATGCATTATTAAGTTTACCGGCGGTCTTGTATACACATACACAAAGCTGTGCCGGCAGCCGCACGCCCACTGCGCAAGCCAGGCAAACGATTAAAGGAAAAAACAAGGATTAAGCTCCATGGAGTCATTAGGATTAAGTTAGCCGACAAGCAGTGCGGCAACCTGCATTACGGGATTAATCTGTTTTGCACAGAACGATAGCTAGGCGCAGTTCTGGCATTGTGCCTGTCGCATACTGCAAACGACAGGCATATCAGTATTGTGATAAATGCTGTGCGTTGCGTTTATTGCTTTAATCATTACAGTACTGGATGAGTCTTAATCAAGGTGACATACAGTATATCAATCGTAATCAATAATGCATGCCTGTTTAACCAACAGGCCGCACGGAAAAAAGCCTTCGATTTGGGTGAAATGATGAAAAACTTCATTTGCATTGGCAAAAGTTTAAAAGGAGACACAAAATGGGCTTCTTTCGTGCAGTGTATTCATGTAAACGGTTTCATTTAGGCTGTCAGAAGAATTACACGCGGTTTGTAATCTCTGGCACTACTGCACTAACAAACCAGCGCAAAAACGTCTGCGTTGGTTTTCCTCATCGATTTCCAGAGTCAAACAGAATTGGTCAGTTGTGCCAACTTGACACAATCCATTTGTAAACGTTTCGTAATGAATCCCCCTACGTGTGACCTTTGACGTCGTTCAGATATATTTACCTTGTAACCTGCGCTGTGATACATATATCAGTCTGAATAGAAATTCTTTGGCGATGCCAGTAAAAGAGAACTTTCTCTATTTTTCCATTGTCCCCCGAAAACTGCTCGCTCATAGTGCAGAAATAAGTACTCGGGCTCCAGCTCGATCGATATAATGACTATATAGGCGCGGTGCACTTACATAACTCCCCCAGCGCGTATTAGAGAAAGTAACCTTGGACCATCTCTTAGTGTCATAAAAGAATTCCCACACGACTTCCTGCTGTACGATAATGACATTGACAGGGATTGACTGACTGGTTCCTCTCTCTTCTGTGCTTGCAGTTGGACTTTTTGCCGTTGCGCGTGCCACGGAACACTGGGGCTATCACGGAAAAGGTTTGTGAACGAGGGGTTTTTTAGGCGTCAATTTACTTGCCGTTTAGCGGTAGTAAAACGGTTTGGGCGGTGTTGAGGATAATTATGGTGTTTACAAGAGGATTTAGCGAAATGTCGACTAAAACACGACAAATGCTGTCTTTTCCTTAGTTTAACCTTTTCTCATATATAGATGATTAAACTACTGTAGCTGTTTTGCACTCATAGCAAAAAAAGCGTTCCAAAATTTATTAGAGTAGAAATTTGTGAAGCCCATTTTAACATACGTTCCATTAACTTTTTCATTTCTGTATTTGGATATAACAAGCGTTGCATGTACCCGCAAATGAAAACATTTTGTTGCTCCTTACGTATCGGTTTCACAAATCAAGATTAACATTCCAAATTAACTGCATTACCGCTCTTGTAGTGGAGGGAGAGTTTCCTCCGTCTTCATGGGCCAACGAATATCCGGCATGTGGACGTCATCATCAGAGTCCAATTAATTTTGATTCCCTAAAAGTTATCGATGATCCCTCGCTGCAAAGGATCATCTTCGTCGATTACGATGAATTCCCACCCGGGCGGACGTGGAATTTTCAAAATAACGGCCATACCGGTATGTGCCGCAAATTCTGTGTGACATGCGCTGTATGTACAAACTAGTCTAGTTCTTCGCACATGCGTCTACGGTATTCAGTGTACAGTAGCTACTGAAGAAAAGGGCAAATGCTGGATCGGTGGAAAAATTTTACAGTATACGTGCAATCTGATACAGAAACTTTTGCAGAATGATTGATTTATCGCGTATACCTTAGAAATACATACGATTAGTAACGATAAAGGTTGCTCTCCTGATGCGGTTAGCATTTATTTACTCTAGCGTATGTAGAGCAGAAATTCTTTTCCACAATAAAATAAGGCTATTGCGGTCTTGTAAAGGCGGAAATTTCTCTTTACAGTGGCAATCAGTGCAAATTACACCTGCCCACCGCAATTACAAGGCGGAAGCTTAAGGGCAAAATATCAGTTCACGCAATTGCATTTCCACTGGGGAGAAAAAATGAAAGGCTCAGAGCATCACATAGACGGACGACTGTATCCTTTAGAGGTGAGTTACAAAACCCAAGTTCCTGAGATTCTGAGAATATGTTGTTACTTCATCGGCACACGTCAGGACAACGATTTTAAATTAATGTCTTTCATCTGCTGCTCAACAGATGCATATCGTGCACTCACGCCGCAACGAAGCAGCGGATGCTCTAATGCAGGATGAGATTGGGATGGCGGTTATTGGTGTGTTCTTCGAGTATGCAAACACTCCTAACGAGCATCTCAAGCCAATCACCGACGCCTTAAGCCAAATTGCTGCAACGAACGGTAGGAACGCGGCGGCATGGCTGTCTGGTTCGGCACTTGACAGCCGGCTCACTGCGCACTGCTCAACGCTGTGTCGATGATGGAAATGCAATGTCATTACAGAAACGAAATATATCAGGCTTCCCGGGTTCACACTGAAATCCCTCTTGCCGCATAATGCCGATTACTTCCGCTACAACGGTTCATTAACCACGCCTCCCTGTAACCAAATTGTCCAATGGTCAGTCATGCGTGCACCGGTTACAGTTTCCAAAAGTCAGGTGAGACCAGACGAAGGCAACTAACAAAAGTTTAGTTGTCGCGCGCGAGCTATCGAACTCCTTACAAAACCTAAGTTGACAAATAATATCCGTATGGTAGAATTCCCAAAGCAAAACAGGAGATACAAAAATTAAGGGCTCTTTGTACTCACTTTTCTATCCAGTGAAATAAATAGCAAGTTTTTGCACTTTGATACTCGTATATTGTTTATTACATATGTACTCGTAAAATACTCGACATCGTTTTGCTAGCAAAAACGAGGGTCTCTTAAACATACAACTATCGTATTGTACAGAGTAAAAACGAGTTTTTGAAACATTTTGTCTTTAATTGTTTTGTTATTTATCGGGCTCGATGTTTAGAATGATTTTTTATAATACAAGGGACGCAAAAAGACGCATCGCATGCTCAGCATTAGGCATGGAAATTCTACAATTATGACCTTTCCGTTGTATTTGTTTAACGCTTACTATGTGTTTTGACACTGTATAGTTGGATGCATTCCGAAGTCTGCAGCGTTTTCCGGACGACCACCATCCAAACGATATCCCTAAGTATATTGACAAGAACAACCGACCCGTCCAGGAAGTAGGCGACAGGAAGGTGCTACGTTACCGATCCAGCGGCTACACACCATTTGATTCCGGAACAACAAACCAACTATCACCCGTAACTGTGTTCCTCTTGATGACTGTGACCTTTGTGGCCACCTTCTTTTGAACACAGCCCAAAAGCCATGGAGCGACGAGATTCTTCCGAAATGTCGATGTTTATCTTGTGATTCTGACCAAAACAATCAATTATTCTACATGGAAATGAGAGATGTTTATTCGTGCAGATCATGATGAAGATTCTTTCCGTGGGTGTATCTCGACCGACGAGGATATCCAGAAATTAGTTAATTATTTAAAGTTGCCCTCTTGATTTTCTCGTGTGGAAAATGCTCATAGTGAATAATATTTTCTAAGGATTGCCTTAATGAGATTATGAGACTGACTGGCTGACAAAAGTTAACAACCTACAGCATGTGAGAATTGTGTCCCTTGCTCTGAACCGAACGTCTAAAAAGTGAGCCAATCTGATGCGGCATATGACTGTAACGTTAACGGTAGATGTGCGTATGTGATTGTGTTAAATGTAATTAATGAAGATGAAGAATGATGTCTACAACGAAGATGGGCTTCCTGCATAACGATGGCAATAAATTAAACTGCGGTATCTGTACATTAAAGCGGCTACATTGTGCATCAGTTTAACTCGAGTAAAATTCCGTATTAGCGTGGATCTGGTTCGTGGCAGATTTACCACACCTTATAAAGTAGGCAGTTGAGCGGGTGCAAACTGTACAACAACGTTATTATTCTTAAACGTTCACTTGTATGGCACGTACTTACTTCGTAGGATAACGTACCTGGTTGCGCGTAATTAGATAGGCGTTTACGTTCTGCTCGTTTACTCATTATTCAATAAATTTTCTGCTGCTAAAATTAATACTACGTAGTGCTGCTGCTAAAGTACTACAAGTACGCATGAAGAGGTTAATTACTTACTTCGGTACCTTGCAAAGACAAAAAATTGTGCCTCTTTTTGAAACAAGCACTTATTCATAATATTGATAACAGTACTTACTGTGAATTTGTAAGGAAGAGTACGTACAAGTATATACGTTTTTTATTGTGGTAAATAAAATTATTGCGAAGCGGAGAGCTGCATCGTCATGGATACGTTCAAAGGAGCCAGATTAATCAGGTAAGTATCAGAGACATACGGCCACATACTGTAGCTTGTCGGTAAAGAGATTCTGGTTTTATGTTGCCTGTGTTTGAGTACTGTATTTATGGAGCGGGTTGAACGAAATTCTGTTGACTCCCTTTATCAAGAATTAGAAAGTCTCCATTCAACTATTGAAAATTTCCTCGCAACGACCTTGACCCGAAAGACATCTGCAGCCAATCCGGGTGAAGGGGATGCTTGCCGCCCAGAGGATGCGCTTGACAATAATCACAGTCTGAAGCAGATAACTGGCAAGCTTGTCGAAGTTCTGAATTTATTTCTTCACCATGAAAATTCTCATGTGCGACAACTTGATCCAATTCCAGTCCAAATACCCTCAGTACTGCCCTGTCAGGACATCGATCCTAGGAATGAAAATAAGGTTCTCCGAATACTTCCTGTCAAGTGCTCCGAATCAATGGATACTTTCACTGTGGAACCACCCACCAATCATGCCCCTTCAACGCCCATCAAACTCGTCGCGCAAACGCGCAATTCCCCCACGTTTATTGTGGCCGAACGCAGGAAGCTCCGCCAAACTGCGGCGAACCCGGGAAAGCTCCCCGCTATCCGTGCCAAACTGCCACTGGTCGCCGCAAAGGAGACCAAACCCAAGCCCGATGAACGGTTCGAGCAGGCACAAGCGCGTATAAAGGTCTTGGAGGACGAGATTGAGAATCTCCAGCGTCAGGAGCTCCTGCTTCTGGCCTATCCTGATCCGTACGGACCCTGCAAGATCCGGCCGACGGGGGATCCTCGTCGCGATATGCAAATGCAGATTGCGGCGAACCACCTGCGGCGGCAGTTGCTGGAGAAACAAACCGGTCACCTTTCCCGTATTCTATCGCAAAACGATGGGATGGTAGAGGGCGCCACGATGTACAGGAAGAATGCATCCGAAGAGGAAGCGCCATGGTTGCCGTCGATGTTGTCGCATTGTCCGTGCTCGATGAGCTACAGCAAACTGGGTGAGTGCCAATCAACGAAAAACTCCACGAGTTTCCACGTAGAGTGGAAATCCAGAGCGGACAGCGTGAGAGCAAAAGCGTCCAAATCCCAAGGAAAATGTGATAGTCAGAGTAAACTCAAACCCCTCAAATCCGATAAAATCTCACCGGAAAGTGTAACCACTTGTCGAACGAATTCATCAAAACGCACAACAACGAAAGGTTCCATACCAAAGAAGTAGCTTTTTGTTCTGATTTATTGACAGCAGTATAAAACTACATTTTACTGTGGAATTATGGTTTCAGCAATTTTCTTATCAAAATTATAAAGGAAAAGTCGAAACCCACGCGGTTTATCAGATGTGCGTTTTATATGCAATTAACCAAAACACTTTCATGCGGCCTTTTCCCTGCAACAACTTGTCATTAAACCCGTTTTTAACGCACTTACATGCGCAAAAGAATTTGGAAATTGGAATCCATGTCTGACCTTAATTTCAATAGTGCCGCGTTCGTTCAGAACGAATTTCTCTGTCAAATTCAGAAATGTCGCGGTCTGTTGACTACATTGTATCCGAAATGCTGAAAAATAATGAAGCGTGGTCAAGCTAGTTTACTGACTTTATAACCTCGCTGACGTGAGATTGTTTTTTGCGAGTAAGGAATTAGAGTTACGAATATGACTTACGAAGACCGGTAGATTCCATGCGCGATGCGGTGTTTACTGTAAAAGAAACCAAAACGCTAGGTTATCCCACTGTTACCGAGGCTGTACATACCGGTGTCTCCAAAAAGACAAAATCGCGGTAATTGGAATCCAAGAATACCGGCCATAACCGGTCCTACCAACAAGACTTTATTGTAAAATACCGAGATCTTGAACTGTTAATGAGTCAAACAACACTGACCAGTGTTTATTCCAATTCGGATCTTCAATCGCGTATCGTGTAGACGCAGAAAATCCATTTTGTCCACTAGTTTCATGACCTCGACACAGAGTGCGGCTGCTTCGGAAGCATGCTGACAGGGTTTCATTGCTGGAATCCCGCTGGCAATCTACGTATAAAGCCCAGCGTTGTAGAAACGCCACCCAGAATTGTGGCTGTAATGTAAAGGTGGTCTGCATCTCACCAAATATTCTTCTCCACGGTTTTCCACTTTGACAACACGATACTTATCTGTGGGGGCGCAAAAGGTAAGTCAAGCACAGTTCGGTCGCAATGGAAAGGGCTGTTTACATCATCATTTATGAATTGAATACATCTGTACCGGATAAAGAGTCAATTGCCATCCAACACTGACTGACAATTTTCATCAGGTCCGTTGCAGCAACGCTTGAACTATACAGTGTACCGTAATGAAAGTAGCGTACGGTTGTGGAAGACAGTAAACGATAAATGCGTACCAAAATCTCCCGAAATCATACAGCCGGATAAAGGTCACGGTTACCGATTCGAAGAACTGCGAACAAAATGTACAGCATATAGTTCACCTAGTCTTTTTGAGCGGCGGTCTGTGATTTTCACCTCACAGTAGTGGTATCCTGGCGTTCCACTCATCTGGCTGGATTGCAATTTTTGCAGGACATAACTGTCAGAAAGCCGATTACAGTAATCATGTTGATAATATTAAGTAAAATGCATAAGCCTTACTTTGGAACTAAGGATCCCAGCAACATATCACCCCGTTTCTTCCATTCATCCAGCTTTGTTAGTGATTCCTCGAGTTGGCGGCTTTTTTCCGATTCCGTCTGAAAATGCTGGAAAACCTGCTTATGCGAATGCCAGCCACAGGCGGCCAGATCGGCGGAGCCGCTATGCAATGGTAAATCGCTGAGGAAGAATCCTATACGCTCCAAATCCGACAGATCCCCTACCCTGCAGTCATTAAAAATAATTATTATTGTCAACTTCCTCAAAACTGCGCGACTATTGTGCCCAAGTCTATTGCAAAATATCTTTTCGCTAACAATTATTGTAAAAGGCGCGACAAGCAAGACAAAAATAGCTGCTGCATAGACAGTAGTAGCACAGAGAAAGTAAAGCAAATTCGCTAACGTTGGAGTCGAGCTCATGAACAGAATACTGTTCCTCGATGTCTGCTTAAATTGTCCCTTGAGCAATAATTTCTGCTTTGTCATAACCCTTTCACGCGTTTTAGGATTCTCCAGCATGATGTACAGAAGAGATTCCATTTCAATAGGTACGTCTTGCAGATGCAGAATCTATAAAAAAGTTATTGCGTAAGTCGCTTTTTGCAAGCCAATCAGATTATGTTGCTAACAATTTTTTCTTGAGAAATTGCTAATTTGCTTAAGTAAATATTATGCTAGAAATTATAGCCATAGGCCCATACCATATCAAAAGAAAGGTCAAAGCATGGTTGGGTTGGTCGGAAAATGTCAGCCAGTGTTTTACCCTCGATTGTGTCTTTGAACAGGCGACTCAGTTTTTCTCCGCATTGCGCAACCACCAACGCGTGATTCAAATCTGCTTTTAATCCACAAATACAGCAATCATGGTACTCGTAGTAGAACAATAACAACACAGGTGGCGATTTCTCACGCAACTTACAGATACTATATGGCAGTATATTAAAGAGGGTCTTAGTGGTAATTTGTGCAAAGCGCCGGCAAAGTCCAATCTGCGAGATAGAGGGTGCCTCCACGTAGCCGGTGTTGTTAAAATCCAGCCGAAGCACCGTTAGAAATGTTTCACGGTGCGGCACTTCCTCTTCGTGCAGAACTCGAACGTTACCCAGGCGTTTGTTGAAGAATCGCAGAGCCAGTTCTTTCAGCTAAAAATTAATTACGCTCAGTACATGTTTGTGAGCAAGAGACGGTTCATAATACGCTAGAATTTTGTGTGGTTCATTTCTGGGATCCTGTCCTGACCCGTGTGGGTGTAGCCGTGTAAGCGATCCAAACGGACATTGTCACACAATGTCTTACATTACGTTAATAACTTCCTATTTGTCAAATGTAGTCCAAACCGTGCACAGGGCGTACAAAAGCAGATAAATCATTTAAAATTCTCATTTTCCAATATGACGCCTGTATTATTTGATTGGCACACACAATGGAACAATTTTCGAGAAAATTAACTGCTTTATACGGTCCATACTTAATTTAACCCTTACTAGTCCGGTGACGTACGGCGCGTAACCTTTCCGACAGGATTCATAGTGTAACACCATTCCATAACTATCTTCGGCCGTGATAATAAACGATGGATGGATCATGCGCGGATAACTGTAGCGCATACAGTGATGGATGTGATTAATATTCTTCATTACATCCCGAAAATTCTTTCCGGATACTCGCAGAATCTACATATTTCCAGGAAACACCAGATGTGGTAAATGTTCACGTAGGCATTTTACACCATAATTTCTAACCTTGTCGTGTCCATACGTGTGACAGTACTGTAAAAGAAATTTAGATCAAACAGTTTCACAAAAAATGAACCTTTACCAGCAACTACGTAACAGTACAGATGAACGAACGTTAATTATTTCGCAACCACAAACCTGCACAAAAAGCTGGCCAAAGAGTTCGAGATAATCTTTAGCGCTTTGCCAGTCTCCGATGACCGCCGCTGCCCCTTCCGTAAGTTGTTCCATGTAAGCATCTGGATAGATGTCGTGTGTATTGAATATCGTCACCGGAATGCCCGCTTTATGGATTATTTTCTTAAAAATGATTTCTCCATACGTCTCTTGCAGATACGCAGCGATCGACTGCAGTAACAAACCGTACATTATGATAAAAGGTGTAAAAGGTATAAAAGCACCAAGCCAGAAAATTTCATAAGGTAACCAGGTTAAGACAAGTTCCTGGATGTTACGGGGGCCCTGGATGTCACAGTTATTAAAAACGTATAATTAACTCCAGTGTCGAGAATATATCCTTGTTATACCGATGCCGGTGAGCTTGCGATACGCTCCAGAACTTCCAGTTGTTATTGCTTAAATGCCCGCAGGCTTTCGCAGTTATGGAGATACTCAATTAAGATGAACCGCTGGAGTACTGTGCAAGATGGATGGCCGATCATGGTTACGGTAATCGTACATGTACCAGACCAACGGGATGCCGGAGGAGCATTGTCCTTCCTGTGATCCCTCTGCTGCTCGACCTATACCACTGACGATTAACCGGCATGCTAACAACAGATAGATTTACTATGCTGGTGCCTCACAGTGGCTCACACATAGTGGGCGTTCCAAATCGTTATGGATGTGGGCGACTTCCTTCACTAACCTGCAGCTCTTTGTAAGATGCACCATGCTTTCGGTTACGGGGTTTACTAGAATAGTGTTTTAAAGCTAAATAAAGTTAATAAAACACCAGAAAGGAAAAACGTTTTAATGGTTAGTAAGGTAAAAACATTTTATTGGTTAATTGTGTATCTGCACTTTTTGACTGGCTTCAAGATAAAACCAGATAAAAATATTCCGTCCGTCCAAAGCATTAGATGGATGGTTAAGACGGATCTATACAGATACGTAGAGAAGCTCAAGTAGGACACTAATCTTCTTTTACAAAATTCGAAGTAGACAGATCAACGCTACATTTCATTCGCCATTTTAGTTCCGGTGCCGGAAAACTCTTTGTTCTGGCTTTTGTGAGATGGACAGGATCCAGCAATTTGCTTTTAAGGCAATCAATGTGCCCATCTACTATGCAGCTGCAAAGGTACCGTGGAGCGAGGGTTGATTTTAAAGTTTTTGTGACTATCATGTTCTCCTTAGCATTGTCCATTTAGGTGAACTGATTATTGGTGCTATAAGTGAAGTAAGTGAGTGAGGTGAAGTGGTTATTGTGCTCTAATTAGCCTTTAGAGCCTCCTGATGGTTGTTAGCAAAGGTTACAGACTTTGTTCTACCAGAGCCAACCCTGCTGTCCGATACATCAGTGAGCAATCATCATTCTTCATTTTTGCTTTCTTGGAAAGTTGGGAAACATCTGGTTTAAATTTGTCATTTTTGCGGGACAGATGAAGATGAAACTGTTAGGAGTTTCTAGTCATCCAGTCCATCCATTCATCCGTTCGACTACCCTGTAATAACATGCCGAAGAAGCATTTGTTCAGTTATCCACCTTACCGATGACTAAATGGTAGTCAGTGATGGTGAAAGAAACGACCTCGGTTTGTTGTTTAAAGGTCAGGCCTGCGTGTCCTGCGATTCAGAAAAATGAAAAATTACCACTGTGTTGCCGAGAGCATTGGACATTAATTTTGCATACTTGTTCAAACATCGCTGCACCATGAATGCATTACTGATCGGCGCAACTGCAGTCCATAGCAGTACTCACAGACACACTGTACAAGTAATTATGTCTTAAATATTCAGAGTTTCCGACGAAAATTTACCCATATTCCACCAAATCATCCTTGCTCTCCTGACCGTGAAAAACCATGTTATTCCCTGCATATCAGATTTAAGTTTCCTGACTTGTTTATGTGTCGATTGTCCTTTGTTCACCTTTTCCACTACTCTGTACGTACAAAACCTCTTGGTTTTATGTATGCTGTACATGCGGCAAAAAATGTAAAGTGTAAGAGAGCAAGTGGTCTTTTACTTTATCGGTGCTTTCCGTTAAATACCTTTGTTTACAAAATTTAGAACCCTTCTAATGGGTATGCGTGCCCTTTGCCGTAACTTGTAATCCAAGTTTTTTAACAACAATCAGAGCTCAGTAAAGTCTAACCAATGGTAAGATATACTGCTGTGATTGGGTAGCTTAATCTTCTCATCGTCCCAGCGTTAGGCAACATCCAAATACTCCTAGTAAGAAATCGCAACACGCAGATTTTGTGTCGTGTTAAAACCGCCTAAAAAAGGGCGAGCAGGTAGGCAGGCCTTCAGCAAACCGGCCTTTAAGATGCCGGTGACGGAGGACCGGGCTCAATCAGATAAGAAGTGCTTGTAGTCAACGAAAGCAGTGCATGGTCTTCGATTTCAATACCAAAATCCGATCCGTGTTTACTCACAAGCCAGTAGACCATCATTTCACCTTTTCCCTGTATATCAAACGCCAGATTAGCACTAACTATAAATTATTATTTGTATAAAAGTATTACTAATAAAAGCGCATGGGTAGTTACTTTGATTTTCATAATTCCACGCTTTTTCATCTCAAAATCACCGGTTGTGACCAGAATGTTTCTTGTTGTCTCGCTACACTGAATCCGGAAAGCTGCACAAATTGACACTATTTTCATTAGGAAGAACAGACTTGTTGGATGCGATCATACGATTGGTATAAAGTTAATTAATCAGCAGAGGTGCCTTACGCATGCCGGAAGATTCCATTCTGGATGCTGTGTTTACTGCAATGAGGAACAAATTAAACGGTAATGTTCATGCGGAACTGATCTAGCACAGCAAACCCGGAAAGCTGATGTAACACGCGGCCCTTACCATGAATTTAATTTTCAAGCTGCTGTAGTATTGGCTAAGTAATATTAATTATTACTAACAGTGCGGCAACAACGGCTGATCTCACAGCATTGTCTAAAGGTTACACTATAGCAGTATTTTGTGCTGCGTATCTTTGTCATCTTACCGGTGTCCCCGAATATGCAGAATCGAGGCAAATGCAGTCCAACAACACCCCCCACAACCGGCCCTAAAAACAGTGATCTTCAAGCATCACAAAATTAATGCCGACTACCGTATTCTAGCCTTCTTAGAGTAAGGGCTAAGTCAAAATTACCGCATACAGAACCTTGAATAACTGATGCATAACAATTTTTCTGTCTACAGATAGATGTACACCTTTTTATGAACACAAAAAAATCTTGCTTGCATTACGATCCGCTGCTTTTCAGATGGTACATTTACCGGAATTGATCCCGATTCTGATCTGCAGTTTGCGATCGGGTAGCGGGGCGAAGTCCATGTCCATAACCGTCTGCATGATTTGCAGTGCTAGACTAGCGGTTTCGCTGGCGTGCTGGTTGCCGTTTTTATCTGGAATCCCACTGGCGACCTATTGGACAACCGGACGATGAGTTTATTTGCCGACATCAGCTTGATGAGAAGCGGACAATGAGCTTTGGTTGGCTTGGCTTCACCGCTTCACCGCTCAGAACACTACGTACCATGTACTCTTCGCCTCGATTTTCCACTTTTAACACGTCATAATTATCTACGTAAAGGGTAAAATTGGTTTAAACAGTTACTATTAGAAGTAATGCCATTTACGCTAAAACTCAGATATTCAGTGTTATTATTGGTTTATGTCGATGCACATTGTACAGTAAATAGCAAAAATCATTTACCCTTGCAATATAAACATTAAACATGGAAGTTTGATAATGCTGTACAAACAGTTTGATAATTCTGTACCAGTTAGAGTATCCAGTGCACTCCAGCATTCACTCACGACCTTCACAACTTCTGTTGGGGAATTTTGGAACTGCAATGCATGCGCAGATATATCATACCATAAGCGATATTTTTTGTTTTCAGACATATATGAAATGTGGCGATTCTGATATTAACAGCAAAAACGAACTTTTTGTAGATTGAAAAAATTTACAAGAAACGAGTGTTTGCTATAGAAATCTTTTTTATTATTAATTTTGGCTGAATGACCGAATGCAAAAGGCAAAAATGTGCCGCATAATCACACAACACACATCCCAAATATCGATTTCACATCCTTTTAAATATTTGGGACGTATTCATGTGGTTTAAAAAAAAACAAAAATGTCTGTGCAGGGCACTGCATGCCCATAATTATCGGTTCCACGTTCTTCAGAATAATGATAGGCATTTGCAGATATTTTTGTGCTTCAGTCAAAATGGACCGGGTTAACAGGGTTATGTCCCCAAACTCTTACTGAAGCACTTACCAAACTACGTTGAAGTCAAATAATCGAACAAACATGATGGTGACCTCATCATACGGCTGCAAAACGACTTGCTCCAAATACAAGCACACTGTAGCAAACATTGCACTAGATTCCCACCTCACAAAAATAATGTTCTCCTGTATCCATCATTTTTTCGATTATGTGCCTGAACAAAATAATTTCCCGATCGTCAGTAACCGGCCAACCGTTAATACACCGGGCGGTCTGCAATGCCTTACTTCGGTATCATGGACATCAGCAAAGAATCACCACGCCGCTGCCATTCGTCTAACTTCCTCAGTGAATCTTCCAGCTGTTTGCTTTTTTCTGCTTCTTTTTGAAAATGTCGGAATGTGTTCTGCTGGGAATGCCACCCGCACGCGGCCAAATCCGCGGATCCGCTGTGGAGCGGCAGATCACTCAGATAGAAGCCGATGCGCTCTAAATCGGAAAGGTCATTGAGTCTGAAAAAAGAAACCCCGCCGTGAGGCACGACAACGGTTCAGTAATTTATCGGGTCAATTTGGCGCGTACGTTGGCGTTGAGCTTATGAATAGGACGCGCTGGGTGGCAGTTTGTTTGAATTCTCCCTTGAGCAGTACTCGGTGAGGTGACAGGAATTTCTGTTTGGTGTAAGGATTTTCCACGCATATAGTGGGCACCGATTCCAGTTCGATGACGACATCTTGCAAGTGTAAAATCTACGAAAAGCCGCAAGAATATAGTTATACCTACTTGTGCTATCATATTGTCGCTAACGGCATCGTTAAGCAAATGGTGCTGCGAATATTGTACCTGTATAGACTGTACACAATCATATGAATGCTATTCGTAAACTATTATATCATCCTGCTTGGCGTTTCCGTATAACTGCGTTGCAGGCCAAAATTACAAGTCAGTATAGTACGAGTATTACTCGACAACCATCAACTTAAAAAAAAATTTGTTGAAACTCGTAGTACTTATATGCGTTTTCAGCATTAACTGCTGTTGTCGTACCTCTTCGAATGTCAAATTAAAAGTGGGTTGCGCTGGTCGGAAAAACTCCGCCAACGGTCGGCCGGCAACTTTGTCTTCGAACAACCGTTGCAGCCGGATACTGCACATCTTGACTATCAGCTGTTCGTCCAGAACTGTAACGACATGACATCAGAACCCGTCTACGATCAGGCGTCAAGTGTAACGTGATTAATTTCCCACTGAAAAAAGGGACTGACACGACGCGACGCCACTGTTACGACACCATGTGCACGCGTGCGCCACACCAACGAATGAGACAGTTTAATCCAACTCACAGAGACTATAGGGAAGAATATTGAAAAATGTCTGCGAGTTAAGGCAGGGGAACCGGGGTGTAAACTGGCGATTGTAACCGGATATTGAGCCTGCATATCCGGTATTGGGGAAATCCAGACGTAATACTGACAGATAGGATCCACGCTGTGACAGCTCGCGCTCTTCCATCACGCTGACATTGAAGTAGGGCTTATTGAAGAATTTGCTGTTAGTGGCTAATTCTTTCAACTGTCCAAGATAAAGAAAAGCAAGTCACGTGCCCCGGGCCATGTGTCAAATTGTACATGTAGTGACACTGGGAAAATGTCGTCATGTTGATAATTCTGCAGTTATGCAAGGCAGCGGAATGCAATATTTCCTTTGGTTACCTGACCGGTGACATAGGGAGCGAAGCCTTGCCGCACCGATTCATAATGCAGCACCATACCGGATACATCCTCAGCGACAACCACGAAGGATGGATGGATCATGCGGGGATAACTGTAGCGCATGCAGTGATGGAGGTGGTTCATGTTGCGAATTAAATCACGAAAATGCCGGCCCGACACGCGAAGAATCTGCATTACATACAATATTTCATAAAATAATCTTTTTAATATCTTTGTACTTTGCAAACAGTGTATTACGTACCCTGTCGTGTCCATATGTATGGCAATACTGCAATAGCATTAAATTAATTAAACTTATTTTGCTAACACTCATTAGCTAATTACATAAGTATGCTGTAAGTTGTATACTGTATATAACTGATATCTTCAAAATTCCAAAGAAATAAATAAACTTTACAAGCAACCTAACTACTCGCATAATTCAAAATCTAATGGTTAAGCAAAATCTTTTAGAACGCTTGGCAGCCAGACATTCTTGATCAGCGATGCGTAACCGTCACCTAATGAATCCCATGACGAACGACAATGCCGACAACACTGCACTGTCAGCAAATTAACCCGCAGACGTCTTCCATGGTAATTGTAATTACTTTTTTCTTATCAATAAAATCAGCCGATCAATCTATCAGCGAATCAATAGTACAATGCTAATACGATTAACCTGCTTTTACATCTTTCATTGCGGCCATAAACCGGCGTAATTATGCAGTTATAACGCGCAACCCAGATATCACATACCAAGACGAACATCCTCCCGAAAATCTCCAAATAAAACGCCGGTTCTTTGTCCTCCTCCAGCACCCGGGCGGCGGTCTGTACCAGCGCCTTTACATACTTATCCGGGTAGACTTCGTGCGTGTTGAAAACCGTCACCGGAATGCCGGCACATTCGATGACCTCTTGATACAGCAGATCGCCATAGGTCTGCTGCAGATAGGCCGCCATAGACTGGATGACCATGCCGTACATTTTGGGCGACAGCTGTTGAAATAATCAAGTAGTCGGTGGGATCAGGCATTTACACGCAGAACACACAACACTACACAGTACACACTACCAATTTTCTGGCTGCCTGTCGCTGTTATATTATTACATGCTCAAGTTCGCGATCCCCGTCATTTGTTGTTTGATGTGAAGAAAATGAAGTTAAGCGTGGCCGGATGTGATAGCCTGATGAATGGCTCCGCGTCGCCGGGGTATATATTGTATGCAACGGCTAACACGTACGCTCTAATTGAATGCGCCACTGTTGTAACAGTAGCTAATGGCAGTCAAGCAGGCTTGCTGCTGATCTTTTGTAAGCGTATATATCTTGAGCGTACGTTTGATTGGCCGGCGTAGCGCGCTCCAGTTGGGACAAATCTCCGTCTCCGCAGTGGAAATAAGGGACTTTTGCAACAGTACCATTTTCTTAATGATACAACGGCACCCAGCAATATCTCTTGTTAAAACCACTGCAGATGAAGTGGTGCTATTTTTTTTACTGCATTTAATGGAAGTGCGCTGGAGATTTAATAAAGAAATTAGCGCTCCACTTGCAGCGTACAACGAGATGAGCCTCGCGACGCTAGTGGCGGAGCCAGTCATTTTCTGGATCGATAGGTTTTGTAATAATGCAGTCAGGCGAGGGTGTACTGCGCCCTGCAGATAAGGAAGTGAAATGGGGCTACCGGCAACGTCAGTGTCAATTGGTGTTTTGCACGACTGGGGTATTGTTGCTAATCTATTGGGTCATAGGGGAGTTTTTCTTTGTAATCATCCAAATAGTTTTCCACATAGCGCGAGTCAGTGTAATCAACCCCACACTAATACTTTCTTCCCTGATGTATCCCATAATTGGCGGTGGACTTTTTGCACGGTAGGCATTGCAATTCTTTATGAATGGGACAACAGGGTATATGCTGCTTGCTTCAAGGTTTCAAGGATACGCCAAAGCGTGGAACGGCAGTGGAGTCAATAAGCCATTTTCAGTGCATATTAATCAGAAATGTCCAGCTCGGTTGCGGGCTATACAATTATACTACGCTTTCGAAGCACCAAATGAACCATATAGCAGATTTCACTTAAACGACAAAACGGTTCTTATTTACATACGTACGACGGTACGAGTATAAATACCTTGTTTTCTACATACTGTGAAACGAAATGGGTTGAAAAAAGGAATTTACTACTTAGGATCGTTTTATGTCGAATAAACGGTTGGCTAAAATAAGGGAATTAGTGACGATAGCGTTATTAGGCGACGTATTTACGACTTACGAATACGCATATTCAAGAGATTACGCATCTTTCAACATCAGTAAGTGTTTTGCATTTTTGTAGTTTTACCTGACAATCAGCTACCGTAAAATTGGCTGTTTTTACTTACCGCACTTAGTCTATAATGATATTACGTGATCCACCGTGCATTTTCTAGCTGTGAATTTAGTTACCCTGTGAAAACATACATGTATAAGCCCGATAAGTTTGGACTGTTTGGTTGTAAATTTGTTAAGGGAAGTGACCTGATACATATTATATGATATCAAATTGGTGTGCATGCGCGGGAAAGCAACATGCAAGAACTATGTCACAGCTTTGGGGGTCTGTGTGCCGAATCCAAATCATGAAAAATAGCGACTGTATTAAGACAAATTATCATTTGCTTATGAAATACCGCTTACAATTGTAATTAAATACCGACGCGAAACGCCCATCTGAATCATGGTCATGAAGTGTTACGCTTTATCTGCATCACAGTGTACGACCTTTCATATCGTCGAACGCGCAATCAGCAATGTGCCCACGCATGCTTAGTGCGATGACTTCTACAACAAGGCTTAGAAAGAGCACATAATCCAATGTCGACGATAATTGCCGATTAGGATTTCCGAGCCCGCTTACCGTTCAGCTTCGACCAATTCTATTATAAGATCAACGCATTTCCCATCCCGGAATAGCTACATAAATTTACATTGTTCATTTTTCCGAAAATTTTGTCGATTCGTCCGTTTCGAAGAGCGATATCCTTTGGTCGCACAAAGCATAATACTAGTTATGCTGAGCAAGCTATGGACACAAGCACAGCGTATGGTCCTTTCAGACGCAGAAATGGAAACGAGTCTATAAATGCCGATAAATACTTTGCAAACAGCAGATCCGTTTTTCACTAGGATCGGTCCCTTATTACGTACAGCGTATTCCTATGGTTCCGTGCGGCAACGATATAAAGCCATCGCGTAACCCAAATGCCGGCCTCTCGTACAGATCTTTGCCGCGTCAAAACTGTGCATGCTTTACTGTTTTGTGGATATATAGTTCAGATAAAGGTTATTTATTCCAACTGTGCACGGAATACAGAGAAATTGTGACATATACGCTGATAATACGCAGGACACCGCACGCGATTTAGTATCATTCACGGATTTAACTGTCTCAGACTCTCAGACCGTCATCTGATTAGTCATCACCTCAATGACCAACTTCCTGTATCGGTTGATGTCAAGCTTTTATCCTGATTGCGGAAGTCTTTTTTTGCCTATTTGTCTTGAACTATATATGCATTTTTTATCCGAAATTCTTGAACTATCCAGAGGCGGACGTATTGCTGTTTAACGGTTTGGCGCACGGTCAGTTAGCGGAAAACTATACTTACCATTGTCGGCATCGATGGCTACCGTAACAGCCGTAGGTACTCCCGACGGGTCACAGTGGTTAGTAACCAACCAATCATCGGCTTTCGGTGATGGGACAATGGTTCTCGCCCCATTCTCGAGTCCGGCATGGTGCTACGCTTCCGTCGCCGCTTTAGCATCCAGTCTGATTTCCGTGCCGTTAAACGGATTCGTCCTGCTATCGTTTCTACGTGACCGCCACCTCCAGACACCGTTTGGCGTGTATATAATCATCCTGATGATAAGCAACTTAGCCTGGGTCATCTTTAAACAGACACTGGATATCATCAATAACCTTTACTTTTACTATTGGTGGCTGGGTGAACCGTTGTGTAAGATGTACAAATACGGAACTTACGTTTATTCCGGCGTGATTTTATACCTGCACGTGCTGATAACGGCCAACCGCATCTGGGCCATAACCTTCCCGGTCGCGTACCGCAATTATCACTCCAAACAAACGGCCGCGATACTCTGTCTGGCCGTTGTCGTATTCGTCAACGTCGTAGCGCTACCGGCCTACATCGTGGATTTGTCGTATTACGCGTTGCCGGCTACGATTGGTTGCTATATCGATATAATCTCCGTGTGGGGGTGGCTGTTTCTGGCACAGGTTGTCGTGTACGATCTGCCGGTGATATTCGTGGCGGCGGCCTACCCTTGGCTGTTGATACAGTATAAAACCCAACGGCGCACCGATCTCCATCGTTTGGAAACCCTGGCCAAGGGACCCACAGGAACCACCAAACGGATGCTCAAAATCGAGGCGGCCGGATCCAGTGGGTATGCGTCGGATTCGCGAGAAGCTCCGCCCCCGCCGCCCGGTGAAAAGTTCAAGGGTCCAGCGACAGTGCGACTGCCGGCGAGCGAAGGTGCGACAAAGCCGCGGCGGCGGCGTGTGTCGTCACGGGCGTTTCTGGTCATCAGCTTCCTGACGGCTAGCATTATCGTATGCTGGGGTCCGACGCAAGTTTACACGACTATTATGATGTTTACACTGCAGGAAAACAAGACGGCCGACGAAGTGTGCTTTGTTCTGTATGTGGTACAATCGGTTGTTGATCCCATTGCCTTTATTTTCGTTTTAAGAGATTTGAGGCAATCGGTGCACGACCGGTTGAGACGGTGGGCACGGGTGTTTCGATGTGTGTAGTACTCGTAACAGCAAAAAAAAAACTAAATTAATTAGGAAAGTGCACTCGCTTCTGGCGGGCACTGCATGACCGAAGCGTCGCAGAAATAAGTACTGCAGCGGGGTCACCAGTTTATAGACCACTTTCAGCTCCGGCCGCTGCTTTTGCCCATCCGGCCGCTGCTTTTGCCTGATGGGCAAAAGCAGCGGCCTGCCTTGTAGACCGAGCAATGTGTATAAAATGTAAATTTGCGAACACTCTGTGGTTTAACTTGTAACCGCTAAAGTACATAATAACTTTGTTGGGTAACTCCTGGTGACAGCAAATATACAATTTTAGCGTTAAAAAATTTCACTCCAAAATTAGCATGAGACATTAGGTACCGGTTTTAGAAATGGCTGTTCTTGATCAAATCAAATTATAAAGCTTAAAAATTACATGTAGTCCCATGCTACCAAGGACTCAATCTGCTTCCTCGATTACGTTAATGCAAAGACATTTCTAAAAATATTAAAACAATTATTCGACTAATAATGTTGAATTTGTTGACTAATAATGTTGAAAAATGCATCAAGCATGCTAAAATTAGCAGGAGACACTGGGCACCGATCCGATCAAAGTCTGTACAACTACAGTCTGTATATTAGAAGATATAGCGCTAGTTTACGGTCAACTCGGTTTCGGTCCGGTTCGGCTCGGTTTCGGTCCGGTTTTCAGTCGAACCGGTTTGGAGCCGGTTTGAACCGGTTGTTCCCCTTTCTTTGGTTTATTTTTCCCCACCCTCTTTTTTCTATGAACATGAATAAACATGCATGATACAGACAGTAAAACTAACAGAAGAAAGCCCAGCACTTATGAAAAATGACACCCCGACAAATCGGACACATCAGCAGCCTGCTTGAACATTTCGCACAGCAAACTAAATGACCGCATGGTCTGAACATGATTTCCGAATCACTTTCATAGCATACTTTACAGCGTAATTTCTCTTTGGGGTCTTCGGAAGTTGTAGGTGCTGCAGCTTTTCGCGTTAGTCCACAACATGTTGTTTCGGCTTCTTGGCGTTTTTACGAACATCGATGATGAATGCTGAGCCCTTTGTTTGTACAAGATACGGACATTTCGGGTAAGTCCAAGCGTGCTCTTCCCACGGAACATCATCTTTGTCCCAAGCATAAAGTGCACCACCACAGTGAAAGCAGCGTACACAGTCATCCCGGCCTTCATAATAAAAGCCGGCTGCAGCCATATCCCTGGGATGCTGGTGTTTGTTAACAGGCCATTCAGCATAAGTAGCAAAGCGTGTCTTGTAGTCTTTCATTGCCGGTGAGTGCGGAATGTGTTTTCTTGATTCGGAACCCTCCTTAGCCCTAACACAGTCTGGACGTGCTAAACGGTGTCGGTAGTATGGTTTATACCGTGAGTTCACCCAGTCACCCATAATAAGGCCACAGTATGCGCATTGGATTTCGTCATGCTGCCCTTGATAAAGGCAAGGGACTGATCCGCCCAGTTTTCAAAACTCTCGAAGCGATTGCTCATCTGTGTCATATCCATTTTGGCTACCAACTGAACAACCGAACTGAAATGCTAGGGTTTATATAGTATCTATCAGGCGTGACAACTCAAGGCAAAACCCCTAGTACAGTGCGCTCGCCAGCTATTGGTTCATCACCGTTTAGCCCAACCCCTAGTTATACTGTAAGATTATCGTATGGGTCGGATTCGTTGTCTCCAAGTACAGCATTACTTGGAGTATTAGACTTGAACTATTGGTCACTGTCTTGTGTCTTTGTGGTAGAGGTTTAGCCTGGAACTAATGTTGTGGTATGTTGTACTACTGTTGTACTAATGTTGTACTAGCCAACTGTGTTATGTTGTAGTGGGTGGCGATTTGTATTAAACTACGTTAAACAGAGTGTGTGGTGCCATGTATTAAACTATGCTGACTAGCTTGTTTATAAGCACGAAGAAGCTCTGTCTAGCTTAGTCATTAAATCAAGTTTTTAGTCTATCTGTATTGGTATAATTGTAACAATGATAGGTCCGGCTGTAGAGGTTAACATACTATTACATTTTGTACCCATTCATTAAGTAAAAGAATGTCACAATTAGCTCCGGTTAGCTTTCCACGAATACGGAACTATCGTATTGTTTTATGAGATGAGTGGCATCGTTCTTTGAATATTAAATGCTTTCAATCCGGGTTCAACGTGTTTGTAGTCTGGAGTTTATTGTATATCAAATTATACACTAGCGGTCTATGGGTCAATAAAACAAAAGCCTTTTATGAACATAGATTTCATTAGTATCCGGGTTAATAAGATAGCTAGTGACGTAACACAGTGGTCCGAGCGAAGAGACCAGCGCCCTCTCGGTGTGTGCGCGTGAAGCCGATGCCCAATTTCAAGTCTGTGTATTTTAGATGGTTGTTGTATCAGTATGGATGTATTAGTTTAAGCCCGCCCACATGAGTTCTCTCTGATATTAGCGCGTTTCAGTCACTCATTGTTTTAGGAACGGTTTTTACTGGTTGATTCCAAACTGAAGTACGACCCCAAAGGTTTCTCTCTGATATTAGCGCGTTTCAGTCACTCATTGTTTTAGGAACGATTTTTACTGGTTGATTGGAAACTGCAGTACGCCCACGTAGGTTTCTCTCTGATATTAGCACGTTCCAGTTACTTTCGGTAATACAAGTAATGGTGGTATTGTTCAGTGAAACGTTACGGTTGGTTACTAGTCTAAACGTCAATTTTTAGTCTGGTCAACAGAGTTCAGTTAACGGGTGGCGTAGTACAAGTAATTAAAACAATAGTTAATACGTTGTTTTAAATTTTGAGGTTTGAAACCTACACTTTTTTGAGTATAAAACCTCAGCGGCCAAGCAAATTTTTTCATTCCAAAGTTTTTTAATCCTATCCACTTACCTTGGAATACCTGCCTGGATCCCCTCATATTTTCAGTTAGTTCAGTTTATCTTTTGCTCCATGGCTCCTTCAAGTATCTTGCGGATTATCAGGAGTGGTGCCGCCAGCAATGTGGTAAGTCTTATCCATTTTTTTTAAAAATCTTTATAATTTTTTAATTTTTTTATTATCGAAATTATCTAATAGTATTGTTCTAAGAGAAAAATATTTGTAGCTATAATCAAGGGGTTGAAAACCCAGTGGGATGGTTTTTCGGAGCAAGAGCAACGGGAGTGTGCCCAGTATAATATCGGTACGTTTTCGTTATTATTTGTTAAAAGGTTTGAACTTTAACAATGAAAATTTAATTTATTAGATCTGTGTGCAAGTGTCAAGAAGTTTGTCGAAAGCTGTAGATGGAGTAAGCCGGGAAAGGAGGTAGACCGTTTGCAACATGCGGTCAACCGGTTGGAGGTATATTGATTTTTATTTAATTTCACAAAAATAATGTTACATCTGTATAATGTGTTTAGTGGTCGGTTGCCTTCTTGAGTTGTGACATTGTTCCCGATCCGCGTCGTACCAACTTACAACTGGATACGGTCCCCATCATAATGGCAGGCAGTGTGGAGCGTGACCGAAAGAAGAAAGAGAAGCTGAAGGCCAAGTCTTCATCATCAGTGAAGCCATCCACTTCCAAGGCCAAGCCGAAGAAGAAGAAGCAGAACCCAGCTAAGCGTGTAATCCAATCACCAACACCCTCTCCACCGTCAAGCCGTTCTCCAACCCCGGACTTTGGCGGTTACGATTTCACCCGGCAGCGGGAGCCCACCCCCCAACCATCGCCACATGTCTTCTCTGAGCCAGCTCAGCCTACTCCACCTTTGCCGGCGGCTGTCATCACTGAGCCACCTCAGCCTACTCCACCATTGGCAGTGTCTGTCATCACTGAGCAACCTCAGCCTACTCCACCATTGCCAGCGGCTGTCATCACTGAGCAACCTCAGCCTACTCCACCATTGGCAGTGTCTGTCACTGCTGACCATCCGGCTACTATGCATATGGAGTTTCCTGTTAGCCAGACCGCCATTGTTTCCAAGGGTATTATTACATTCCAGGCAACGTTCGCTGACGGTACGACCATTGAAGACACACTACCTGTCCCTCCCACTATTCCTACTCCACCGTCTTCACACTTCAAGGTGCCTTTGCCTATGAATAACGGAATTCTCATCCCGCAGAAGTTTACTTTCCCGAATACTCAAACCGTGATTACCGTGAAAGACGATCCACTTGGCAGTGCCGAAAATCCTATCATCATTGAAGACAAAGAAGAGCCGCCCGTCATTACTTTGGATGACTCTGACAGTTCGGACGACGAAGGTATGAGAACGCTTTGCTTTGAGTCGGATAATGGGGGTGGAGCGGTCGTTTTGGACGGAGGCCAGGATACCGACATGGAGGACAATGATGAAGACGGCGGTAATGAAATGGACGACGGATTCTTAGGAGACATGGACGAAGATGATTTCGAGCCGCCATTTACGTCTACTCAGTATTCATTGGACAACAATGCAATGGAGGACACAGCTGGTATGACGGCAGTGGAGGGCTGGTTGAACGCATTTGGTTATTACTTAGACTGATGAATTGTTTTCTCTTCTTTATGCTGTTAACTAAGCTAAACCATTTTGCTAATGATGCTTTTATGCAACTTGCGGTTGATGGGTACAATGTTGTTAAGAATATGTTAACAATAACAATATGTCTAACAATAACTTCTTGATGTGAACTCTGAATGAAATCAGTTGTCGGTCTATTAAACTGTTTGTTTAAAAAAAAAAAAGAGATATGCGGGTTTAATGACTTGTCGCAGCAACACAAAAGCGCTTTAGAATGAAGTGCAACATAGGTCCATAAGCGAGCGCGCGCGACCGCGGCAGACCGAGGCGCGCGCGTTACGTCACTAGCTATCTTATTAACCCGGATGTTCATAAAAGGCTTTTGTTTTATTGACCCATAGACCGCTAGTGTATAATTTGATATACAATAAACTCCAGACTACAAACACGTTGAACCCGGATTGAAAGCATTTAATATTCAAAGAACGATGCCACTCATCTCATAAAACAATACGATAGTTCCGTATTCGTGGAAAGCTAACCGGAGCTAATTGTGACATTCTTTTACTTAATGAATGGGTACAAAATGTAATAGTATGTTAACCTCTACAGCCGGACCTATCATTGTTACAATTATACCAATACAGATAGACTAAAAACTTGATTTAATGACTAAGCTAGACAGAGCTTCTTCGTGCTTATAAACAAGCTAGTCAGCATAGTTTAATACATGGCACCACACACTCTGTTTAACGTAGTTTAATACAAATCGCCACCCACTACAACATAACACAGTTGGCTAGTACAACATTAGTACAACAGTAGTACAACATACCACAACATTAGTTCCAGGCTAAACCTCTACCACAAAGACACAAGACAGTGACCAATAGTTCAAGTCCTGGATTCCTAACAAGCAAAACAATTTTTAAAAAACAAGAAATATTAAAAATTAGGCAAATTGCAAGTTAATTATAGCGGCGACGGCGAGGGTCTGATTCATTTGGCGAATCGGTGGAGCGCTTTCGCGTAGTCGGCTGGCTGTAAATTTCCTCCGGATAATGGTCCCGGGGTGAGTTAGCGATGCGGTTGATCTGGTCAAGGATGAAAGGCTGGGAAAGAAGGCTATTGATTCTTTCAACGGCGGTCTGGTCGTCTGGTGAATAGTCTTGTACTGGCGTTGATGCGCGAGGAGGCGTTGAATGGAACGGTGTTGGCGGGCGGCGGCGGCGTTGCGGTGCATTCACAAAGCGTGGTCGGCATGGATTGCGTGTCGGTGTAGTAAAAGCATCAGACGTGGAAGGCATTGTGGGTGACGGTGGAGTTGAAGAGCGGCGGCGTCCACCTCGTGGCGCATCCAAAAGACGTGAGCGGTATGGACTGCTGGCAGAAGATGGTGACGTCAAGCGAATCAAATTGAAAGGCTGTGTGCGAGTCGGTGAAGGCATTCGATCCCGGGCAACGCGGGCAACATTCCAACGAGAGGTATGTGCTGGCTCCGTAAGGTAATGGCTCAAAGTTGACATGTCAGGAGAAGCGGGACTGTACTCCACCATCTGGGTCGGTTCCGGTGTGCGAGAACGTTGTGGCAGGGAAAATGCTAGCTCTTGCTCGTGGTCGTCAGGCAACGGAGAGTAGACGTTCTCGTAAGCGGCAGTATAGACGAAGCCGTCGTTGATTGGAGTGTAGATGTGGCGGGTGTTGTCTGGAGGATAGTCGTTGGCTGGAGTGTAGAAGCCAGTAGGTGGTTGTGGTGGTGGTGGATTTGGCGGTGCGTAAAGCTGCAAGGTGGGTAAGGTATTCTCACCAATGTACGGCACGGTGCCGGTCACGCCAAACTGGTAGACTGAATTGTAGGCGGCGCAAGGGCCATACGGACCAACCAAAGAAATAAGACGGGCGTCATGGAAAAACTGAATGTCTCCCTATAAATGGTAGAAAACTATACTATAGAAAGAATGCGTCTAATATATTTTTGCTAACAAAATATATCACTTCTTTGAAGACGGGGCAATAAACTAAACCAAAACTATCGTGGAACTTACCAAAATCATATTAGCCAGATGGATAGCATGCACCCAGGCATCCGGAAGATTATCCATGGCGCTTACGTTTGGACGTCGGGCCAGCATATCACGGCGTATACGGGTAGCAATTTCTGTTTAATTTAATTTTGTTGCAATAATAGACAAAAAAATCAATTGGAAAATTATCTTACCGAATGCTCTATTGGAGATGGCAGCCAGCTCTGCAGTCGTTGGCGTGCGAGTGAACACATGAAAAAACTGGTCGATCTCCAGGCAAGCGTTAGCAAACGGGCAACCAGGATCCACCAAGTTGTATGGGCGATACACGCCATCGGAGGAAGTGGATGATGCGTAGGACAATGAGGATGAAGAAGATCCGGTAGATGCTACTGAATCTGCTCGGGAAGACATTATGTAAAGGTCACTCGTTAACTCAAGCTTACTAAATCTACAGTGCTGTTATAAGGTAACAGTAAAAGATCCAAGAAGCGTCCAAAAACTACTGCTCAAGCAACTGATGGTTTAACTGTGGCTGCAGTTGGTTTATATTAGCAAAAATTTGGTTTCCAGATTTTTCACCGTACTTGCCTTTTGTTTCCTTACAGTCGGTCTGGTTAAGGCTCTTTCTCCTTCGTAAGACTAAACCTTACTGTTTCCGTACATACGTGTAAGGGAAAACTTTTAACCATCAAGGCACGAAGCATACGGCTGAGTTTCTTAGTACAAATGTTAAGAGAAAAGACAAGTTTTTGTGGAATTTTGGTATGCGTTGAAGTAAAGGAAAGTTGAGAGGAGACCTATGACAAGAGGTTAGAGCGCAAGCAATAAACAGTAATCCGTCTCGCGACCCGGATAAGAGCCATTATGTTCTTGTTTTTCTGGGTCAAGCGACGATTTGATTTACCCTGCATCCGTATCTTAGATCCTGAATAAGTCGCGTCAGCGACCTGATTTCTATTGTTTGAGAATTTTGGTATAATGGCTGTCGTTCTCCTATCCATTTGCCCTGATGCCTAGCTAATATCCCGGATTTGTCGCGACACTGACTAAGATTGCATTGTGTTGCTACCGACATAATCCTGTTTATCTGGGTTACACGTTCTTTTGATTTGGTCTGGTACCTTGATATTTGGGAGCCGGATTCCGTCGCGACTTCCATTGTTTAAAAAACGGTTTTTCCGGATTCTTACAATAGTTCTCCTCGGCCCTTTTTACCGAATGGGTCATAAGGAATTTTCCTTGGTAGCTCCACGTATCATACAGCCCAACCCACATCGTTAGAGAACCAGTGTCCACCAGACCAAAAACTCTCTGCTTCGGACCACATCAGTCTGGTCAAGGGTAGTGGGAGTTTACAAATCACCTACAGCCAATGGCTCCGCACCAGGAAAAATGTTGAGTTCCAAGCCAGAGGATATAAGTCGATTTCTCTAGCACAAAATCAAATCATTCGGACAGTTTTCTTTTACACACCACTGGAACTGGATCTTCAGCATCTCCCATGGCTATTCCTGATTTTCCTGACGAGTTTCCACTGCTTGAAGAGTACACCGGTAAGTTCAAACAGTATGCACTGCTAACTTATTTATTTACAAAAGCTGTCAAATTTAATTTTCTAATATTAGCAATGGTGACCTTTCATAGTTAGATTGAGGCTCTTTATAACATGGTTATTACTCGAATGCCAAAAGAAAACCTCGGCTTCTTATAGAGATCGCAAATGAATTGTTTTCGGATTGGTTGGCTCTCAACCACTGCCGCAGAATCCGGCGTTATTCTGGCTACTTCAACCTAGCCTATGCGTTGTGGATTGACCTTGCTCACTACATCCGCCATTATGATGCTCTCGTCTTGTTTCTCCATATCGCTGAATTTCTGGTAAGCATCCACTGTATTTCAGCTGTAAATCTTATTCTTCACCTAAATTTGCACTTCTCAATTCTCCTTTGACTTTGGTTTACGATTTATCGCTAATTTTAAAATTTTCCATGTAGAAACAACTTCACGATTTCTACTATCGGCTCATTGTTCCCACTCCGGATTTGCCTGACGAATTTCCACTACTTGCACAGTACATTGGTGAGCCACTGAATTTTCGTGAAGATTTCCGTGTTCGTCTAATCCAATACTTATAACATGCTTAACCTTTTAGAGCAAGCCAACGATTTGATTTCGGACTGGGCTTCACGTACTGAGTTTGACCAGATCCACACCTACTACACTTACTACCAGCGGGCCAAGAATATGTGGTTCGATCTTCAGCGTTACACCCGCAATGCTGGCGTCCTCCTCTTGTTTCTCCGTCTAACTGATTTTATGGTAAGAACCCTCACCGTTGATGTATTTTTCTGTGCATAGTTTAACTTATATTCAATGCATGGCGTTTGTAGAAGCGGCTGCACGACTTTTACTACGAACGCATTGCTGGCGCCCCGGACAACTCGCTTGACTCGGGTTTCTTCGAGGGCGATCCGTCGGATGAAGCTGAAAGCGACGTGGGTGACGAAAACGAAGAAGAAGGTGAACACGTTCTTGCGGATGACACGTTGGAGAGTGAGCCGGCGACTGAAGCTGAAGAAGGAGAAATCGACGACGCGGTTCCGGAGACCGAAGCCGAAGAGGAACTGGACGACACTCTCCTGGTCGGAGACATTGACTTGGAAGAATACCTGAACAGCACTGAGCCTGCGGAGACTGTCGTAGGTGGCAACAAACGGAAGCATTCGGAAGACGACGACGACAACGACGAACCGCCTACCAAGAAGCAAGAGACTGAGGTGAACACCCAAAACTAAAATGTCGTAGTGCTTTTCTTTTATGGTTTTGTTTTTACATACAATACATACCATGGGATAACGGCAGTACAGTTTTCATACCTCTCATTTGATACCGCATACCGTGGGATAATGGTTACAGTATTAGTGGAATTACAGTGTTGTGGTAATGGTGTAGACTGTTTTCGATGGAGATGGTTGTTGTTGGAAATAATACAACGTGGTTCTTTTTCGTTAGTTTTTCACGTTCAAACATGTCGAAAAAGGCCGAGCAGTTACTTACCGGCGCTGCTAGCGCCGGTAAGTATCCACTCGCGCCCACTGGAACGCCCAAAGGTGTGGCTTAAACACTGTTAACCAATTGCATCGCATTACAGAAAACATCAGACCAATAAGCACACGCTGCAGTAATTCAGCTCGTGTATAAAACCCGCGCGGCACGAGATTTTTCTTCATTTTAATCCCTCACATCTGGCGAAAAAATGACTTATGAGTTGTCTGCATCTGATCATGCGGCTATTGCGGCCATACTCAGTGAGCCGTGGATGGATGTTGATGATGAGCAGCAGCAGCAAGCTAACGATGCGTACCAGTTAACCGTTGAAGATCAAGCAGCTTTTGATCACATGCTTGCTAATCCCAATGAGTTCAATGAACAGACTCTAGCAACGGCTTTGCTGCATCTGGATCAGGCTGATCAGTTGAGCCCCGGATCTTTAGCTGCCGCTCTTGCTCTTGCGCAACTGGACGACTGGCAGTATGAAGATCCTCAAGTGCCGCAAGCTGGTGGAAAAGCGGTCCGTGATGAATCGCTGCCCGATTTCTCAGGTCTATTCCAGTTGGTCAAAGAGTCGGAACGCGTTTTCAAAACATTCAACAGCACTGAACAGAAATACCGTGTCCAGATAGCCTCGCTACCGCGAATATTTGCAAAAGAAGAAACCATGCTCATCATGCCGGAAATCTTGCGCGTCATAATGGATTTGTGTTTTAAAGAATTTGCCCCGACGGACCGCGTTGTTGTGGCTCTTAAATCGGATGGGCTTGAAAGAGCGTTTTATTTAACCATGCGAAAGCTCTCTGACTTTAGCATACCCGCTTTTATGCATCGTATTGAGCTTCTGAACTCCGGCCAGAAGTTGGTGATTGACGATTCTTTCACCATACGGATTTGGCGTTCTATCATGCCGGCTGGTGGATCCTGGTTCCTCAGGCATCAGCACGTTAAGCATGACAGAAATCGTTTCAAGAAATCCATTGTAAGCGTTCGTGTAGGGAATAACTTGTGCTTACCCGCCGCATTGTTCCTGGGGAAATTTCGCCTGACGCATGACCTTGAAGTTCCGCAGCATAAAAATAAATGGTACAATTATATTCGCGCTAACCGCACTCACAACTTGGAAGCGGAGGCCGCCAAGATAATGAATAACTGCGATCTGCAACCCGGCCATTACTGCGACCTTGATGTCTTAGGCGTGCTACAGGAAAATGAATTTCCCGAGTTTCAAATTAAAGTTATATCGGCCAATCAAGGCGATATGATTATTGCACGGGTACCCGAGCGTAAAACCCATGATATGCAGGAGATTTTTTTGTTGCTGGACAATGAGCATTTTGACCTGGTCACAACCGCGACAGGCTTTTACTGCTCTCCCTACTTCTGCAATGATTGCGATCGACCGTATCATCATAAAGAACGTCATCGTTGCGAGGGGAAATGTAGGTCGTGCTACCGCAACAAGAGCGATTGTCTGGTGGACAACCCAATCTCCTGCACTGAATGCAGCCGTCGGTTCCACAACCAACAGTGTTTCGATATCCATAAGAAGAAAAGGAAAAATGGAAAGAATTATTGCGAGCAAATGTTCATCTGCCAGGCATGCGGTGTTTTTGTAAATCTTTCCAGTCGTGGCAAAAACGTAAAACACCAGTGCGGAGAAATTTATTGCAACACGTGCAATGGTTTTTTTCTTCAAGCTACGCATTTGTGCTACATAAAACCGCTCAAGGCACCGCCACCATGGCAGCAAGAAGAAATGAAATACATTTTCTTCGATTACGAAACCTACAACGATCCAGTGAATGGTCATGTGCCCACATGCATCGTTGCGCAATATGCTGATGGTTCGGAAGTACGTTTTCCGGAAGATGGTCAGCCGATGAATACGGAAGTTGATGAGGCATTTGGGCGCTGGCTGTTTCAAGAAAAGCATCGGGGATTTACTATCATAGCACACAATTTTCGTGGCTACGATGGACATTTTGTCCTAAAGTACATGTTGGACAATGGTTTGAAAGGAGTGGAGGTCATCAAGCGTGGGACGCAGTTGTTGGAATTACGGTACCGCAAACTGGGGATCCGTTCACGTGATACACTCAACTTTCTGGCTTTGAAGTTGAGCCAGTTACCAAAAGCAGTTGGCTTGGAAATCGAAGTGCAGAAAGGCGACTTCCCACATCGATTTAATAAGCCTGAAAATTGGGATAAAACCGATTTGCCCTGGCCCGAGCCGGAACAGTACATGATTGATGGAATGCGAAAAAAGCAAAAAGAAGAATTTCTAAAGTGGCACGCTGAAGCTAAAGCGGCCGCCAATGGGGTGTTCGAATTTTCGCGAGCAGATGATGACATACTGCTCGAACGATGTTACGGTTTTGCGTGTGTGTGCGCTGAAGTTTATCAGCGATTACCAAGCTCTGACGTCGCTGAATCCAATGGAAAGCATGACCATGCCTTCGGCCTGCTACCGGTACTGGAGAATGTTTCACCTTCCCGAGAACAAAGTTGCCGCGTTATCCAGTCACGGACCGCACAGAAACCGACGGACTAGCATTCAAGCCACACAATGGCTGGAATGGGAAAACATGAGCGCAAACGGTCGTATACGACATGGTCGGAACGGCAAAGAAGTTAAAATTGGGCGATACTTTGTAGACGGTTTTGACAAGGAGACACAAACCGTTTACGAGTATAACGGCTGCGTCTTCCATGGACATCCTTTCTGTACTGAAGAAAACGATGTTGTACCATACTCCAAAAAGAAAATGCGCGAAGTTTACGAAGAGTTCCAGGAACGCGAACGCTTCCTTGAAAGTCAGGGCTACACTGTAGAGGTGAAATGGAGTTGTGAGTGGCTCAAAGAACGACAAGATCCCGATATTGCCGCATTTCTGCTGAATATGAACATTCGTGAGCCAATGAATCCTCGTGACGCCTTCAAAGGAGGCAGGACGAATGCTAGTCGTTTGTACTACCAAGTGAAGGATGACGAAGAAATTAGGCACTATGACGTTGTTAGCTTGTACCCATTCGTGAACAAGACTAAGGCATACCCGGTCGGCCATCCTGAAGTAATCGTATCCAATTTCAAGGATGCCAAAGATTATTTTGGACTGGTCTACTGCAAAGTAGCGGCTCCGAATCAATGCCTGTATCCAGTCTTACCGGCCACAATAAACGGCAAGCTTATGTTTGTTCTATGCAAAAATGCGCAATGGAAAAAGCGTCAAGCCGTTGTGCGCATACAGACGATGATCGCTGTTTCGAAGGGTTTGGGCGACACCCGAGCTACATCATGCCATCGATGTGGGGTATCGTGTTGTGGAAATGTATGAAGTGTGGCACTGGACGCAGTCTGACACCAAACTCTTTGCGGCATACATGGACAAGTTTTTAAAAGTGAAAATGGAAGCCAGTGGTTGGCCTGCGTGGTGCGATTCCGATGAAAAGAAAACCAAGTTTATTCAGACGGTTAGAGAACGCGAAGGCATTTCCTTGGATCCTGATGCTATGGTTTTCGATGCTGGAAAGAAAAGCACTACCAAGATTGTGGTGAACAGTCTTTGGGGTAAAACCGGTCAAAGTTGCGATATGAACTCAACGGAGTTTGTCTACGACCCCAAACGGTATTCTGATCTGTGTCGTTCAAAAGCTATTGAAATACATGATGTGTATGGCGTAAGCCCAACGTGTCTAATGGTAACACACTCGAAAGTGGATGACTACAATGAAGGTAGCAACGGTACGAATGTTGTCATTGCCGCCTTCACCACCAGCCATGCGCGACTTATACTGTTATCCCTCATGGAAAAGTTGGGCGAGCGCCTCCTGTACTACGACACGGATTCCGTCATATTCATTCACCGACCTGGCGACTGGCTTCCTGATACCGGCAGTATTCTTGGGGACTGGGATAACCAGCTAGAAGCTGGCGAGAATCATATCGTCAAATTTGTTTCGTGTGGTCCAAAAGTGTACAGCTACGAAACCAATACGGGGCGCATTGAGTTGAAAGTGAAAGGGATGATGCAGAACGGATTTACGGAAGATATTCTGGATTGGGACTCGGTCACGAAGGAGCTGACGCGGACTGGAAAAGCCTTGGATTTTAACCAGCTGAAGCGGTTACTGGATGGTGTGGATGGGCATGTGCAGGTTGTATATCCAGAATACATCAAACGAAATGGAAAAACCCAAGAAATTAATACTGTTCAGTTGGCTAAAAATTGAAGCTTGTTTACGACAAGCGCATCATGTTAGATGATTTTACAACGCTGCCTTTTGGCACGCGATAAAAAAAAGAGGGTGGGGAAAAAATCAATAAAAGAAAGGGGGAAACCTAATCTGTTTGCGTCGCTTCGTCGCTCACCATTACATCCAGCACCTCTTTCGTAATTTTTCTTGATTCTTCCAACTGCGTACGATTGGCGGACTTGATAAAATAGGAAACAATCTCTAAAGTATTAAAACTACCAGCAGCATGGTGACCAGTACTGCAAAGAATACTGATGCTGCTTTTTTAGCTAACGGCTTAACCATTTCTTATAAGGTCGCGTATAAATGTTGCGTCACGGACTACAGTCCTTAGTCGAAAAAACTTGTTGATGAATTTACATACAAATTTATCATTCACACCTTTATGCTTAGTGAGAGCAGACATGACGTCTTTATACGAAAACCCGTAGCAACGTAATAAAACGAAAAACATACAATATTGACCACATACAGTACTATCAGCGTTCTGTCGCTCAGTATTCGACATTATAACAAAGTCGTTGTCTATCCATTTTTCAATGTCATCTGAATAGTCGCCGGGATTTTTTCCGTACGAATCAAAAACTTCTAACGTACCGGGTTTCGTACAATAAAATGCTACCCAGTGTTCACCCGCCGCACCTGACGGTTGAGTGTTAGATATGTATGCACCTGGAAATTCTTTTGCTGGCAGTGTATCACTGGCAAATACTCCGACAAAAATGTCGCGAACGTTAGGATCTTGCTTTAGCGCTGAATCTATTTGTAGGCTGTTCATGGCGCAAAGTCGAAAAGTACTTGGCGATTGTTGTTAATTTCGATAATGTTATCGAAGACCATCATAGCTACGCAAACTATACCTTCAGGTAGCGGTTTTGCAAATTTAACATTGATGTTTAAATTACCTTGCCTTATCAGCGACAACGCTCCTCTGCCCGTATGGCCGCGAGTGAAGTCAAACCCAAAAATATTGAAACCACCCTTGTTAAATACGGACCTGTCAAATGGTAGTTCGCCATGACCTTCATGCAGCCGCTCTAGAGTATCTAACAACCCTTCATACCCTTCAATTGACGCACCGTTCTGGAAATCTAAATTGTACCCCCGCGTAGGAAAAAGCTGTCCATCAATTTCAGCACTTAAGTTAGATATGTTGAAATGATGAAAATTGAACGGAGTTGACTTAAAATCGCCAACGAATGACCGATTGGGTGACATTGCAAAGAACATTACCTTGGGTAACTGTCCAATAACAATATTTGCCCAGGATAGCTGCTGCTGGCCTGATTGCATTGTGGTCTGTCTTAAAGCAACCCGTTCAATGTGATATTTTGCATTAGTTGTGACCAGTTGCTTTGTCATGGCTGCTAGAAAGTCTGGAGAAGGTTCATACTTTCGAACTTTCAGCTTGGGGTTTCGAATAGCAAAAGCCTTTGGAGCTGCTAGATCATTATCAGTAAGAAAACAAAGACTAGCCCTGTTTCGTATCAGTTTAATGCTCAACTCTACACCAGGAATTAGTGGTCGGTCTTGCTGGAACAAGTCGCAGTGTAGTTTACCAGACAACTGCAACGGACGGAAAGTCTGCAACCATGTTCTTCGCGTTTCGGCACCCTTACTATGAAATGTTGTTGCCCCATTTATCTCATTCATGTATAACGGGTCTTTGTCAAGGTCAGTGTCCAACGCAAATCCACACAGGCTCAACTGACTGTTCTGAGCCTGAACAGTGAAACCCAGAAGGGATTCAATGTACGCTCGAATGTGATACAAAGGACTGTTATCGGTTATGTTGCGACCTCCCAATGAAACCGTAACTGACTGAAATAAACTATGCAAAATATTGTTAATTGGTGCAAGACAGTCTTTTTCTGTTGGAACAGTACCAGCAGAATTAGTAACGTGTAAATCACATGAAAATCTAATGTCAGCTAAACTGATAAGCTCGGTTTGACACGGTGAAATTGTAAATACAATATCGTTTGAATCGTCAGTTACGGCTTGAGACGGTCCCAAGTCATAGTCATGTGTATTCCACCTTTCCGTTAGCGTAGCTGGAAGATAAAACAAGTGACTTTCCAACAGCATGGAGGGTTCTGAGCCAGCTTCAATAAGAGCCATCGTTACAGTTTGTCTTTTATAGCGTCTATTGCGCGTTGACGTTTCGTGGTTTTGATTATTCTCTTTCGACGACGACCCTTAATACCCGACCCCTGTTGTTGAGCCGTGTTGCGTAATTTCTCGCTAACACGCTCAACAGCTTTATCGATTACGGATTCCACAGCTTTGCTGGCCATTGTTTTCATGTGAGGTTGTGCAGTGGCAATTAAATTGTTTATATGTGGTGCAGCTTTGCTGAACAAACCCTTTGCAAAGCCAATCACGCGACCCCAGAAACTACCACCTTTCATGGGTGCGCCACGATAATATGGCATACCGTACCCATGCTGTTTGGTAAAGATCTGGGTGTAGCGGTGCTCGTCAAATTTTAACTCCTGTAGAACCATTTTTAATGCTTCTTTGGTCGAAAGTGTAGTTTAATTACTGATGTACCTGGATGAAAGAGTACTTCTTTCCCTAAATCATCGCGCATCGCTATTTCTATAGTTTGAAACGTATGGTAGGCTAACGGCATATAATGCGGATTTTCAAAACGAATTACTGTCTCTCGAAATGAATTCGCTTGAGTCGATAAGGTGCGTAGTAAAGGCACCATTGAGTCACCTACCAACCCATGTGTAATCACGTCACAATATACATGCACGAGACGACTATGCTGTCCCGGATATAACATATGAGTCAGAGCATCTCTGCTGTTATATGTGTACTGGTGTAGTATGCCTAGTGCGCGCGCGTATTCGGAGCCCGTAAAAGTTAAAGAGAGGCCCGGCGTGATGTTTAACTGAGCTGCTTGACCACTCACTATTATCTGGCCGTAGGTTTTCGAGTCCCTATCATCTACGTTTTCCCTCAGCAGTTTGTTAACCGTACGAATTAAATGATTTTCATCCTCAAAAGCATGTAGATCGACGAATCTATGAATTCTAGACGGCATACCGTCACGCGAGACAGCAATGGATAATCCGGTATTAAACTTTATCCGCATAGGCGGTAGAATAATTTCCGAAAGACCTACTTCCCACGCACCGTCTAAATCTATGGGTCTAGCGAGAAGCGTTGTAAATTTACCAGGGCAGTTATCAGAGTATAACCCCTCTGACGCCGAAGACGGCAATGTCATGTAAAAACTCATTTCAAATCTTCTTTGTTTTCCCAAGAGTCATAAGCAGGGCCGTATCCATACCAACGTACTAAGTATTGTACTTTTCCTTTATGTTTCCTTTCCCTTAATATCCTAGAGATCCTGTGATATGGCTTTTCTGCCATTTTGACTTTAGATAACTCTTCCGGATAAAACTTACCGTCTACAGGTTCGCCTGCTAAATCTTCGACCGTGTAAAGGTAATGGCTCCTGCTTCGTGTAGTGTGGGTTATTTTAAAAATTTCTTCTGTGAAACGAGTCTCGTACCCTTTTTCAAATGTCTGTTTCTTTTTGCCAAACGTACATGATCGCCAACAGAAAATGTTGGTTCTGGATTTTTCATACCTTTTTGTTCATCAACCATCTTCTGGAGAATTTGCTCAGCTTCTTCAGGACCGACGTCTTTAGGGGCTACTCCTGTAGCCGAGTGTTTTGTAGAATTGTAAGCGGATAAAACCTTAGGAAGGATATCAATGAATCGGTATGTGTTGTTTTCGGTCATGAACACATACAACCGGTCTTCAATTGTACGATTTAGACGTTCAACCATCGCACACTTTACATCATCGTTTTTTGTTGTAAAAAATGTAACGTTACATTCTTCAAAAAACTTACGCATGTCTTTACTAACAAATTCCTTACCATTATCGCTTTGAACGCGTAATGGAGGATAATCGCTCTTGTATATTTTCAAAAGCGCTTCACGAATATTAGCAGGCCGTTTTGATTTAACCGGCTCAGCCCATGCATAACGAGAAAAGCAGTCGATACACATAAGAATATACTTAAAGCCATCGTTATAACTAGCAAATTTTTGAAAATCCACAAGATCAATTTGATGTTGGTCTCCCACATTAACGGAAATAATTTTTCGGCGTTTGAACTTTGACCGAAAAGGTTTGTGTTGTGTATATGCGTCTTTGGTTTCTAAGTAAGCTTTAACTTGCTTTCGTGTATATCCATGTTTTCTGGCTTCTTTGTACAAGCGGTCTATGCCACCTAAACTCCCTTGAGAAACAGGATTCAAATACAAATCATCTAATGTGGGCTTCATCATGTGTACGAGAGCCAGCCGCCTCTTTGTATACCACCTTTGTGTCTTTTAGCGGGAGGTCCTGACGGTTTATTACGTTTTCTCAACTGTATTTTGTGCTGACCTGAACTTTCAGCCTTATTTGATTGTATGTAAGTTAAAGCCTTAAGCGGCGTTGCGTCGGTAATAGCTGCTTGCTCTTCCTCACTGGCTTCTATTGCTAATCTTTCAGAACCACTAGCAATTGCAGCCCTTTTCTTAGGTTTTGGTGTGGCCTTTTGGAGCTTTTTAGAGGTTTTTGGCCTAATTGCCACCGTTTTCGACCCTTCAATAGCAAGTTGCTGATCTTTGTCTTTTTGCCGGAGCCGGTTTAAAGTTTTCGGTTTAACGGACAGCGCTTTTGACCCTTCAATAGCTGGTTGAGTATTTTCCAAAGCCGGAAAAGATCCATTGACAGGTACTTGATATTCTAACACACCATCAGCAGGAAATTCTACTATCGGAACACTAGGCGGAGTAGGAGCGTATTCTATAGCGGCATTTAAAGTGTTATCGGATTTCGGAATGCGTCTAACATGGACTTTTTGACCAAAGCGGGTTTTTTCGGCTTCCGATAAACATGTTTGACTACCGGTTTGCTTGGAACAACTTGTATTTGCGGCTCACCAGGCACTTGTACATATTGTACAATTGGTTGTGATGGTACCTCGACATACTTATATTCAACTAACGGTGAGGCTGTTGCTTGAGTACCCTGTTCTTGAAATGTCGGCACAGCCTGCACAACTTGATGGGTTACGTTTGGACCCGCTTGACTATATTGATCTTTAAGAACACCTGTAGAATGAGCTTGTATACTTTTATCAATCATTATGGGTGACGTATTGGTAGCAGCAGCAGACTCAACCTGCACTGTTTCCAACAATGGAGTCGCGACTGGAGCGTTACCCGTATTGTTTGAACGCTGGTAATCAAAAGCAGCCTTCGCCATGAGCTGCTGTGTAATTTCATGACCAATGTCTTGAGCCTTTTTCCAAGCAGTCGGCGCGGGAACACCTTCCCGAGCATGCTTTTGTTTTAAAAACTCGGTTTCGGGAACTAAAACGTACGTCTTCATTTTGCTAGAAAAGTGGAGACCAACGTTCCTAAAACTGGAAGCAAAACGTTGAGAAATCCGCCTTTTTTGTTGTAATATTTTACGTTTTTTTGAACGGTCTGTACTGCGGTCAGCTAGACGCTTGATTGTTGAAGAATGTTTTCGAGCCCGAGCTAAATCAACTTTGCTAAGACCGGTGGGTTGCTTAACTAGGTTTAAGCAGGCTTCTTCGATTGCGCTTATTTGTTGTTTAGTTGCCAGCTGGAAAAAAAGCTTCTTCTCTGACGTGGTGTCAGAAGCTTTAACGCTTCAATAAGTCGAAAAATATCTTCTGGTTTCATTTTTCTACATATATTCGTCTATACTCAAACACGTGCGACTGAAGGCGAACATTGTCTGGAGCTTCGGGTCTAAGGTTTATCAGTAAATAACCAAAAGGTTCCTTTATAGCCTTTCGGTAGGCCTCCAGCATATGTGGCATACCTAACTGACGTGCAAGTGTTTTAACTTGCTGAACATCGCGAACTGATTTAAAAATTACCAAGTACTGAGAATTCAGAGCAATATCACGCATGCTCCTTCCTTGTTTGTACAAATTTTGAGATATAAAAATTACAGAAACATTTTTATGATGAACGTCGCGAGTAAAAATCGTGGAACACTTTGGCGTTCCAGCAATTTCTTCCATTAAATCATCTAAAACTAGCAGGCTTGGGACGTCTTTGTCAAAAAAATTCTCATCTTCTACGATGGGACTAAGACCTTGGACAAGTTCAATATTTTTTTCGAAATCTTGGAAGGCATCTTGCCAAGTCCCATAAGCATATACTATCCTAACAGGGGGTGGAGTGAAACTCTCCGTCAGATTTCGCAAGAGATTCATTGTAAAAGTCGATTTTCCTGACATAGTTGGACCAGAAATATATATCGCGCAGGGAGTTTTAAAGCGGAAATCAAAACTCAGTTTTTCCATTTTTAATTTCTCCTGATTTTTGTTGCTAACTATCGGCCACTTCACAATAAACTCGAATACAAAAACTTTCAAATGTTGCTTCTGAAACGATCAAGTTTTAACTTTTCCACACCGTATTGGTATACTTTTCTAGGAGGGTTTCAATCTGTTCAATTGTGCGTTGAATCTGCAACAGTGATCTCCCTCCGAGAACTACACACTTTCCAGTATGGAAAACGTTTACGGTAGTTTTCAGTAACGGAAACCGCAATTTGATCGCTGGAAAAAGCTCAGGTTCGTAGAAAAATGCGACACCCGTTGGTTTTTCTTTCAAAATCTGGCTGTACAGCTTATTTAAATTTATTATTTCACTGTAAGCATACGTGCAGACTATATTTGCCACAAAGCGCTCCTTAATAGTCACGTCAATGCAGTTTACCCTCAACATTCTTAAATACTGTTTTAATAGCCCATCTGATTCTTCTATGGACTTACCACCTATTACGATCACCTTACCATTCTGGAAGATTTGACAGAATGTATGTGACTGGTCTGCAAGTCTGATGTTAACTGCGTTGAAATTTTTTACCTTTGTAGCATGTTTCCCAAAAACGTCTAAAACATGCTGAAGATCAACTTTCTCGTTGAATTGCACCGCCAGAATAATGTTGTGGATTTCCATGACTGAACGCATTACTTGCAACAGTGTCAGCAAGAAGGCTTTATATACTTCACTGCTGAGACTGTCGCAAATAATGGCGTTTTTCAGCCTTTTTTTTTTCATAACAAAAGGGGCTAATAGAAAACCAACAAGAATAACAACAGCAACAATTTTATAGTGTTACAAAACATGAGAAGGGCAGTTAAACAATAAGAGATTGCGCTTTAAAGCTATCGTCCAAGATTCGAGCCACATCGATGAACCCCATGTATGGTAGCTGAACAGAGCGTCCGGGCTGAGAAAACCTGATCGTGCGCCCGTACTTTTCGTGCACCTTCAAAGTCAATTCCAGGCAAGCGGGGCCATCGAATTTCATTTTCTCCTGTTTGCCTTCAGATGCTGCGTTATCCAGCGAATCTTTCAAATGTCCACTCTTCAGGATCTTTAGCAATTCAGTGATTTCATTGTATCCGAATCGGATTCCTTTATTCCATGCTTTGCGCAAGCCCTCAGCATCCGCATTTGCTTCGAACACAAGAAATGCCCGTACTTCTTTAGCATTCCAGAACAGGCTAACCACACTATTGACTTTGTACACAGTGTAGCCATCATGATCACCAACAACATCTAAAATACGTGCGAAATCCATTTCTCTTGAGATATGGTAAAAAACTTGCTCTCAACTTTTTTTCAGAATGATTTGGAAAAGACCAGTCGCGTCGCTTTTATACTCTCCAGTTGTGTCTGAGAAAACCAACCGCTTACCCCATTGGTCGTAAATTCCGATCAGACTCCGCCTTTTTCACGCTTACGTCATTCAAAACAAAAAAACACTTTATTACATCGATGATTGGCTGAAAAATCAAAAATAGATACGCCCTTATATACTGTAGGCTCCTACCGATTGGCCAAACCGCACGTGACGTAGCTCGGAAACTCAAAAATGTTTTAGAAATGAGAGCGGTGATTGGTTGTAAATAAAGCAACTTTTTCTTTAGAATATTTAAACTCGAGTTGCACTGAAAAATCTATCATTCGCAAGGAAAATGGAGAAGGACCAATTTCGTGGTTGCTTAGTTGGGGGTTTGCTGGGGGAATGCTTATGCGTTCCCTTGAAGGCGTATCATGGTATTGTTCACAAGGTTGCGCAGTTGTTCGTTGATACACGAGACTACCGCTCTTATCGTGAGAAGACTGTCTTAACAAACGCGCTGGGTAATGCATTGCTGGATAATGGGGGTTATGATGCAGTGTCTGCCGCTCGAGCGTGCGTTGAAGCTTATTACAGCGCACATCCCGTCATACGTTCAGCTTTCGGGAAGCTTAAGGATATAATACATCACTGGAAGTGGAACAATTACAATACCTTAGACACATTACCGAAAAACATTGTACCGAAAACGTTCCTCAAAGGATACGGCCCAGCGGCGTGGATTTCAGCGTACCCACTATACTTTAGACATCAAACAGAGCTAATGATCCGCAACGTACGTAGCGTTGCCGAACTCACGCATCCTACGATGGAAGCTTACGGAGCGTGTGAACTTCAAGCCTACGCTATTGCCGTAGCATTACATTACTCCTACTTCACTCCCGAACAGTTTCTGGACATGCTAATCACGCTGTGTGGCTCCGGCATTAACCTTCAGCTGTATCTTCCGAAACTAGTACATTTGAAAACGCTGCTGTCTCAAGAAACGAGTGTTGTGGTGAAAGCCCTTGGTAATCATTCCGCGGGACTAGAAGCTGTACCTATGGCTATTTACTGCGTACTAAAAGGAACCAGCCTGGCGCCTGAAAATGCTTTTGAAGCGACCATGGCCCTCACACTACGGGTCGGTGGATGCACTGACGGAATTGCAACCTTGGCGGGTGCTATTGCCGGAGCTTGGCACGGTCTCAAAAGT